TCTGGTAGTCTGGCCATTCCTTTGAGATGGTAATTGCCCAATTCCTGAGACAATGGGAAGGTTCCCTCACCCCCTCCCTCTTTGCAGAGAAACATTTGGTCAGTTTGAGAGTCAAAATGGTTTCAGGACTGTCTTCCTGTGCTGCTTCAGACATGTGGTTTATATATTTATGTACGTGTTTGCTTGGTACATTTATTAAATATATAAGACCTTCACATTCTTATTTCACTGTTATGGTTTGGATGGACCCCCCCAAACCCTGTAAATTAATAAATGGTAAGATTTTGATTATTTGGAATGTGAAGGGCGTATACAAGCTGCAGAGGAATTCTTATGCAAAATGACCTGGCCAAGCTAGGGCCATTCAGAAACAATACAGGCAATGGAAGAATACTGCCCTTCCCTTCGCCCTGAGGTGTGAACAGAGACAGGAGATTTGGAACGTTGCCTGGGTAACTGGGCATGATGTCACAGGAAGAGTTTAGGGACTTTGGCAGGAGGCCTCCAAAAACTGAAAAAAGGATGGCTGAAGGCAGGAGAGATGCCTTGGACTCTGGTGTTGCACTGCTGTGGGGAACAAGAGCCTCTTGAGATGACCATACTATAAGGCCTGGACTCCCTCCGTCCATATTCAGGTGTGGATTTGTGAATAAATCATATTCCTTAAAGCTACAACAGCCTCCACAGTGTCTTCAATTCTCCAAAGAAGCACAGACCCTGGTTGAGGGCGAAAACCTCTGGAATCCCATGCATGGCTTGACGGATTGGGGTAAACTGTAACAATACTATGCAATGAAACAGTGTTGTGATTGATTATGTGGGGCAGGGCTTACCTGCCCTCCCCCCAATATTTTATTCAAGTTGGCATCCCTGGTCCAGGTTCAACTATACACCCATATACACAGTGAAAAGAACCAAAATGCTCACCGGATGGTCTCCAGTCCTTAGGGACGTGTTCTGTTAACAGCTTACATCGTTTCAAGCCCAACATATGAAACTGCCTTATATTGAGTCAGCCTTTTGGTCCAGCACAGCATCACTTACTTTGATGTAGGGGTTCTCCAAAGCCTCAAGAAAAGATATTTTCCAGTTCTCCTGGAGATGCAGATAAGCTCTATCACAGAACTATGGCTTTAGAAACAATACATGCCATGACATCTAGTATAACACTCCCATTACAATGCTATGTTCCACCATGCCCTTGGGATGGGATGGTGGTCAACAAGCATTGGCAATGTGACCTTCCATGTATTTGTTGGGACTGTAATTCCCACCTTCCCTGACCATTGTCATGCTGTTTGGGGCCAATGAGAACTGTAGTCCAACAACATCTGGTGGGTCCCAGATCTTCCATTACTTACAGAGTTAGGTCACCTATGGATCCATCCCATCCATCTGAGAAATAATCACATCACTCTAGATGGGCTTGTTGCCATTAGCAGGAAGGTCAACTTTCTTTGTAATCTGGGTTTGTCTCATTAAAGTAATAAGGAGCTGTATGCAACATAACCAGATGTGGAGGACTCTGTACGTGGGTCTCCTGGGCACTTGTATTAAAGAGCATACCTAGTATTGCAGCGGATGGGGTGAATTTGCAAGTCTATTGTAACTTAAAGAGATCCCATTTTAATCTCTCTATAAAATTAGATGCTTGTGGGCAGGCCTCCCATCTGTATGAGTTCTACAGAGCTTCAGGTGCATTTGCCTAGGAAACCAAGAAGTTCACACAACTAATCTAGGAAGTACGTGAAAGCCATGAGTCCTAATGTAAGTGGCAAAGAGAAGGAAATGACTCCAGAGCACTGAGTGTGGATGAGGGATTTAATGTGTTAAGTTTATGGAGGCAAAGGTGGGTCTTTACAGAGACAGAAGCCAGGTTTGTGATGGAACAGAAGGAGTAGGAATTATCCCCACAAGGGATGTCTTCTCTCAAGGCAGTAAGTACCTGGTAGGCCAGAAGCAGGGGCCACTCATGCTGTACATTCAGTTTTGAGACTCGCTGGATTCCTTCCATGAAGTGGATGAAAAACAGCACATATTTTGACACAAAGCCTGATTCTGTGGGAGTCATGTATGTCACTGGAATAATTCCTTGACATCACTAAAGAGAACCATATGTGATGTTTTCTCTAACATCAAGAAATAAGGGGACATGGGAGTCATCAAAATGGGAGAACAGCTGGAGGTGGGCCTTTGGAAATAGGCTGAGGCGCAGTGAACCAACAATTTATCTCATTAGGAACTAGAGACCAGTTTGTGCCAGGGGGCATAGGAAGAGGGAGAGTGGAGAGAAAAGCCTGGAGGAAACTTGCAACTCTCCACCTACCTCCATCAAGGTGACTCTTGTAAAGCAGTTCACAGAGGCTGAGCAGCACAAGATGAATTCCCAGGGCTCCCTTCTAACGTCTGCACCTCCACAGATGGCAAAGTGTGCTCCAGACAAGGAGAGACTATTCCCGGTTTATTTGATAATACTGTTTATTGTCCGAAGACTCAAATGTCCACGTATGAATTATACAAAGCATCAGAGACATGCACAGTCTGCTTGTCTATTCAACAATTTTCATGTGTTCCCAGCACAAGAAAATCTCAGCTTTCAGAATCCAACAACAACAACAAAAAAGTTTTTTCCCCACCCCCACCCCCAATATTACTCTACCCACCAAACATCATCCCGGCCCTACTCCCCAATAAGCTTTAAATTATGGCAGCAAGTTAGATACTTATTCTTTTTTTTTTTTTCATACTTACTAAGCAAAGATTTGAAAATAATGTAAACCTTTTTTTTAAATATTTTGAGTTGCTGACATGAGGGGACATTGGATTGTTTCTGTGTGTGCATCTTATCTTTCTTATCAGGGAAGTTTCCATGTGGCATTAAAACCCACAGCGATAAATTAAGCCGATTGAAGAGCCTTTGATACTGCTTTCCCACAAAACAGGTCCTTTTCAGAATGGTTGCTTTCCACGCTGCTACTAGAACGGCAAACTCATGTTCTGGTACGGCAGTCACGCAACTGCAGTTTGTCTAGCAAGCAGCAGTCACATGTCACAGCCAGCCTCTGACCTCTAGAGAAGACCTGTGCATGCTGCAGAGGCATCAGGAAGAAGACAGAAGAAGGAATGCTAACACCCACCCCACACACAACCACACCTGTGCCCACTGGCACTCAGAAATAATGGGAGGGACTCCACCCTCCGTACATTTTGACAATTCTTCCCTCCAATGCAGAACCCCTTTAAAAATAATAAGTGCAAATCTAACAGCTAACAAGGAATTTTTTTAAAAATTTAAAAAAAACATAATAGAGGAATGATACAACTGATTGCCAAAACAAATGGAAAACATTAAAATCAAGGACAGGATCAGCAGTGAGAGGAAAAGAGAGAGAGAGGTAAATGTCACATAGGATATAACCATACAGGAAGCAAAACAGGAGTCTTATATTGGACTGAACAGATTTTTTTTCCTTTTTCTATTTTTTTTAAAATATATTGAAATCAAACAGACTGGTCCAATATGACATCTTTAAAACTTGACCTTGATGAACAGCATGAAAAGGCCGCAGGGGGTAGGTCTGGCTGGGGGAACTTCCGGACACCCTCCAAATCAAATTCCAGGTATTGCGGGGTGGGAAAGCAGCAGAGCTCGGGGGGGGGGCAGGGGGCAGGGAGCACAGCAAAGAAAGAGAACTGGCTCAGAAGGAAAAGGGGGCTGAAGGCAGAGATGTGTGATAGGATCCTTTTGCAGGCAGCCAAGGTCTGGTTTATTACTCCAAAGGAGCATTCATACTCACAGTTTATAAGGGGTATACTTGACACCGGCTCCTGCGGTCACATATTTGGGAGGGGACATGCAAAAGTCTTGCTTTCTGGAGAAATCTTGCTTGCCGCAAGCGTCAAATTTCTATATAGGGCAGGACTTGCGAGCCATCTTGGCCATGCTAAAAATCATTACTCAGCATAGCAAGGGATTTCAAAGAGGAGGACTCCTTTGGTCCATGTAATACTGAACGCTTAGTGGGAGCATCAAGTCATCCCACGGTTTTGGCACCAGATTTTCATCAATGGCACAAGCATGCAATAGGAAGTGGGTGATGCATACATATGGTTCAAGCAGGAGGCTTGATGGACTAACCCAGATCCCCTGACAAATGTTTGTTGGCTGAAATGTAATAGCTGAGAACACAGACCCAGAATCTGCACGCATCTCTTATGTGCACATAGGCAGGGCTTATTATCCATTTAAATGATTTTGTGACACCACCCCCCATTAGCCCCCAAAACATTGCCTCTGAAAGCAGAGATTGTCCCTCTGCCTCCTGGTGGCTTGTTCTTGACAGGCTGCTTTGTGGCTGGTAAGGGAATGTAACTTTCTTCACCTGTGGAAGAAGATATCATGACTTGTGACAAAGCCACCATTTTCCTTTTTGTGTGTATGGTGTTACTGCTGTTTTTATGGGACGTACTTGTACCATATGTGTACAAACATGGCAAGGAGAAAGGAACAACTTCAAAGCACTGAGTATGGAGGGATTTAATTTTGTGATACGTATGGAAGAAAAGGTGGGTTTTTACCCAGGCAGAAGCCAGTGGGGGTGGGGGAACAGAGGGAGCAGGAGATATCCCCTCAACAAGGGATGCACCCTCTCAAGGCAATAAGAACCTGGTAGGCCTGCTACACAGAATCAGAGGCAACACCTTTTGGCCACTCATATTGTACACTCTGGTTCCCTCCACTGTGCCTTGGCATATTGGCATATGTAATCCCAAAGGTAAGAAACCACCCCTTGGCGCTCAACACAGGAGAAGAAACAAACTGAGTAATATATGAGTGGCCTAGACATCCCTTTCCTTAGCCCCTCCCTCCACCACTGTTGTGCCCGCCCAGGAGACCTTATTTTCATGCTGCTTCCAGGAAGTGATGTCAAAGGTGGACCAGTCTAATATCTTGCCGGCTTTGTTGCTATTGGCTACTGGACTGCCATGGCTTTGGGGACTCAAGGGTCCTCAATGTCAAGAAACTCCTTCTTGGGTGGTGCCACTCCACGGTACCACGCACACGAACCATCGCTCCGCTTGATGCAGGCAAAGTGCTTTGCCTGCCGCCCGTTGATGTTCTTCTCTGTCACCCAGTCAGTCCACAGGCACTCGTCCTGAGCAGAGACATAGCAGGGGATGGAAGGGCATCGGGAGATCTGCAGAGATAAAAGACACAACTGGCTTGTGTGATTTGCCATCACTGCAACTAAAGCAAAACGCTTCTCTTGAGTAGGCTCACGCATACAGATTAGCAGGAAGTCAACAAGCTGAAATGGTCTCATTATTTGGTTTATTACCTTGCACTCACAGCCCATTTGGTACCGCTGGTTTAGACTCTTCTTCTGGGTAGCACTGAGGGAGTCCCAAGGAATGATGAAGTCACACAGTGTGATGTGCATCTTGCCATTGCCTTCAGATTTCCCTGGCAGAGCAAAATGGTTTTAGTTGGGGCATGGTGTCCTATGGTTGTGCACGCGCGCACACACCCCTCATCAAGCACATCGCCCTATCAAGTGTCTTATCTTGGACAAACACAAACAAGTGTACGTGGGGTGGGGGGGAAGGAGTGTGTGTGTGATTTCATACAAGGCACGTTCCTATCACAATAGGAGAACTGGCGTGCTTAGTTAGACCAATGGGTCTGCTTTGCTCATGTCCAGACAAGAACAGATACCCTTTCAAGGGAACACCAGGAGGTGGCACTGTGCAAAGCTCTACACCAAGATCATTTAAAGGGAAAGCAGCCTCAGATGCATAATACTGACTACTGTATAGGGCAGTTTGCAATATGCCACAAACCCTTCTTGCACAATGGAGGGCAGATTGCATTTGTAGTTAGGAGTGCATTTAATCCTCATGACTAGTAGCCAGAACAGGACACAGTCTGGTTACATCCCAAGGAAGCTCTGCTGATTACATATTTGTCCCCTTCCTCCAAAGAGCTGTGTTTTAGCTTTACAACCAAGTCCCCTGTGAAGTAGTTTAGGCTGAGCAACAGTGACTTGCTCAAGTCCTTACCAATTGAACTTCCTAACTAGAGCAAGGATTTGAACATCCAACCTAACACCATGATATCCCATTCAATCCCTATTGAACTTTCCTCCAGCTCCGAATGGCATGTATAAAGTGTTTTTAAAAAGCATTACAGTCCTCCTTTTCTTTGCCTTTTGGGGGACAATAATTCTCAGCAAGAGATATTCCTTACCTGCAATGAGATACTCTTTCTTGCCAGTAACATCCAGCGTCACTCCACAGACAGCCGAAGAAGGAGCCGTGTAGATGAATTCAATGTCCTGGTCGGGCCCTTTAAACATCTGGAAGGGGAAGAAGTTGGGTGAAGCCATGGGCAGAATACAGGAAGGCCAGCTTTGGTGTAAAGGAGCATACAAGGCACTCCAGAGCAGGAGAAGCTACACATGGACTGTTGTAAACAAAAAATTGCCCTTTTCCCTTATGGGGTATCCAAGAGCCCATATAGAGTCCTTACATAGGTTCCCTATTGGTAGGAGAGAATAACAGAGGCCAACCAGAGAATATTGAAAAGCAAAGCAGCTAGTAAGCTTCATCTTTATTGATCTGTTGCAACAGGGTGTTCCCCTCACCCGCAGGAGGAGGAGGACCCAGAAAAATGGCATGCAAGGCCTTATAAAGACTTTTGAAATTGCCACCCTGTAGATCAAGACCACCCCCAGAAACATGATACATGGTAGGCATTGGTAAGAAGGGGTTAAGAGGATGTGGGGGGGGAGGAGCGCCATCACCTCCCCCCAGTGAACGAAGGGTGGTCCGTTAAAGGACTCCGGGGGGCGTGGCCCTGTCCAAAGCCTATGGAGGTGAGGGCCAAAGGCACGCCCCAGAGCGGTGACCCGGGAGCTCCTGAGTCGACGTGCCTCGGCAGGAGACTCCCGATATAGTGTTAACCCTTCCCCGTGTCTCCAGCAAATGGGCTGGAGCCGGATAGTCGATAGGACCAATGCCTAAGCCAATGCCTCTCATTCCTGAACTCAATAAAGTTGTGGCCTAATTCGCCCAATTAACCTTAAATTATGGTGTCTGGTGTCTTTATTTATCCTGGTGGGGGGCGGGAACTCGCCACGCAAACATGATACATGCATTACAGAACGGGTGTAACCTAAGACCCCTCAGATACATCTCACCTGCATCACAGAAAAGGCGGTCTAAAACAGAAATTTGAATATTGCTTTTCTCCTGTTGTTGTTTATCTCCTGTCTGGCAGGTTACTTGATTGGATTGCCTGGGGAGCCCAGCCATTCTTTTGTAGTGATACATGCTTAGTTCCTGGGCCAGGTCACAGGCTCAGACCCTATTCATATCTTAAATGTGTCCTTAAGACAGGATGTGTGAGGAAAGAGACAATGGGGAGGTTTCCCACTTTGACCTTGCAGAGAAAACATTTGGTCAGTTTAGGAATCAAAATGGCTTCAGGTCGGTCTTCCTTTGCTGATCTATGTACGTGTGGTTATGAACATTACCATATATCTAAGACCTCAAAATTCCTATCACAGGACCTATTGTATTATTTATTTTGAAAAACGCAAGCCACCCTTCAGTAACAAGACTCTCAGGGAGATGTACAAGTTCAAAAACAAGTGCAGTCATGGCTTCAGACCACGTATTGTTCATGGAATAGAATCCCACGTTGGTATGAAAATTGTTATAGGTATATTCTTCTCCAGGCAGTGGAAGGGGTGGTGGTGGAAGGGATTCTGCTGTTTGTTATTATTATTCATATATGCAAGATCAATAAAAGTGCAGTGACATTCATAAAAGAAAGAGAAACCACAAAATGTTTGCTTCGCTCCACCACTCCTCTCCCTCCAGCAAAATGCTTGCCCTGAAAGAACAGAAGAATGTACAGCTGTACTAGAGGAACTCAGAAGCTGGCAACACACATTGCTCAAAGGTAAGCAGGAAGCAGGGGGAAGACCTTGGCCCAGGATGTCCAAGTATCCCAGCATTCTCTAGGGCTTAAAGCGGTGGTGTGCATTTGCTCTGGAGACTCTTTGAGTCATTTTCCCTTCTACTCAGCCCCGAACAGGCCTGTTTCCAATGGCATTGCCTCTGCTTTTCCCACAGAAGTATATGCAGAAATATAGGAAGTGGCCAGCAGGTGGGGACCCTATTGGAGCTGTTTTTCCTCTGCAAGCAACCTGTCATGATTCTTGCCCTCTCAAGCACTTGGTATCTCCCTCTGATGTACCTTGTCCCTCATCATTCACTTTAATATGATTTCTAACCCATCCCTCACTAGGGACAGGAAGGAGGTCTAGATCCCATGCCTATGGTGTCCTTAAGCATAAGGCTGCATACACACCATACATTTAAAGCACATTCCCCCACTCCACTGAACAAATCCTGGGAACTGTAGTCTTCTTCTCACAGAGCTACAATTCCCAGCACTCATAACAAACTATGGGGTGTTTATAACCCATAAAATAGCCTGAACTAAAGGGGTCCGTCCCCCCACTTTTCTTCAGTCAGTTCTGTTGGGCCAGAGTGAGGCACTTGAGAACCCAGTGTTGCAAAGACACCATCATAAAAACGTCTTAAGATATTCAGAACTACTTTGGAGGATTGTGGTAACTATAAGCTTCCAAAGCCTTTTCTGGCACCATTTCATCTTTTAGCAAAACAGCTGCATTATCCTAGCTAGAACGGCAGCAAGTCAATGAGTTTGGAAGTTACTTGCCTTTGTGTGTGTGTGTGTGTGTGTGTGTGTGTGTGTGTGTGTGTAGACTTAGATACATAAATACATCGTTTCTTTTTAGTTAAGGTCTGTACAATTAGGATTCCGATATACTGCTCATTACCTTTATCTGCTTGATTTCATACTGGATGCGTTTGATGGGGTTTCCATAGATGTCATTTCCGGAGTCCACCTCTTTTTCAGAGACAGCCTTTGCTCTGATCACTGAAACATAAAGACACAGAGGAAATTAGTAGACAGATGCAACACCAGTACTGGGTCCAGGCCTTCCAAGGCTTAATAGAATCCTACCAACAGAGAATCTCACTCGCCACCCTTTGCCACGCTCAGCAGCATCAGCAGGCAAAGCCTGAAGCTGTTAATCCCTAGGGACATCTTTGCTGCAAACAATATACTGCCCTCTCCTGATTACTCTCTGCGGTTCTTTGATTATAGGAAGAGGCCGGAAATGCCTCCTTGCTGTATTTATTTCAGAGCAAAAGGCCACAGATCTGCAACCGGTCTCCAAGACAGGGGAGACTGAAATTGCAACTGAAGCATGTTCCTGTAGGGATATTGGTTGTTATCAAGTGTGGAGACTAATAGCCTTCTCTTGTTGAATGTAATTCAGAACCTCACCTAGGTGGAAGGAATCTGAAGTGAAAGCCCAATTTCACACACTGAAAACTTCACCCAAATCAAAAATATTTCACGTTTGGCCTCTACTTCATCTTCAGGTAGTTTAATCTTCAAACCAGGCTGCTGGAGGGAAATAACGGGTTTTTAAAAAAAAAAATGTATCCTTTTCTATCCTTGAGCTTTCTTAAAGGAAGTCCCCAAAATTATTGAGGAAAGCACCAAAATTGTTGAGCTTTTTAAAAGAAAACCCAACAGTTGTTGAGCAAATCCGAAAGTTGTGGATTTACAAAAACACCAAATGAAATAAAAGCCTTAACCACACTGTCACCCACCTTGGCAGAGAAGCCAGGAGTCAGAATCCTCCCTGCCCTGCCTTCCTGTCCCCCTGTCACTAAAGCCCACTCAGCTTGAAACCCACACATGCAGAGTCTTAGGCTATGTACACATCAAACATTTAAAGCACAATGGAAGCACATTATTTTCCCCAAAGAACCCTGGGAGCTGTGGTTTAAGGGTTACTAGGAAATGCAGCTCTTTGAAGAGTAAACTACCATTCCCAGAAATCTTTAGGGGGAAGCCATGAGCTTTATATATATAGTGTATACGCAGCCTTATTGAGAGAGATAATGGGAGGATGAAATTCTTAGCACTGAAACAGTGCCCCACCCCACCCTGTTGAACTTCAAGCACTTGGCCCAAGATCTTTCAATTTTAACAAGCATTTTAAGTAAAAGCATTTAAAGTGAAAGTTAATAAGCTTATTTTTATTTGCAAAAGGCACAGCTGAGGCATGTCGTATAGGGCGAGGGCAATCTGTGTGCAAGATGCTGAGTGATTTATTGGCCGAAGGGGTAGGACCTTGTGTCCTGGATAAAAAGCTTATCACGAAAGCAATTTTGCAAGTATCCTCCAAAAGCAAGATGGTAATCCATTTGTTACCACAGATAAATGAACTGGTTTGAATGAACCCTAACCTTCATGTTGCATCAACCAAAACTGTTCAAATATGTCCAGGGAGGCCCACAAGGAGAAATGGCATTGGAGGTACAAAATACACCCATGATCAACATAGCTTTGACATGTAGAAAGATTCATTCATGTCTGGGGTAACATATTACGCTGGACAGTTGTTCATTCACAGAGAGCAGACTGTTTGTGGTAACTGACTGTTTTCTGGCAACATTGTGCACAATGGTGCCAGGCACAATGCCCAAAAAAAGTTCAAAGTTAGAGAAATACTAAGGGAGGAATTCAAGATTGTGCTAAGGCCAATGTTCTGTCAGCACAAATATTTCAGCTTGCTAGATGGAATGATACCCCCTTCTCCTGCTGATGCATGCTGATTTTGGGGTTTTTCCTGATGCCCTCAGAGTCAATTTGAGGGGATCCCATTGTACAAGTGGAATCCTCACACAGGTCTTCTCCTGGCGGGACTCATTAGGTGAATCCTGCCCTAATGTTTTGAATCCTTGCACAAAATGTGCACCTGAGGCAAGAAGATGCCCTATAACTGAGTTGAAGAAAACATTTATTGCTGTGCTGATGCTAGAGAAAAAGCGATTTGAATTAAGAAGGGCAATATCTTTTCCATGAGTCTGTATGCTCTCAACATATAAAATAATACTGAAATTCCTAAGCTGGGTCCAGACCAGCCAACCTGTACTTTCCCCCAACCTGGTGCCATCTGGATATTGTTGGACTCCAACCCCTACCCAGCCACAGGCAGTATGGCCACTGGTCAGGGCTGCTGGAAACTGCAATGCAAAATGTCTGGAAGGCACTGGTTTAGAGAAGGCTAGTGTACCTCAGTGACAGAGCTCTGGGTCACATTACCTCTCTCCCATTTATTCATTAAAGACACTGGTACAAAACTTTACGCCCCAAGCAAGCAAGCACTATAAACTTATACTTTAATACATCACCGGGGAAAACAAAAATGATGATTAAAGGTTAAACCAAATCCTTGCCTGAAGGCATGATCTGACACACTTTAGCCTCCAACAGAACCACCACACACTGAAGAGTACACTCCCCACAATGGTCTAGTGGTATTTGCTTTTCATTTCATTTCACTTGTTTTTAACTTCTTAGGATTTTATTGTTTGGTTTTTGTTTGGTTTGGTTTTTATATTGCTGCAAACCACTGTGATATATTTTTTATGATACAGTGCTAGAGAAATATTTTTTATGAATAAATAAATAAGACAACTGCACCACCAGCAGGTAGCAGAAACTAAATGAGTATGCCACACCTAAGTGCAAACAGAGCACCTTGTGAACTTAGAAAACATAAGCAAACCAACCCACAGGGGGCAGCAGGCATCCCAGTACAATGCATATGCTGTATATCTTTTAGTAACCGGGTTGCTTGGTAATTAAAACTTTTTGCCTTGCTTCTGTGCCACAGAGGAGACTGGAAGCAAGCAGGCAAAGCAGCCTATAGGTCCTTGAATGCCTTGGATGTTCTCCTGCTCAGTTGTTGCATGACTTGGTCTAGACTGTGCAACCCAGTCCTCCCACTTTCATTATTTTCTCTGCAATTTATGAGGGCTAGAAACTTACTTAAAAAAAAAAAAAAATCCCACCACCACCAAAAGCTTAGACATTAGGAACATAGGAAGCTGCTTTATATTGAACCAGGTCATTGTCCATCTACCACAGTATTGTCTACACTAAGCGGCAGCAGCTCTCCAGGGTTTCAGACCGGGGGTCTCTCCTTCCCCTACCTGCCTGGGATTGAACCTGCGACCTTCTGCATGCGCTGAAGTTCCTCTACCACTGAGCCACGGTCCTACCCCTGACTGAAAATTGAACCAGAAATGATTGTAACTCTCAGGGGGAGGGAAACCCTGTTTCCAGAAGTCCTGAGTGGCACCAGCAGGTCCTCAGAACTAGGGCTAGGTAATATCAGGTTTTCAACATTGTGATGTATCACCAGCCCAACTTCGCAATACATCACAATGTTGAAAAGTATAGGGAAGAACAAGCTGCGTTGGCCCCGGACCCAAGAGGCAGTGGGGTGGAACCATCTCTGCTCTGAATGCCGCCAGCGCCTGGCAGTGGAGACAGTAATATTGCTCCACCACCAATATACTACCAGGTGAAGGCGCCATCATGCTCTGGCCATCAAACTGTTCCTGGGCCATGTATCAAATTGATACACCACCCAGGCCTACTCAGAACATCTTGTAGAGCAACACATTCCATCAGTAAACTCTGGAATGCCATACACATGTTGCCAATCAGCGTAATTGAGTATGAATTCCAGAGGGGCAGCCATGTTAGTCTGTAGCGGGCAGCAGAAAAAAGAAGGCAGGGTTCTGTGGTACCAAAAAAAGCCAGCACATTTATTGCAGCACAAAGCTTCCAGGAGCCACATCGTGCTTTATCAGAGGCATGCATTTGTTAGTCTTTGTCTTGCCACAGGACTCTTCATTGTTTTTACTGGACACAGCTTCTCTGTGTTGAGAGAGACCGTATCATTTTTTCCTCATACACAAACCTGACTCAACATCCTGCTGGCTGGAAGATTCCTCATATAAAGCTGCCTTATGGAGAGTCAGGCTGGTTGTTGTTGTTGTTGTTTTTAATTATAAGTTTCAAAAGTTTACAAATTTAATACACAATGCATACTTTCCAATTAATATTCATTTATCATTTGACCTCCCCTCTACCCCTCCATGGTTTCCCCATGTTTTCTAATATTGCTGCACATTATAAATACTCTGTACCCTATCCTTGCTTCCAGATACAGTGGTACCTCAGGTTACATACGCTTCAGGTTACAGACTCTGCTAACCCAGAAATAGTGCTTCAGGTTAAGAACTTTGCTTTAGGGTGAGAACAGAAATAGTGTTCCGGCGGCGCAGCAGCAGCAGGAGGCCCCATTAGCTAAAGTGGTGCTTCAGGTTAAGAACAGTTTCAGGTTAAGTACGGACCTCCGGAATGAATTAAGTACTTAACCTGAGGTACCACTGTACATGTTTTACTGCTGTTCTCCATTCAAATACTCCTTCGTTTTTACATGTTTACAATAGCGCTTTAGATATTCTGCAAAAGGTTTCCAGTCCTCAAGTCAGGTTGTTGGGCCATCCATGCTAAATACCGTCTACTCTCACTGGCAGAGACGCTCTGCAAGGACTGAAACAGGGTCGTTTCCAGCAGTACTGCCCAAGATAATTTAACTGGAGGTTCCAGGGAGTGGAACTTGGGATCGTGTGTGTAAAAACCATGTGCTCGACCACTGAGTCCCCATCCACCCCCGGCTGAGCTGGAGACACGCCAGCCTAAGCCCCTCGCCCTGGCTCATCCAGGGCTTATCCAGCAGAACTTCAGCCAGCAGAATTAACACTGGTGTAAGTCCCACCCCCCAAAAGGTGTTCTGTAGGTCGGGTGGGGCAAGTGGAGACTTCCACCTGTTCAAAGCCCTGTCCAGCTCGGTCATGTGACCCAGGGCCCACTCCCCATGTATAGGCCTCACTTTCTGCTGGATAAAGAGCCGCTTCATCTGTGATCTTCTTTCCCAAAGAAAAGCTTCACAGGAAAGCTGGCCCAACACAAGCAGCAGAGGCTTGCAAGTGCTGAAATGTGTCAAATCCCCTTGAGCTAGTTATCTTGCCTCCAGTAATCCAGCCCAGAGATGGATAGCCCATGTTTGGGTTTCATGTTCCACTCCAGAGAGAAAACAAGATGGACACAACGGCAGGGAGAGAGGGAGGCATTAGCTTTAGGAAACTGTTGCCTGCTCTGGCCATTGCAGCCAGCTGCTTCTGAAACCGACATTGTTCAGAATGTGTTGTGTAAAAAATAAAGGGTTGGGGACATTTTGGGATGAGATTCCGGGCAAGGTGTGGCTTGCTCAGTCACAGTAAGTAACTGGATAATCTCAGTTTAGGTTATCAGTAGGGGCGTAGCATGCAAAACACAAACCGGTGGAACGCTGAGGTGAGGAGTCTTTTTCTTGCTCACAGCTTCTGAAAACAATTTTAAACTGCAATCTCACAGGAGAAACTGTGAACACTTTTTTAAAAAAACCACACACACCATAATCTGAATAAAATTTAGTAAGGCCCTTGGAGTCTAGCCGCAATCGCTTTGTGGTTCAGATGCAGCTTGTGGACAGTCCATTGGCCACCCCTGGAATCAATTACCCACTGGATCTTTTTCAACTCTGCTGATGATTGAAACAACCAGCTACGTTCAGAGAACAGAAAAATAAAAGAAGGCACGTTAAAGGTAGTCATGAGCAAGATGGATGGTACTTGTTTGCCTTTGCCTCTAAACCACTGGGAAGATGGCACTGGACATGTGTTAACTCTTAAATGGTGGGATACAGGCAGTTGTGCAGTTAGATAATTTCTAACTAGCAAGCCACAATCAGCAAGCCAACAACAAACCATAGCAGAAGGCTGGTTAGCTATAGCTACTTGTCAGGGAGCAATAAACCATGTTTCCTTGTTTGGATATACAGTAATGGAAAGCCAACGTTTCCTGGTTTGTTTGTGCCACTTGAGCCAGGAGAGGAGTCGCTTGTTCACAAGAAACCACAATAAGCTGGAAAGTCTGGCTTATTGAGACATGCAAACGTGGCAGGCTCTCAGTGTGAAATGCTGGGCTGAAGCAAGTCAGTTCCAGGTCTATGATTTTCACTGTTTCCTTCAGCATTAATCCTAGTTAGGAGTTTCAAGCATCGCAGGAAAGGGGAGGACACATCTCTGTGCGCAGGGCTCTCTCCCATCACTGCACATATGGTGCATCCATCATCAGGCTCAGTTTCAGAGCCCGCTTTGAGTTCCGTTTGCTGCAAACTGGCTGTGGCCTGGCTTGGATGCTTTTGGCCTGGCCCAGACGATTGTGTGACAGCAGCTGAGAGTCTTTAGGCCTGGCTAATAGTTACGGCTCCAGGCTTTTCCACTCACGTGCTGCTGAATCACTGGCAAAAAATGCAACCTCGTAGAAGGAAGATTTTTGTTCTGAACAGTGTGGCTTTGTAGAAGGGAACTGCTGCTTTGCACTTTCTAAGCCAAGCACCCGGCAGTTCAGCCAAGCCAGAGATCAGGGAAAAGGAATCAAGAGTGTGTGTTTGTATGTATTTATGTTCATGAATCCCAAAGAGAAGATCAAGGAAAAAGGAATCCTATGTGCTTTCTTCCCCTTGCAGCCCTACAAGCAAATGGAGATTTGTGGCTTTAAAGAGCTGGGAGGTTTAACAACTTAGCACTGAACTCCTCTCTGCAAGAGAAAGGTGTGCCTTTGACAACATAGGTCATGGGTGCAGGCTGTTTAAGAAGCTATTTGTAGAAGTTTCAAATACGGTATGTCTGTTTCAGCAAGTACAGATTGTGGTTCTAGTAGTGGAATTCTCCATTTTTTAATCTTATTTAACTTAAGAATTTATAAGACACCCTTCTGTATAAATATTTCCTGAGTAGTTCACAAAAACGATTAAAAAAACAAACACAGTATTTTTTTAAAAAAAGAGATAAAACAAAAATCAAACCAGCAGCATAAAGCAATAACAAGAGTCTAAAAGCTAGGAAAACAAAGAGATCTTGGTCCGGTACCAAAAAACTAATCAAAAGTAGGTACCAAAAGTCATTTGATAAAGGCATCACTTCAGACCCCAAGGGCACCTGATGGACAGCCTCAGCAATGGCCACAGCTCAAGGGAATATGACAAAGTTCAAGGGAAGAGGGTCCCTGCCATGAAGGACTTAAGGCAGGGCGGTCCAACATGTGGGGCAAGGCCTTTTTGGTGGCCCTCAACAAAATTATCCATTATCCAACCCACCTCCTTCACCACCCTCTTGTTGCCTTCCCAAAGCTGGTTATAGGAGGCACTGGGCTTTGGGAAGGAGGCATGAGGGCTCTGACAGGGTGCTCCGGCCTCCTTCCCAAGGCCAAATTAGCACTTTCCCAGCTTTGGGAAGGAGGTGGGAGAGCTCTAGGGTCAAATTTTGCCCCCCCCCCCCCGCAAAGCAAAGGGCAGGGTGTGGCCCATGGGTTCGGTGTCAAAGTACTTTTGTGGCCCGCTTGGTATGAAAAGTTGGACCGCCCTGAATTAAGGTAAGCCTCAGCACTTTGAATTGTGCTTGGAAATTGATTAGTTCAAATGTTAAAGCACCAGGAAGATGGGGAAGGGCTGGAGCTCAGGGGCCGAGCATCTGCATTGCACCCAAAAGATCCCAGCTTCAATACCCTACATCTCCAGGTATGGCTGGGAGAGACCCCTCTCTGAAATCCTGCAGAGCCGCTCGTAGTCAGTGTGGGTAACTCTGAGCTAGGTGTACCAGTAATCTTACTCAGTATAATGCAGTATCTTATGAAATGTGCCATAAAAACGCAAGAAGAGCATGCTGAATCAAGTCAATGGCCCATCTAGTCCAGCATCCTGTTCTCCTACTGGTCAACCAGATGCCCATGGGAAGCCTGTGAGCAGGACATGAGAGCAACAGCACTCTGCTCACCTGTGACCCCCAGCAACTGCCATTCAGAGCCATGCTGCCTCTGACAATGGAGAAAGAACTCAGCCATCAGGGTTAGAAGCTGTTGATAAGCCTAGTCCTCACGAACATGTCTAATCCACCTTTAAAGCCATCCAAGTCGGTGGCCATCACTGTCTCCCATTGCTGTCTGTGTCCCCAACAGACAGTCCCATTTAGCACCATAAAGGTAAAGGGACCCCCGACCATTAGGTCCAGTTGTGACCGACTCTGGGGTTGCGGCTCTCATCTTGCTTTATTGGCCGAGGGAGCCGGCGTACAGCTTCCAGGTCATGTGGCCAGCATGACTAAGCCGCTTCTGGCGAACCACAGCAGCGCACAGAAACGCCGTTTACCTTCCCGCTGGAATGGTACCTATTTATCTCCTTGCACTTCGACATGCTTTTGAACTGCTAGGTTGGCAGGAGCAGGGACCGAGGAACGGGAGCTCACCCCGTCGCAGGGATTCGAACCGCCGACCTTCTGATCGGCAAGTCCTAGGCTCTGTGGTTTAACCCACAGCACCACCCGCGTCCCATTTAGCATTATAGCAACTGCATTTTGCATTAACTGGAGCTTCCAAATAGCATTCAAAAGCAGGCCTACGTACAATGCATTAGAGGAATCTATTATCTCCCTCCTGCCTTTTGGTCAAACACATGACTTTTGGGCTGACCTATCAAGCCTCTCCTCAAACCAGAGGCAAGGGTAAAGGGGTGTGCTTGTTCTATTATCCAGCTCAGCAAGATGCAATGTTAGAACTGAAGGCTGGAAGTGACCCAAGAGGGCAGGGGAACGGGATACATCTTGCACATAAGACAGAGAAGCAGCCCAAGTATCCCAGAGTCACCGATGCTTCTAGATCAGGAGCCGTTCCAGACAAGCAACCTACTTATATCTAAAGCTGACGCTCTTTCTCCCAGTTCCTTGATGGGTGTGGGAAGAAATCAATGCTGTTCAAGTGCTACCTTCAAAATCTTCTCCAGCCACTCAGAGCCATCTCTCCCACATTTGCTAAATGGAAAAAGCCTCCCCGCCCCCATATTACTAGTAGCCCTTCCAAATGCTGGTTTTTGCACAGAGCTAGCTAGTCTGCTCAGGATGAGAAGACAGAGGAATCTCCAGAAATAAGGAACAGGAAGGATAGATGGCAAGGAACCTAATGATCCCAGGTAGACCCTGCTGCTCCCTAAACCAGCACAAGCAAGCCTCCATTTGCTCAACATCTCATGCTCCACGCATGCTGCTCTGACACCTTTCTTCTCTGGGAAACCCTAGTAATGCCACCTAGCCCCATTAAGAGAGCAAGGGGAATATGCAAGATATTCCACCTTTGTGGAGACTGGCATGTGCCAAAAGCCGGCCGCCTCATCTCAGATGCTTAGTTACACTGCTCCAGTTATGAATTCAAGAAGATGTTATTAAGATAGTGGGCAAAAAGAAGGTATGGAGCAAGTGACAAAATAAAGCAAAATTTAAAAGCATCTACTGGTATCCTAGACAAGACTGTCAAGCAAGGTTATCTTTCGGCATGCTAACCAGAATATAACTTATTTCATTGCAGATTGCAAAACCTTGCCTAAAATTGGGTGCAAAACCCCCTCCCCTGAAAGCCTTCTGGTTTTATCCAATCCAAGTCAAAGCCACATGCACACTGGGTAGTTCCACTGGGTCTTTGTTCTCTCTCAGTAAATGTCAGCAATTGAGCTAGTTGCATCACTGTAACCCAGACTTCCCTTTGGTTTTAATTCTCTAAGCACAATGAACCCACAGCAGTCCCTAGCCTGGCCTTTGAGCACACAAGTCTTTGCTGGCGTCATCAGAATGGATGCTTTTCTTGGGTCAAAACTCAAGTAGGAATTAAGTTAAACTAAACCACAGGGAATTTGGTTTGTTCCCTTGCTGGCAGCTATGGTTTTGATAGTGCAATATAGGAAGCCTGATTCATCCTCGGGGTCTACTGTAAGTGACAGGTCTTCAAAAGGGAAAATAAGGAGGCATTAACAACTCCAGAGCAATGCAACAAAGCAGCGACCTGTTTCAGCCAGGACAGAGGGACACATTTCCTCATGGGCAACTTTCCAGATGGTGGGTGGGGCCAGATACAAAAGTGGGTGGAGCAACATATTGACTCTAAGCTTTCTACAGTAGACTTCATTTCTGCCATGCATAAAAAAGAGATTTCTACATGCAAGCAAGAGGCATTATAGTACCCCAAGAACCAATTCCAGACAGGCAAAGTTACTTGAGGAGGGTGCAGAGAAGGGGCAGTGAAGGGCAAGATTTGAGATGGGTCCTGGTCCTGGAAAAGTCCCAAAGGCCTGAAAGGCTCAATTTGGTCCTTGGGCCTGAGGCTCCCTGCCCATGGTTTTGATGAAGTGTAGAAGACGTAGTAATGTACACCAAATCAACCTTTACTCTACTTATTTGCTGCTGTACTGGCATGCATTTTTAGAACAGCTTCCAGAAGTTTATCTCTCTGTGAAACAGAGATATGTTTGAGACGGCAATTCCACAGGAGCACAAAAAGTACAGACAGCCAGGTTATGGGATCCAGTTTCATGAGAATTTCAGTTTCTACTTTTTTTAAAGTCAACCCGTACAAGTTCCTAGGCCTTATGACTGTGAAGGTACATTTGAAAGTATGAGTAATCCCTGCTGAAATTTTAGAGCCTGAAGAACAAACAAGTTTTCCAGTAGTTGAAGGTGGGGCTTCCAAACCTTTGCTCCCAGATCTGGCCCATTTTGCTGCCTGGGGCAAAGAACAAGATGGTGTCCCCACTTCCATGTTCAGAAAATGACAGTTTATGGATAATTCAGAATTTATTGGCACAGAAGTATAATCTCCTGACCCAGCATCATGAAAAACTCTCCTCAGTTCTCTGCACCATGCAGATAATGCTAAGCCAAAGTATGGCTTAACATGAATGGGCAAATATGCAGGTGCAACAGTGATAAATTTGTGCCTCCTAACACCTCCCCTGCTTCTGTTGCTGCCATACTACCAGGAGCTAAGCCATGGTTTGGCTTAGCTTTATGTCCAAACCCCGGATCTAGGTTTGTCTCACTCTAAATAGCCCACAAGCTGTAACCAAGGTTTGTTCTTTGCTTATAAGCTTGTGGTTTGTGCCTTGCGAAGACTCATACCAAGCTGGGAAGCTGGGCCTAGCTCTGTGCAATTTTACTTCTAGGGCACTACCTTATTGTGTGTTCAAGTGTGAGGTGAGAGTCAGGCTCCTTCCTATTCTTTTAAAAGTGGGTAGATTCTCTTGACAACTTTGCACTGAGATTACAGCAGAGACGGCTATATGATAAAGAGAAAGCAAGCAAAGAGCACAGCAATATAATCACTTTTATCACTCACAGCATAGTGCGCTGGAGAGAAGCAACAGGAGAGAGCAGTAATAACCACACAGTGTGCGCACACACACATACACACAGAGAAACCAGTGCAGCTTTGCAGAATAGTAGCTATTACCCTTGGGCCCTAGGCAAGCTCATCAGCTCACCACTAGTCAGCACTTTACTTCTTTTTCTTTTCTTTTCCTTGCAAGATCCCCCAGTATTTCCCTTTTGCTGTATGCCAGGGAGGCTTGCAAAGCAGTGTCCTTGCTTTCCAAGGCTCAACGTGAGTCAGAGAAATTCTCTAGTCTCCAGAGAAAGGCAAAGGGGATTTGGCTTACGATCAGTTGCAGAAAGGTCTGCAACACAGTGAGATGTCTTGCTGCTTAGCAAGCCCCTTTCTGGCTTGATGCGTGTAGGTTCTGGTCCCTGTAGTCCCAGCTCAGAGGTGAGGAAAGAGGATGGGGGCATGATCCCATAGTTACACTGGGCCATGGAGGCACATTAATGTCTCCAAATCCTGGCATGACAACACAGGCAAGACCCCACCCTCCCACTCAAGGCCAGCCGAAAGCTGTGAACTCACGACCACAAAAAGAGCAAAAACTGTACTATCATTAGCACCGATTCCAGCAGAAGATGCAAATACAGCACATACACAGCACATACAACACATGAAGGACAGCGGCTGCACACCTTCCTTCAGAGCAAATGCACAGAGTGTGCAAAATGACACAAGGAATGCACAAAGGGCTGTATCCACAAATACATACTAATGGCCCCTCCAGACGTACTTTTTACCAGGCATTCATGATTATTTGTGCTCAGGGGGCAGTTATATGCGATCCTGCTCTCAACACTGTTTGCTCCTGCAAGCTTCATGCTAAGATCCTGTAATGTTCCAAGGTGGAGCGGGGGCAAGGGTTGTCCTGCTTTTGTTGCGCTATAGCACAAGAGTGCGCCTCCAGATAGCAGTAGCAGCAACACTGGGAAAGCATCACAGAACAGCTAATAAAAGCGAAATTATGTATATAAATCCACCACAAATGCACTATTATTGCACCAATGACATGTTATAGAATACACCTGCAAAATACACAAACACACCAGTCTGGAGGGGCCCTAACCTTTCAGCAACATAATGAAGCGACAGTGTAAGAGATTGAGGCTGTTACTGCAAATTTTGGGGGAAATGGAATGGAAAAGACCACTTAGCCCCTTTGCCTGCAAAACAGAAAGCTCCTCAGTCTACATCCAAGAAGCCCAACAGATTAGTTCATGGTCATCATGGAAAGGAAGTTAGGAAATGCCAAAGGGCACTATGGTGGAATTTGAATCTGTAGATTCACAAGTGATACTCAGTATACTCAACTTATTTAACCTAAGAACATATCTAAAAATAGCACAAAGCTCCAAAAACAAGACACATTTCAAACCATTTGTTATCTGAACCCTCTTGATTTTATCTGCATCTGCCTTAAAAATGCAGTGCTGATAAGATTAATGTCTACAGTGCATACATACATACACCCTTCATATGCATGATGATACTTTCTCTAGCCTTTCCTATTTTTTTCTGTACAGTACAATCCCAACAAGAAGCATAAGCCTGATGGTCAAGGAATGGCACCAATGAGTTTAACTGAGCATGGTTATCACTTCCTTTTGATTTCTGTTCATCTTATTTTGATGTAAGCCACGTTGAGAATGTTTTAACTATGGGAAGGTGTCATACAAATTACCAATTATTGCATTGCAGGAAGTTGGACTACACGACTCTCAGGGCCCCTTCCAACTCTACAATTCTATGATTCTATGGTTACCAGATGGGAATTTAGATTGTAAAGCACAATCCTTCTTTATAACCCCTGTTGTGCACCGCATGCTTTTGAGAAATGGGGAAAAGGAAAGTGTGATAAAGAACTTCTGAGGCAGAGAAGTGCTACTGAGATCATCCAACTAGATAATTCCCTCCATTTCCAAGTATATCTGCCAACACCGGCACTACCATTAGGCAAAGGAAGGCATCAGCCCCACATGGCAAATAATGACAGACGGGAAGCAGACAGTTGTGTGCTAGCTTACATGTCCTTCCATGCACCCCTTTGCTCTTGGGTGCAGTGGAGGCCTTTGGCCCTTCGCCACTGTTAAAACAGGATTCAGCTACCATGTCAACTCTTGTGCATGGAATGAGGGAGGCGTCATCTTGCCCTTTGCCTCGGGCAGTAAAATGTATTGCGCTGTTCCTGAAATCTGCAGGAATTGCCAAGGGTAATATTCGCATAGATAACTTTTGCGTTTGTAAGGGAGAGAGAACTGCTTCCCCCTCAAAAAAGGAGAACCCACTTAAATCCATTTTTCCTGGAGCATCCTGTCCCAGGGTTTAGCATACTCTCCAACATGTCACCATGGAAAAAAGTGCATCTTTTGGGATGTGCTCCCATGCAAGTCACACGACCCTCACATTTTTTCTTTAGAGCACGGCCGCCCAAAATGGGATGTTCCAATTTATTTGGGGCAGTTGAGGGGTATGGTTTAGTTAGTACCTTGCTACCATCTAAGGAGAGTCTTTACTAGTGCAAGGACAGATCTACAGCATGCATTTAAAACACACTCAACCTTAAATTACAGATCCCAGGATTCTTTGGGGGAAGTAATGTGCTTTAAATGTCCATTGAATGGGCTTTAAATGTCTGGTGTGGAACTGCCACAACTTTACAGGCCACCTGCATATCAGATACAGTATATCTGATATACAAACAAATCCCAGGGACCTGTGCTGCAGATGAGTGCTTGTGGCACCTGTTTCTGGAGCGGTATTGGTGCCAGGCTGTCCCATGCCACACTATTCCCCTTTAAACACTCTGATGCAGGACAAGTCATCCCACATCAGCATCAACACAGTTACAAGTGTGGCTTCTGGACCTAATGCAGGCACAGAAGCAGCTTGTCCCACGTAGTTTCACCCTATCACATGTGCAAGAACCTGAAGTAATGGCCATAGAGCTGGCTTGGTTTGGGTCTCTCAAAGCAAAGGCCTAGGTTTCCCATGTGCTGGATGCCCCAATTCAAACATCTGCAAAGGTTAACTTATTTTTTAGCACCCTGCATTTAGGTGGGTTCTGCTGCTCTGAAAATCACATTCCAGTCCTCAGGAGAGTAAAACCAGGTAGACAGTGAGAGAGGCCTCTGAGCATGCCTGCCTTTACTGGCATAATTTCAAGTGGGGAATGTTCTCATACCTTCCAACATTTCTCCAATGAAAATAGGAACATCCCATTCCATAATGATATTTTACTATTTATACCCCACACATCTTACTGGGTTGCCCCAGCCACTGTGGGGAGCTTCCAACAAATATAAAAACATAATAAAACATTAAACATTAAAAAAAACTTCCCTATACAGGATTGCCTTCAAACAGCTCGGGGGCCGGATAACTCCCTACTCCCCAAGATTTCTCCAAAGAAAATAGGGACATCATAAGGAAAAGTGGGACACTCTGGGATCAAATAAGAAACCGTGGTGGCTTCTCTAAATCACGGATGTTCCTGGAAAATAGGGACACTTGGAGGGTCTGTGTTCTTGGATGAAGAGGGAGTTCATTGACAACTATGTTTTCTGGGGTAGAGGGGAATGACAGAGATGTTCTGGAACTTGACCTGCCCTCAGAGATGTTACCACAAACGCAACAGCAGGCAAGAAACTTAATTCTGCACTTGTGGAGCCCTTTCACTCCAATGCAGGGTAGACTAAGGTCAAGTCCCCACTTCTTTTTCTCAATCTACATTCCACACTCAGTGCATACAAAGCGGAGACCAAGTCACTACAGAAGAAGTGAGGATAATAAAGGCAAGAAACAAACACAGCAAAGCAAACCCAAAAAAGTTGAAGAAAACCAAGCCACAACACACATTATGAGGTGAGATTCTTCTGCCATCCACCCCAGATTTACCAACGGTTGAGTGAGTGTTTGACAACTGTGAGAAACTTCTTAGCCAGAAGAATCTGTGCTATGTATGTCTGGGTGAAAGACTCTGAATGAACAGGGACGTGAATTAAAAATAGGTATACAGTATGAGATTCACAGTTTTATTAAAAAATATATATGCAGAACTTTCCACATGGGAAAAGCCAGCAAAGCTTCTCAGAAATTGTAGGATATGTGTAAACAGAAGACAGGAAGTCTAAAAAGTACATAGTAGTAATACGACCCCAGCTATAATCTACAGATCTGAAGCACTGGCAATGCAAAACACAATAATAATGAGGTTTAAATGGATTCCATGGCAGATGTCCCGGAGAGATTCCCAGAGTAAAATATCAGAATAAAGTGACACATTCAAGTACGAGACACACAGCCTCCAGCTTTAAAATGGGGAGGAGGCACTCTGATGGATTTTGGATTATGAGTCACCTATCTGTTCTTTCCACTTTGACCTGGAAAAAGTCTCCAACTTTCTTTGGTCCATAGTAATGAATTGTTCTCCTCGCCCTTGGCCAGCATTCCAGTGTGCTTAGCACAAGACTCTTGTCACAAGCTGTTGGACTGGCACCAATCTTTGGAAGAATTTGCCCAGAAAGAACAAGCCCCAGCAAGTGGATTTATTAGTCAGCACACAATTTTGGCATGGTCCAGTCCTAGACAGAACGCATTCAATGTAGCATGAGGCTAAAAACATAATAGATACAAACAAACAAAAAGCCCAAAATGTCCATGACATTATGGTACCTGTTTAAACCTGATATTGGGGTAAAAGAAAACAGGGCATGCAGGTACAGAACTTGACACTGACACCCCTTCACTTCTTACAACTTATTCTTCCCAAGTCCAACACTTAGGGCTCCTTCAGACAGCCTGTTTATTGAGCATTCATCCTAATTTGCTTCTACAAAGCTTACATGGTGATTTAACTATGCCCCATTTTAGTAAGCATTTGTTATTATTTCTTTATGGGGAGGTTATGAAACAATGAGCATTCACCTGGATTTGTGTGTGGGGTGGTGGTGTTTACATGTCTTCCTGTTAATCATTTATTCATTCCACATTTCTTAGCACATTCCCCCATCACTTTTCTAACTGCAAAAAGTACGGTATGTTGTTTTCTTAAGTAGATTTTTTGTGCTAAGGTAAACTACTTTAACTGTGCAAACCTAAATTTCCTGTATGCACTTGAATCTCTCCCACAAAACAGCAACAGTCTGAAGGCACTCACAAATGCCCCCACTTAAAAAAACAACCCAGTCCCCAAGAACAGAAGCAAGCCTGCTGTAAGGAAAATGCCAATTTGAGCCCAAGATGTTTGAGAGCATGCCCCCTGGAGTTGTTTCCATTTGGCCTCCAGCACAGCTCCCTTTTACAGTGCACTTCGCCCACTTTCTTCTACCAAATGGCACAGAAGCAAGAACCCCTCCCCCTATGCAAAGGCCAAAGGCAGTCTTGAGTCCCTTCTCATTGTATGACAACATCATCAGCAGTCCCTTGGCTGCTCACTCATGTTGCTATCCCTTCAGCCCTTGTGCAGTGCAAGATGTGGTCCCTCTCAAAAATGAGTCGCAGCTATAGCATTCCCGTACCCAACGCAGGCTAAGTTTGCTCTCACAGATACAGTTAGCATCTCTGCTAGTCTCAGTTGGCATGGCTGAGCTCAGCACAACAGAGGCGCCCAGGAAAACTCCCTATGAGCTATACAGTGGTACCTCAGGTTACATACGCTTCAGGTTACATACACTTCAGGTTACAGAATCCACTAACCCAGAAACAGTACCTCAGGTTAAGAACTTTGCTTCAGGATGAGAACAGAAATCGTGCTCCGGCGGCGCGGCAGCAGCAGGAGGCCCCATTAGCTAAAGTGGTGCTTCAGGTTAAGAACAGTTTCAGGTTAAGAACGGACCTCCGGAATGAATTAAGTACTTAATCCGAGGTGCCACTGTATATTGCCCATCTCTGTACTTCATTTGTGGTGCCACTTACATCCCTTCTAGTAACCATAGAGAGGGCCCAAATACCCTCTCTGCTTCTGCTCTGGAGAGAACCTTATGCTTTAGTCTAACGGCCCACGAGTGCCAAATATGCAGCTTAAGTAGCTGGGGCTGGAGGGTATCAGTCAGGTGCTTTGGAAGGATTAGAAACCACAGAGCTAGAATTGAATACAGCCCAAATTAGCTACAGCAGCTACTCCTACATCTTGTGGGAGCCCTTCCAGGTTATGAAATCTTCCAAAACAAGGTAAGATGTTTATTATTTTCCACCTACAGTCTAGCTACAAAAAAAAGCAGAAAGTGTAGAGTGGTTCTACATGGATAAGTCTCATGCTCTTGATAGCTGGGTAGCTACAGTGTTCAAGACGGCATTGTATAGGCAGAATTCTCATCACGCGCACACACCAAACTACAACTCCCAGTAAAATAAGAGTATATTAACAGTTTACAGTGCAGAGATCCCCCACCTTATTAGATCATGTTGCACAGCCCATACCTAGGACATCCTCTCTAAAATGGGGAATCTGTCCACTGGTTTCCAGACACCAAATTCTCCAGTGGCATTTCTTGGTTGCATTGCCTTGCCCAGCTGGCAAAGATTAAAGCACCTATACACAGTGCAGATGTGCCCTACCTACCCCCGGCAAATGTCAAATCTGTCTCTCCAAAATCCAAACACATCTGAGAATCACCAAATTATCTCCAAGCATTGCATAGCTATACTGCTCACAGAAGTTCACAGGAAGCAGACCAACACATACAGCAGAGTGGATGAAACAAGCCCCTAAATGACACGACATATTCCTTCTATGTTCTCGGACTCTCAAAAGGTAGGATTGTATCAACCAATTTTATCTCTTCCTACAAAAACTACTTGTCAAAACCTCTCCTGTCCGCTTTCATCCTCTCTGGCAGTGATGAGGGTTTTCCAGGAAATGGTGAATTAGGGTAATTTGTGAAGGAAAATATTCTGGTGTCCTACAGCAAAGGAAGACAATGTGGTGCCCTCCAGATGTTGCTGGACTACAACTCCCATGATCCCTGGCCACTGGCCATGGCTGATAGGAGTTGCGGTTAGTAAACCGAACGAAAAACTTTAAAGCTGTCAAGCATGCCCAATATTTATAGTTACTAATGAACTTATGCAATCATGTTTTTGCATGGAAAAATTGAGCACTGGAAAATTTTCTGCCTCACACCATGTCTTTCTGCAAATCCTATACTCTGCCTTTCCCCATCTAGATCCTATATTCTGTTTCTCCCCAGTTCTTTGTGTAGGGCCAAATTATACGTTACATCTAAATGCATAGCCTGGCAATATGTGATTCTTTTAAAACTTTAAATAGCAGCCATGGGATTGAGACTGCAGTGAGGGTATTTTTATTTTATTTTATTAACCATTTCCTTACTCTTCCACGATCCCAGCAAAAATACCACCCTTGAAGTGGCTGTTTGGCAGGGAAAGGAAACTGCCACTGGCACATATTAAAGCTTTTCTCCCATGCCAAACGCACTTTGGGGGCATTTTGTTTGGATCACAGTTTTGGTGCAGGGAATGGGGATAAAACAACTTGTCCATGGTAGGGGAAATGCAGCAAGAAGTTGTTAATATTGATTGTTAACATGGGAAAATCCTGGTCTGGAAAGTGAGGTGGGTACACTTTCATGTTCTCTCTGCCAATTACATTGTATATAGCAGGTCAGCGATACAGGGGAGCTCTGGGGAGACTTAGGTTCAAATACCACCGCCTGCAGCCACAAAGTTTACAGGGTCACACTCTCTCAGCCTAATCTACTTCACAGGGTTGTTGTGAGTTTTCTGGAAGAAAGGCAGGATATAAATGTAAATAACATGAATAGCAATAGTAAATAATGTAAATAATTTGAATTGTAATAGTAGTCGGTGCAGCTGGAGCTATATTAGTCATGTTCCAGGCAAAAGGGAAGAGCCGGTTTGGACCAGTGAAACTGGCCATTGGCCTTCCTCCTCATCCCAAGAACAGGCAACAGCCTGAAATATACAGATCTGCTCCAGTTCGGGAGAAGTATGTGAGTCACCCAGGAGGTCAGTAACTTTAAATGAATCAGAGTGGGCTTCTTGTGAACAAAGTATTTCAAAATCTCTGAGACTGCAACTAAATGTTAAACCACATATGATGCTAAGTGTATAACTTGAAAGGACATCAGAGATTTTAAAATAATAAAAGTAATAGGTGCAGGAAGTGATTTTTATCAGGACCACAGCACGTAGGAAGGGTGTTTTTCCTCCTAAGGCTAATAACATCATGGAGGTGGGGTGGGATTTTGTGGGGTGGGATTCCATCACTACACACTAAAGCTGCAATGAAAACCCGGAGGGTGTGTGTGTGTCATTATTAAATTCCTGACATGCTTCCAAGTGACACATTAGTTTAGCCCAAATTATACTGAACACAGAATTTGCATATTTTACTGGAAGAATCTGGATGTTTTAAAAGTGAATAAATGTAACACAATACACACACCCATTTGCAGTCCCAGCCCTGTTCCTTGGCCTTGCTCAGTACAAGTCCGATCCAGATGATCTAACGGTTCTAACCTGACAGGCAGTTGAGTGGAGAGAGAAGTGCTTTTTGGGAACTCATAGGAGCCAGGAGGACAAATATAATCATCCACAGCATGATGCTGCACAAAGTTACCACTGCAGAGCCAAGATGTGAAGTGGACTCCAATTAAAGTGTGCAGATCATAGCACCCCGTGCCACCATGAACTGGTGCTGTAGTTGATGACGTGAAAACAACTGCAGGGAAGGGGAAGAGAAACAGTAAAATGCAGCATGGCTGCTGCTGCTTTCTATACACTACTACAAGCCAGTGCGATGGAATGCAAGCAGAGTAAACAGACATCTGTTGTTTCTCCATGGGCCATGTCAGCCAAAAGGGCTTCCCGAGAGGAATAAAAACAGCACAAATCTCTCTCTCTGCAAACTGATCTGTGTGCCTGCCTGCACATGAGAGAGAATGGGATAAGAACATAAGAAGAGCCCTGCTGGGCGTGACCAAGGTCCATCTTGTCCAGCATTCTTTTCTTAACAGTGGCCAACTAGATGCATCTGGGAAGGTTGACAAGCAGGGCATGAAGGCAGTGCCCGTCCCTTATAGTCTGTTTCCAGCCTCTGATAACTGGAGGTATACTGCTTCTGACTGGGGAGTTTCTGTTTAGCTGTGGCTAATCACTATTGATAAAAATCCATAACCCATTTACTGTATTTGTCTAAACGTCTTTTAAAATCTAACTCATCATTTCTAAAAGCAACTCTCCATGTGGGTGGCTATGTAAACACTATACATATAAAGCACATGGCTTCCACTAAAGAATCCTGAGAACCATAGTTTGTTATGGGTACTAGAAATTGTAGCTTTGTGAGGGTAAACAACAGTTCCCATGACTCTTTTGGAGGGGTGTGTGCTTTAAATGTGCAGTGTGTACACAACCTAAGTGTGAATATATAATTCTAACACACACACACACACACACACACACACACACGGGCATAGCTAGGATTTATGTTGGGGGGGGCAGGACACCCACCTGTCATCATCCTCTGTCTGGCTCTGTCTAGCAGATTCAGAATGAAATGTCTCAACAACTTTTACTTTAAATTACTTTCTTTTGACCCAAGTGCTCAGAAAAATCTGTCAAAATATTTCTACAATTTCTACTTTTAGTTAAGTATTTTTATTTATTTACTTGATGGGGAGCAGCTGCCCCCCCTGGCTACGTCTATGCACACAGACACACACGCACGGCAGAACCGACTGAGGGTGACATTTCAATAGTTGTACTGACTTTTTCCAAATAGTGGTTTTTGCCAGTCCACATTTCCTGCCAGGTAATTCCCACAAATTCCCTTTGCTTTTATTCACACAATCAACACACTTTAACCAATGAACTATCCTGGGAAGCTTTTTATGAACAAACTGTACCTATTAAAAAGAGGTTACCAATTTGCTACCGGACCGTATTCAAGGTTCTTGTATTAATGCACATAGTCCTAAACAGACTGGACCCAAAGTACCTTCAAATGTGGTGTTCCATGAATACATAATAAAAGGTCTGAAAAACTCATTTGCATAGGAAGAGGGCAGACCCTATAGCAAGATGTCACTTTAAATAGCTGTATTCAGTGGCTGTTTTTATTGGAAAATCAATAAAAATGATTTTTTTAAAAATAGCTGTATTCAGCACTGTTTCACAGCTTAGATCATGGTAAAACTGAACATCAGGAAACACTGATTGGAATGCATGTTAGATTTCACACTTTGTTTTATGTTTTCCGAATAACCAATATGGCTTGTCTCCCATATTGACCCTTATTTTTATTAGGCTACTAACACTCCTCTATTTGCTTGTTATACATAGTAATAAACTTGCTTGTTATACATAGTAATAAACTTTTCTGCATATTGCTAAAGGCCTTCGTCACCTTTATATCCATTCATATCACAAATCAGTAATTTACAGAATAAAGCACATTGGCAGCTTACTTCAAAATCTGCCGTAACTAGAAGCTGGGCTTTAGTGTGCAAATAAAAGGATACTAAACAGAAGGAAGCAAGTTAAACTGCACAGTCCAATTCCAGATATAAAGTGCATGGGGCTAGGGGCATCCTCTCTGCTAGCCTGGTAGAAATTGAGGCATGGCCAATGGAGAACTAAAAGTGTTGCTTGGTGTTAAAAGGGGTTAAAAGGATCTTTCTTGCTAGTTGCAGGGAGCAAAAAGGGTCCTGTGAGGTCTCACTGGATTCCCACATGAAAGGCTTTATATGCCGAGAGTATGTGCTCCAGACACTATACAATGACTGGTTCTCATATCTCAGAGATGTCTACTTCTGTGGAGGGAAGTGACACTGGAAAAGCAAAGTGAAACCGCAAATGGCTGCTGCTGACAGCAGCTGCTCAGTTCCTGGACACACTACAGTATCAGAGAAGGCAGCCTGAGAGTCTGGAACTTCTAATGGACGAGACTGTTGCAGCAGAGAGGCTGCCCTGCCAGAGCATTTTCAAATTCCATCTCTAGAGCAAGATCTGGAAACTGGGGCCAGGGCTGCTTGTTTAATAGGTTAAAATTTAATAAGGGGATTATTCACAGGGAAAAGTGGAATTTGAGGCCCAGCCCTATCAGGCTCGGCCTTTCAGTAGTTTCCAAGCTGAGCAAATTGGGAAAAGAGAATGGCAACGCCTACTAATAAAGAGCCACCAGTGAGTGACCCAGCACTGAGTGCCTAGTGAATGAGAAGGGCAAGGCAGCTTCTCTCACTCGGCTCTCCATTCAGCCCTTTTCACCATTTGCCAAATGCGAAGGACGCACACTATGACATCACAAAATGGAATGATCAAGCCCTCTTCTTCAGCATTTAGCTGAGCTGGCAGATGAAGTTCTTGATTGAATCAAGATGGAAACACACAGTGCTAATTTTTCTCATGAGGGCCCCAGCAATGCTGGGCAGAAGGCCACACTGCAGACTTCTCCCCACTCACACTGAAAGCTAGTACCCATGGTGCACTGTTCTGCCTGGAAAAAAAATGGTCTCCAAAGTCCTGCACGTCCCAAAGCCAGGGAAGCAGCAGGTGGAACAGAAAGCACAATCCAAAATCAGGTCTTCCCAAATCAGGCAGACCAGAGGTCTTTAGGCCCACAGAGATCCAGATTGGCCAGCCGGAAAGGGGGGTGGGGTTCTTTTCTCCTCTGTTCCAGTAGTTAATTTCTAAAAAGGCAAGTCCTGGAGACTCAGGCCTACACCACACAAACCCAATAACTTGGAAGTCCTGTTCTCTAATCCCGAATATTGGGGAGCCTCATGTAGTTATTCTGTAGTGAGGGCAAGACCCTCTCTCCTGTATTATTACTTCACATCTTCCAAGGCTACACACCCTCACGTTGAAATCAGGTTCTGTGGTCTTGGCAAAGTGTCTTAGATTATGCCCTGACTGACTGGACTAGGTGATCAGACACAAGAGACCCTGACTGCAGAAACAGAATGCCCCTAGTCTTCTGTTCTCCTGATGAAGAAAGGATTGCAAAGTTAAACCCATACACACAAGTACTAAAGGGGCATTCCTGCTTCTTGGGCAGACACAGGTCACATGCACACTATACATTTAAAGCACATGGCTTCCCACAAAGAACCCCGAGAACGGTCATTTGCACCTCACAGAGCCACAGTTCCCAGCACCTTAACAAGCTAAAGTTCCCAGGATTCTTTGAAGGAAACCATGTGCTTTAAATGTGCTCTTATGGCTCAGTAAGAAACTTCTACACAAAGCTCTTAAGAAGCAATAAGTGAGGAGGCAACGTACTATGACTATGACTTTATGCTTCTCCTTAAACATTGCTACACTTGCTGTTTCCGACCAACAAGGGCCACAGATATGATGAAATTATATATATACTGTATATAGAATGCTCATTAAGCAACCTGGGCCTCTAGCTTGATTACTGCATAGGAAGGATATGCGGATGGGCCAAAAAAAGTCCCTTAGCTACAAAAATACTGTTTCCCTAGAGGGTTGCTCAAGGCACCCAGAAGTAGGAAGCCGAGGTGTATTACTGACAATTAAAAGCAACAGCAGTCAGCAAAAATAGTCAACAGAGCAGAGATTCTCCTGTAGGAAAGAAAACAGTTTCTTTCCCCTGAGCCAGGAGCTTAGGGAACTGTGAAGATATTTATATACAGTAAGTCGATGGAAATCTGGTTTCCGCTTTGCGCAGACCCAACCAAGCTTCCTCATGCCCTGCAGCTTCCCTTCTGGTGCCATCAGACAGGCTCTGTAGCCTCAGATCCTCCCATGCCTCCCTCCATCTGTCTCTCCAGCTTCCTCCACAAGATGATGATCTCCTTGTAGGCTGTCAGCCCAGCCCTGCGTTTTGAAGCGCTACCAAATTAGTTCAAGGGGAATTAACTTGCAACCCCCAGAACAGTGATAACAGCACAGCTGTACCTTGAGTTCAAGAAATGGAAATAGGAACTAGGTGCACATGCTAAATTACACTAGAACTGTTCAGCAAGTCAATTTCCAATTGGGGGGTTGGTTTTTTGGGGGTGGGGTAGCATGTGGCTCCCTCCCACCCTGTTTATTTTGGCAATGGCATTTTTTAAAGGTGCATATATATATATTTTAAAATTAACCAATGCAAATAGGAACGGAGCACGCCCCACACCCTTCGGTGTGACCGAGTCGACTCAGGGAAGATGGCCCGACGTTTTCCGTTTGCCTTTGTGAAGTTTTCATTTCCTGGTTTCATTCCCTTCCCGTTTCCACCACCTCTCCCCACCCCTCCGTATCAAAGCTGTTCCCACCAAACCCTGGCAGCCTGCATCTTGCAGGCAGAAAGCCATCGTCAGAAAAGAGGAATTTGAGTCCGTGGTTGCCTTTGTGCTTTCCAATGAATTCCTGTGGATCGGGTCAGAGCGGGCGTACTAGGGCGGGGGAAAGAGGCGAATACCAGCAGAGAACGACACTTCGGGGTGTGTGTGTATGTGTGACTGCGTGTGCCTTAAACCGACGGGGAAAGAATCGGCCAGCAGAACAATCTCATGAACCCCAAAGCCTCCTTAACAATAGCAACTGTTGGCCAAGGCCAGGGAAGGGAACCGACCTCCCCACTCCCTTCCCCGAGCGCACCGCGGCTCTTTTCTTGCAGGATAAAGGGGTGGGGTTGTTTTGGCTGCTAACAAGTGAGTTTGCAGCGGGAGCGAAGGCAGCTCCCGGGGGGGGGGGGGCAGAGAGAGAGAAAGATAGAAATGCGGGGTGGGATCACGCCGCGTAAGAAGCCACTAGGGGAGCCGCAGAGAAGGGGAGGGTGGCCGTCCTTTTCTTACCTACATCTGCATTGCAAAACGCTTGTTGCGGATGCACCGGGGAGCAACTGCAGGCGTCGGCGAGGCGGTCCATCCTTCCCAGGAGCAACACGGCCAGCGAGGCCAAGAGGCTTGGGAGCGTAGCGCTCATCTTGCGGACAGAGACCGACAGAGAGATAGACAGAGAGAGAGAGAGAAGGAGGGAAGGAAGGAGGGGTGGCGGGTGGGCGAGATTTGACTGCTCACTGCTGCTGCCGCCTCATCCAGACACGCGCGCGCGCGCCCGCCTCGATCTTCTGTGCTTCTCTTTGCGTCCGCTACTGCGGCGATCCCGGGGCGACTCTTGGCGCTTAGGCGGCGGCGGCGGCAGGCAGTCGCGAAAGTTTGGGCTTTGCACTCGGCCTTCTCTCTTGGGCTGGTTGGGGGTTGGAAAAAGATCCCGCCACTGGAAAAATCGGAGCCTCGCAGATCGTGGCTGCTGCTGCTTGCTGCTGCCTTCTATGGAGGTGTTTTCTTCTCCTAGCTTCGGCGAAGCCTGGCTTTTTAATGGGCTCTGGGGATTCGCTGCCCCTCCTCTCCGTGGCACTGGGCCAGAGCGGGCGGCTCGCCTGCTCCCGGCAGCCCTCTTGCGCTGCTCGCTCCCTTCGCCTCCGGTCCCGGCTCGGCTCGGCTTCTGGCGACCCGCGCGGGCTTTCTTTGCTTGACAGCTCCTTCCCTCTGGAGCTCTCCGGAGCTCAGGAAGAGCATGCAGCCCTGTGGAGCGCCAAGCACACGCCTGGCGCTATCGGAGATGCAGATTCATGGTAGCCAACTCCTAGGGGCCGAGGTCCCTTCGCCCCCAACCCACGAATAAAATATTTGAGGGGGCTTCCTCCCCCCAAAAAAAGTTGATGGGCGTTGACATTTAAATGGTGCGCGTGTGCCACGTCTTGTGATGTGGGGCGAGGCTTACCTGCCCCCCTCTCCAATATTTTATTCAAGTTGGCACCCCTGGATATAATATAATGATTTATAGTATATAGTATATATAGTAATATATTGATTTATAGTATATAGTTTATCATTGCTAAAAGAGTAAGCGCATACAGCCCTACTTAAAACTTCAATTCCATCTTCATAATGTGAACCTTGTGAAGGAGTGCTAAATTATGTATTTGTGTGTGTATATATACATGATTTAGATAAATTATTTAAGGCCAGGCGTGTGCTTGGCGCTCCACAAGGCAGCATGCATTTTCTATAGAGAGAGAATAATAGTAGTAGCGCTGTAAAAATGTGACTCAAAGGAGGCTCCGTGAGGAGGTAGCACCCTGCTACACAATATTGGTATTTCGTCTCCATTATTAGTATCCCCCTATAAAACCTGTGAGCCCAATATATTACTACTTCTATTCCCTGTAGGTCACTGAGTGCAGCAGAATAGTTTCCCTCGAAGACCCTCAAATAAGAGGAGGTCACTCCACAATAATCCACAGCAGGGCTTTTAGGGTGGGTGCCCCTGTTCTGTGGAACAGGATCCTAACTGACCCTAATCGATAGGACTGGTGTCCACCCCTTGTCCTTTCCAGAAACATTTGAAGATATTTTTGTTTCCACAAGCTTTTTCCAACTCAGTAAAAAGATATCTGCCTTAGATTTTCATTCTGTATTGTCTTTAAGCCTAAAGTTGTTGCTTTTCTACTTTTTTAAAAAAAATGCTTTTAAAGCTGTTTTCATGGTATGTTTATAAATCTTCAGTTAAGCATAGAAGTCTACTTATAAATCTATAATATTAGTAATAATGCGGCACTGATTAGCCCACATAAACAGGTTCCTCCTGCCCCCTTCCTTAAATCTTGCCCCCAATATCATTCAGCAAGTCCAGCCAAGTTTTCCTGGCTCCTTGTCAGCAGAGAGAATCCCTGGAATAAGCATTTGTGTTAATTCAGCAGAGCTAAACATCCAGAAAAAAAGTCAACGAGCCATTCAGTCAGCAAGGATTTATTTATTTATTTAGAGCATTTGTACCTGGCTCTTCAGCCAAAAAGTCTCCCACAGCAGCTGACTTACAAGTAAAACAAGACTGTCCCTAACTTCAGGCTTACAATGTAAAAAAAAAAAAAAAAAATTACACACAAGGGAAAAGGACAGTGATATAGTAGAGGAAAATCAAAATTCAGGCACCAATTTCTAAACAGTTCATATTGGCCAGCTGGCACTGTTCAGGTGCAGGAAGTGCCTAAGCTGGTGAAATGAGCCCTATTTCTCACATGGAGGCCACCTGATGGAATGGCTGCCCCCACATGGCAGTTGAGGGGAGAGGAAACCTGATGGAGCAGGCCTTTCACAGCACAGCTGACTGAGTGCTCACTGAGCTCTTCTTCCCAGCTTTCCCAGTGAAACAGTCTGATAATGGCTGAGGCGAGAGAAGGCTTTTATGTGATGTGAGTGACAGTTGAGGAGAGATAAGTCCTCCGGTGATGTCTTTTGTCAGATGTGGCCTTAAAAAAATTAAAAGGCCCAGCCACTGTTGGCAAGGCAGCCATTGTTGGCAATAGAACTCCCCAAGGCATTCTGACAGGACGCTGCCAGAGGAAATATGGCAGAACTGGGCCAACATTTTTCTGAGGGAAAATAATTGAGATTTTTTTTCTCACCTGCCCCCCACCTAGAAAAAGGTTACTTTGCAGAATTTTCTCTGAATATTTTCCACAATTTTTGCAACAGCTGCCACTTTTCCTTTCACTGCGACCCAGAAGTACACTAGATTCCAGAATATTGTGCAGGGTACAAAAATGGTGACCAGGATACCAGCACAGCTGTTGTTTTTTTTGTTTGTTTATTAAATTTTTATGCCACCGTATAACCCGTAGATCTCAGGGTGGTTCATAACATAAAATTACAATTAAAAAACCCCCACAAAATACATGATAAAAATAAGAACAGAAAGAAACCAATAATGCCCCCTTTCACAACACATTTCTCCAGCTGTACCAAAAAGGGGGCTGGGTAGAGAAAGAATCTGTGCTAGTGCCACTAATAATACTGAGTCTGACCACCAAGAAATTATTGGATAATTTTTCCTTCCCTTGGAGAAAATCAGTGAATTGGTGCCTTCAGTTTCTCTACCTTTGTCTTCCCCAGGGGGCTGAGGAAGTTGGTTAATGCCAGCATATAAATGCTAGGCATTCTAGAAGAATATATAAACCAGCTTCACCACTGGGCTACCAAAGTGCTTCCAGATCAGAACGTGAAATTTCTAAACCAGCTTGATCTTTGTTATCAGTGATGAATCAAAGATTTTGAAAATAATCATCATCTGGAATTCCATCAGCTGGTCTACTGCTACCAGCCTTCTTATCCCAGATGTTGGGGAGGTATTTATGATTACTCCAGTGAGACAGAGGACTTCTGCACATGCACAGTGGCACCCTGTTTATTTGTTACTCCTTTTCATGTTTTAGGGATGAACCATGGCCCTGAAAATAGTTTCTGAGGTGAAATGCCATTGAGACCTGGCTTGAATTAAGCTGCGGAAGTTGTTTTCAGCGCTGCAGCTCAACTCTTAAAAACATGGTAAGTTCCCACCCTTGTTGTGCCAGATGGAATCTCATAGCAAGAGGAGGAAATGCATTTCAGCTGCTGGCAGCAAGGCAGGAGACTGCCCAGCTTCTTCTTCCAAGTGGCTTCTGCTGCTTTCCAAAATACAGGGATTTCTCAATCCTCAGACCATGAGTCTAGTCACAGAGGAAAGTGAGAACGACATGACCTCAAGAGGCAAAAGCCTCAGATACTATGTTCTAGAGTCTCCCTTTCATAAGCTTGAGAGGCCTTCCCAAGCACTTTAACTAAGTTGAAGTGAGTTGTACAACATACAGTCTTGTATATTCTTCACATGCATAGAGATTCATCTTGGCCAGGTTCCAGGTAATTCCACGTAAGTTAGGGGTCTGCTATGGCCTGAACATGCTGAAGGAGCAGTGTGTGTGTTGGGCGCTGCATTCCCTATATCTAAGCTGTCCGCAAGCTTCCCCCCTGGTTTTCCCTCAAACAATTCCAAAGAATTAGGGGTACCCTGAATGATGCCTCTTCCTTGCAGCAGCAACTGACTTCCAGTGGTGACTGATGTTCATTAGGACTGGTAGAGCATAAGGTCAGCAGAAATGGAGCCAAAGCCAATGACAGGCGCAAACACAGCTAATTCATTCTGGTTTTGTCCCTATCTTCCTCCCTGCTGAGACTAAGAAAGACAAAGCTGACAGCCAAGGCCACCCCTCTGGACTGGTTGTAAGTAAGAAGGCAGGGGCTGTGGGGGCGGACTGAGGCAGTGCCTCGTTCTCCCTTATAGGCCACCTCCACTGATGGCTTCTATATTGATGGGAAGCCTGGCCATTCAAGATCAGCAGCATGCTCATGATGAGCATGGGATCCATTTTACAAAAGGAAAAAAATATTCTCCCCCTTTTCTGTAATCTGTTCCTCTCCTTGGGATTCGGGACTGCCCTGAGCTCCTCTCTAACTCACATCTGTTGAAAACAGGCAAGGGCAAACATTGCTGTGTCTTAGCTCTGCTGCTCTACCATGGCACTTCATGTAGACACCAGATCTTGCCCTTTTCCCACCCCATCCTTATTTCTGAACGTGCCAAGGGCATTGACCACTTGGTCCCTCCCAGCCCCCATGTTCTAAATTCAGACCAAGGTTGCCGAAGAGAAGGAGGTCCAGTCGCAGTACAGCAGCCTCAGAATACCCCGGGGATGTGCAGAAAAATTGCAACAGGCGCAGAAGGATCTGCATGAGTGTTTTGACAATGCTAAGGTCAGGAAGCCAGGGTGGAGGCGGGTCCTGCTGACGGCCAGGGAGTGGAGCCGGCTGAGCGCCCAGCAGTGAGTCATGGCTGGAGATAAATGGAAACACATGTGCAGCCATTTGCGGGCTTTATTGCTCACAGCACAGAAAGCGTGGACACTTAGTAAACACAGGCCAAGGGCTGGTCCAATCCTGGAACTCAGACATCTGCAGTTCCCACACCCACTGTAGCACAGACCCAGGCATGGGGTGGGGGGAGGGAGGGAGCTGTTCTAACCAAATTCTCGGTGCACATCCAAAACATTTTCCTGCCTGAATCAGAGCACAAGTGGGGGGCCCCACCCTGCTAGGGCCAACTCTTTAGAAAGTCCTGCTTTATCATTCAGGCAACAAATTCAGCTTTCATCAATTCCCCCCACTCTATGATGCTGCCTAAAGCAGATGGCTTCATTCTGCCAAATGGTAGGGTGAGCCTCACAAATCCCTATACAGTGGTACCTCGGGTTAAGTACTTAATTCGCTCTGGAGGTCCGTACTTAATCTGAAACTGTTCTTAACCTGAAGCACCACTTTAGTTAATGGGGCCTCCTGCTGCTGCTGCGCCGCCGGAGCACGATTTCTGTTCTCATCCTAAAGCAAAGTTCTTAACATGAAGCACTATTTCTGGGTTAGCGGAGTCTGTAACCTGAAGCGTATGTAACCTGAAGCGTATGTAACCTGAGGTACCATTGTAATGTTTTCATTCTGGTTTATTAACACTTACATTACACTTTCATAGAAATCCTGGGTTGGGAACCAACCTGGGAATTAAAGAAATAGCATGTTCTAGGCAGAATTGCAGGGTACTACTGGTTCTAGCTGTGTCACTGGAGCGTAGGTGACTAGGATTGACAATTTCCAGCTATCTCTGGTTTATCAGCTGCAACACTTTCTTGACTTGGATAGCCCAACCACAGTTACCCACCTCCTGTTAAGGCTATTGTAATATCCTCTGTGTTGGGCTATCCTTCAAGATCGTCCAGAAGCTGCAACTAGTGCAGAACAGAGCTGCTAGAGTTTTGAGTGATACAGCAAGGGGAATTCATATAACACCAGTCCTCCAGGAGCTACACTGGCTGCTTATTTGCTGTTGAACTCTGATGTACAAAGTCCTGGACAATTTAAGCCCAAAAGACATGAAAACGCACCAGTCTCTTCTCATACCTGCCAGTCCTGGCCTTACGATCTGCAGGGGAGGCCCTTTTTATGGTTCCACAGATAAGCTTTGCTCATCATGTGGCAACCTTGGAGAGGGCCTTCTCTGTGCCCTCTTCCCCCAGCCCTGGACAATTTGTGGAACTCCCATGCCTTGGGAATATAGCTGTGTCCTTCATTGATGAATTTTTGCTGATGGCTCAATATATACTTCTTTATGCTGATGTTTGGGGGGCAAGGGTAGGCTTGGGTATTGGAACAATGTCCACTGCTGATTTGTAGTTGGGGGGTGGGTGAATTTGATGCTATTGTTCAAATCCATTTTATTGCATTTGTGATGTGTTTACTTTGCTGTATACCACACTATGATCCTATGAGGTAAAGGGCAGTTTAGAAACCAACAACAACAACACATCCAGCTTTCCCAAAATGACTCACCCCTATCCTGGATAAGAGGATATGAAAGTAGTGGCTCCACATAGGGCAGAAAAAATTACAGATACTGCATTTTATTGCAATTTTATAGGTTGGGGGGGGCAGGGAAACAGGAGGCCATCCTCTGTTTTTCCCCTGACCTACAATATTGCAATAAAATGCAATCACGGCATTTGTGTGTCTAGTGTGGATGAGCAGGTCTCTATTTAAAGGGCTCTGCCTTTATTTCCTGTTGACTGTGGCCTGTGAATTGCCTGTTGAATAGTCTCTCCTTAATTGCCCCAATGTCAGATTCTTTTTTGGGGGCGGGGACTTTAATTACTTGTTAATGTCTTGTTATCTTTTCTTTTTTGAGTTTGTAATGATGAAATAACACTATATTACTATTTAAAAAATGAGACCAATAGCCCCCTTCCCACGGCTGTTTCTCAGCAACTGGTACTCATTGGCATGCTGCCTCTGATCCCTATTCAAGAGGCAATTAACAGGCTTTTAATCAGTAATCCTCCAGCTTTGATCAACAGGAAGCAATAACATTGGCAGGGTTTTAATTTAACATTCAAAGGGACCTTTACTGAATAGGGCTTGTAAGTAAACATAGAAGGATCTTGACCGTGGAGAACGGCACTGTTGGAAAATAGAAAGCTAAATTCAGTGCTGTGTGGAGCCTCCATTTTGATTCAAGTGAAATGCCTCAGCAACGTTGAAGGGCTCTGCTGTGGAAGATACCTTAAGAACAAGAACAAATTCTTAATTTTTCTGATTTATCACTAAATATTTTTTTTTAAGTAAATGCATGCCCTCCCCTCAAAAAGTAGGCAAAACATTTTCCTGAACTTTTATGGGGTGGGAGAAAAACAGGCATGGGGTGATGAATTGATACAGAACTAGGGAAAACTAAGGAAGAGCCCCAGCCCTGGATGTGTTTAGGAGGAAGACTTTTGAAAGAGATGGAAGAGCTCCTCACTCACATGATGGGAATCATGTGCAGAGACAGCCTACATTGTCAGAATATATGAGGGGCAAACATCCTCAGGACCACTGCTAAGATGTTGCTCCCTTGCAAGGCATTTGTGGCCAATCGGGTTCTCTTTGTTCTTCAGCTTTTGCGTGTTGCTTTCCTGTTTGAAGTGCTGACAGTGCTCATTGTTGGACTCACCCACACCTTAACCATTAAAGCAACTTTTAAAATGCTGATCGTGCTCAGGAAATGACAAACTTTTTGCTATGTGTGTCGCAAACCACCTCTGAGGGAAAGAGGGAAATCTCTTTGGAGCTGGAAAACCATCCCTATTCTTATGTGCAACATATAGGAGACATATAGGAAGCTGTCTAATACTGAATCAGACCATTGGTCTTTCTTATTTAGTTTTGTCTACACTGGCAGGCAGTGGCTCCCCAGGGTTTCAGGAAGGAGTGTTTCTCAACCCTACCTTGAGATGCTGGGGATTGAACCTAGAATCTTCTGCACACAAAGCAGACACTATATCACTGAGTTACAGCCCTTCCCCAAGGGGCATAAGAGCATCAGAGGGGGAAAACTAAATAAAAGAAACAGGTAAGAGATCCTGGCAATCAAACAACCTGCTTCTTTGCAGCCACAAAGTCAGGGGGTGGGTGTCCTATCAATATATATTATTAAACTGCCAAGGGATTACTGTATAGCCAGTAGAATGGACATAAATACAGATACTGATGTGATGTGATGTGATGTGATGTGATGTGATGTGATGTGGGATAGATGGCAATTGCACATACAGTTTTTATTTATTTAGTTTTGCTCTTCCATGGTAACTTTACATGCACTTATTTATAGAAATCATTCATGTTATTGTATAAATTATTTAAGGGAATCTGGTCGTATTATCCCCAGCACAGGAGGGATGCCTTATATTGTGGGAAATTCCTCCAGATTTGGAAGCCAGAACTCAGATATACCGTAACAAGCAAGGATTTGGCTTGTGTACTCTGATGAGAGAAGGGAACTAGAAGAAATGGTGGACATGGAATCATTTTTCTGACAGCAGGCCACAGCATTGCAAGACAGGCAATGTGCCCAGAGCTCCTTTAAAAGCTTCCAGGTCAAGCAGCCTGCTTCCTGGTCTGAGCAACTGTACGCCTAATGCTAACAACCAAACTAGTCGTGGTGCTAAACATCTCCTTGGCAAGCATGTAGGGAGGTCAGAGAATTCGAATGGAAACAGGAGTGCAAATGATCAGTGTTCGCTTATTTGCCCCATGTCTGGACCGGAAATCAATACAGCAAACATGATAAATATTTGCTGTTTTCGTTGCTTTCAGTCCACAAACCATATGTAATTGATCACATTCTTTTCCCATTTGCACTGATTCCTTTGCATTGAAGTGCAGCTTTTCTCCCATAGAGAATCAACTGTGACAGCCGGGACCTCTTCTGAACCAAAGTACAGTAAGACACTTTTCAGTTTAGGTAGGTACTGCTTAAGTATTTGTACAACTGCAAAGCTTAAGTCTCCATGGTATCTTTGCAAGGGAGAAGGTTGGCAAGAAAGCTAGAACTGGTCATGCCACTGAGACTTAATTGACCACACACCCCTGACTTCCTAAGAGCCCTGCCAGGTCCAGTGGGCATGAGCTGTCACTGTTGCCACCTATAGAAGATGTCTGTTTTTTTCACCTAGAGATAGAACAGCATGAGCAAACAACCAGCTGAAACCAATTTGGCAGATTGACAGTTGATCTCAGACTGAGAAGGCTGAAGTCTATATACATGTGGCTTAGTAATTTTCTAGGGAATCTAAAAGTTTTAAATGTTTTAACCCTGCATCTCTGACTTTGACCCTTTTCCACTATATGAGTTTTATTGCTAGACTGCTGTTCTATATGTCTGAATTTATGTTCTGTTCAGTGTTTTCTGAATAAATCTTTCCATTCTTTTACTGCTGCAGTCCTATGAAAACTGTACATAGCTGTACTAAGCCCTGGAGTGGTTTACTTAAAAGTAAGCACTGGCAGGATCATAGGTGCCGACTCCCTGGGACCCTGGGTTCCTGAGCACCCACAAAATTCCCCATGAAGGGGCTGGGCACCCACAAATTTCAGCGCCAGGGCCATGCATGTTGCACGGCACCCATGGCCTCAGGCACCCACAGTCGTGGGGCCAAGATGGCACTCCTGGACAGGATTGAAGTACTGTACATGACTACTAGCTTTTCCCTCCCAGCTACATAGGCTTATCACAGATACTGAGTGAAGACAGGGATTCTTTAATTCTACGAGGTTACAAAAAGAAATAAACTAGTGCCCTTCACAAGGCGAACATACTTTGCACATGTTCAGAGGCACTGCTGTTAGGTCAGTTTTTCAGAATAGCAGCTGACTCTATGGTAAGGCCATCCTGTGAATGCTCAAAGACATTTTTGTCTGAGATCTTTAGAAGAATGGCATGATGGTGGTGGCTTTTTTGATCACCAAAAATGTGTAGCTTTTAGTGTTGCTACCCCTTTTCTGTGGAATATCATTCATGTTCAGAATCTGCAATTTCTGGAAACTGAAGACATTTTTGTTCCAACAGGCTAAATGGGTCTTTGCCATGAGTGTCCACTTCTTAGAGTTTTAGTCTTGTTTAAAATGTGTTCATTTTTGTATTTTTAACTGTTTTTAATTGTTTCATATGTAAATCTTATTGAGATGGTGGTTTAGAAGGCAATTAATAAATCAATGTTAATAATATAATAATATTGAAAGCAATAGTTGGCAACTTGTTTTTCAAATTTTATTAAGAGAGAATCTCAAGCTAGGGGGATATAAAGGGGCAGGGAATGCACATTCAACAGCATGGGGACTTCAGTTAATTAGGATTAATTGTAGATGCATCTGTCAAACTTGAGGGTGAATAAAATTACCTATCCACTTCGAATTAGCTCACCATGATATAGATGCTGGCTTGGACTATCAAGACACAATGCTGAATCTACAGTTAGAGAAGCAGCTAGGACAACAATAGAAGCTGAGGTACTATGAGATGTGCCTCAAGGGCAGATTTTGACTTGTTATATATTCTGCCTACAACAGAGAATCCTAGCCTTTTATGTGTCCAGCTTGTAACTAGGACGCACCACAACAATAAAACCTGAATAGCGAGTTGGGCATGGGAAGAAGGTGGCATTGGGAACCACGGCCGTACCATTTTGAAAACTGACAATACCTGTGATATAGGAACTTTGGCAGAGCAAGAGTGCTTTGTTATTGTAATGGATGGTGTCATCAGAAGAACCTTCCAGTGCAAGATAGCTAACAGGGGTAATGTCTGAGGAAGAGCATATACCATTTTGGTGGCTTTGTTGAGGGCTGTGGTAGTTGAAGGCCCAGGTTATCTTCTGCATCTTGAAAAGAAAGCTAGGGTGCTTGTTTGTTTCAAGTTGCTGGGTGACTTGGGATCCAAGAAAATACTGCTGCAACAAGAAGCCATAGCTTAGGTGCATGCTCCAAGTGGGCTCAGTGTAAAAACGAGGGATGTGTGAATCACTTGTGAGGTCATGGAGCTTGTACTGCTCTAGGAATCTGAGAACACTGTGTGGAATTCAAGAGCCTCCATAATCTTCCTCTGAAAATATTCTTATAAGTCTCATAAAAGGTCAGGTTGAACTGGAGCTCCAGCAGCTGCTCTGACAAAAGCATAGGAAAGCGGATCTTTTCCACGTGGCCTTCCTTTATTTCATTGGTATGAGCCCATTGGTCCAGAGCTTTCAGCAGGGACCATTCATTCTGAATCACAACATCTGTACGGGACAGCAGGGCCTCCATCATCTCTGGCGTCAGGGCCAACCAGGCCTCAGTGCGAGTCAAGGCCTCACAGTTCCAGGCTAGGTGCTGCATGGTGAGATCCTGCAGCTGGGCATCTCCACTGGCCAGGCTGTAGTTGTACAGCTCCAGGTGAACATGAAAAGTGGGGTCCAATGGAAATAAGTTGGGGAAGACCTGGATGCAGTACGCTTGCAGGCTTGGAACTCCGTAGGCCAAAGCCAGCTTGTGGAAGCACTTTACTGAATGCAGTGTCACTCTGATCTGCCGCGAGTAGAAGTACCTGCATGAACAGAAGGAAACTTAAGAAGTGAGATCATGGCTATACAGCAGCTGCTTATTTTTATCATGATGGGTTTTGAAAGAGAAAGACTCAGGACTTTGAAAAGAATGTTTGTGGTGCCCCAAATCCAAATCCAAGCAATAGAAAAAAGTGAGGACTTATTGACATGCTTAGTTTTCATTACCTTCCGACCATAAGGAGAAAGGGGAAGGCAACAAGCAAGACCAGTGTGATCCACTAGATCATTTATTACAGTTAAGCCTGTAACTTAGCTGAGCTAGATTCAATCTTGGGGGTAAGCCCCACATTACCTGCAAATACCTGAAAACAATCCCCGCCCCCGCCTGACACACAAAGCAGAGATGCTGGCCCTTACACAGATGTTTTTCTGTGCCCTTCATACTGAAAACATTTTGCAGAAGCCTTTTGAGGTGCTTCTGTTGTCTGAGTGAGTGCTCTGTTTTAGATCAACATAGTGAAGGAGCTAATAGAACAGTGTGCTCTCCTGTATGGCTCAAATACTGCCCATTACAGCCTCATGTTGATGCACAGAATGCATAGAAAGTCAGGAGAATCAGACTTGCTATGTCAAACCCTTGCTATTCTTACCTGAGAAAGCTGTTCACATTGGGCAGGCACTCTTCATCTACCTTCAGTGTGCTTCCTTGGAGAAGAAGACTGGCCTCACTGTTTGTACGAAGAATCAGTCTATGTGCACACAGACTCAGGACTTCAGTGTTGTTATCTGCTATCAGCACAGTGATGTTGAGGTCACAGTCCTGCTGGCTGTCATACAGTTTACCAAGGTCCTCAGGAAAACCTCCAGAATGATCCAGGAAAAACTCAGTTTCTGGAATGATGGAAACAAAAATGAGTCATGGGGAAAACAGAAAACCTCGCTGACCATGAATTTGCAGTATAATATGCAATAACCAATAGCCCCACTCCAAAATGAGAGAGAGGGTTATGGAACAATAGCAGCAGGGAAATTACTTTACTTGCATAAATAAAAATGTATGGAATTAGTTTAGGTGTATGGCCAAACAGTGATAGCCAGCATTTGGCAAGCACAATGGAACTTCTCTTCCCCTTTCATCATCACCTCTGTTGGGTCCCCCAACCTTCTAGAGTGGATCTGAGGGTATTGGGGGGGCTGCAGGGGTGAGGAGAGGAAAGGGAATTCATGTTGCATGGAGGGGGGGATCTGTTCCATTGCCAAACAGGCACTTTTGGCTGTCACCCAAAAGCATCTGAAAACTGCAGTTATGAACAACAGACTGACATAGCAAAACCAGCAGGGCTAGGTTTGAACTGGTACAGCAAGGTAGTAGTAGTTCTACCTGGGCACCCCCTATCTGAAATTGGGTAAATTTTATGCTCCCTGCTGCCACCGTTGACACCTGTGACCCTAGGAGATTTTGATGACACAGCTAACCACATCACACTGAGGACTCACTCTTGTCACACACCACTCCTGCATCCTCCCCATGTCCGCAGTTGTGCGACAACCAGCCTTGAGATCTACATTGTACAAGAGACTTCTCTGTCCCATTACAATCGACATCATCTAGAAGAATGGGACCGAGTCCTGTGAAGAAAGCAAACACAGCAGTCTGTCACACCAGAGATAGGGAGTAGAGAAGAAGGTAGAACTTTTTGTTTTAACCTATAGCAATAAATAATAGCCCCATGCTGTAGATTGCAGAGAAAGAGAAAGACAATTGACTTGATATAGCCCACTGCTATATCAGAAGTGGAGCTGAGGCTTGTATTAATTTCCAACGTACAAAACATGCCTCCAATTTACAGCAAAGATCAATTGTGCTCAATCATTCCTCAGAGCCAGAGCTCAGTTGCATGCTCGTCATGCTGCACTGACTTGGATGCAGAAGCATTGCACTTTTAAACGTTTAAAAACTAAAAATAAACAATTGTTCTCACAAAATAAGAGTTAGAGATCTATCTATCTATCTATCTATCTATCTATCTATCTATCTATCTATCTATCTGGCTGGTGCATTTATATACCCCTTTTCAAGCAACGTGCCTAACAAAGCACATTACAATGAGAATTTAAACATTTCAAAGGTGGTTAAAATACTACACAATTAAAATTCACAACAAAACAGTCCAAGGATGCTTCCAGACTGCTGCATTTTTGTGAATGGGATTCAATTGCATATTGGCAAATTCAGACTGCCCAAATAACAGGCGCTCTTGCACAATAAATCCCCCATGGACTTTTTGTGGTAAGGCAAGTGATTGGAAAAAGCACTGGAAAGCATGAAATAACAATCACTTAGAGCACCGTTGTATAACCTTCCCGCAAAGAAATCACAAAAAATTAGATAAACTTCTGGCATTGTATAACCTCACCATAAACTTTTTGCAAACAAATCATTATGAGTGCTCAATAAATGTGCTGTCTGGAAGTGCTCTAAAACAAAGTACAGTGGTTTTGACTCCCGAAACTATTCGAAAACCAAGGCGCATCTTCCAGTTGGCTGCAGGAGCTTCCTGCACTCAAGCAGAAGCCACGGAAGCTGCGGATGTTTGGCTTCTGAGAAACGTTCACAAACCAGAACACTTCCTTCTGGGTTTGCGGCGTTCGGGAGCCGATTTGTTTGACAACTAAGCCGTTTGGGAACCAAGGTATCACTGTACAAAATTCAAGATGCAAAGAGTAGCATTCAGTTAAAGAAAAAAACAGCCTAGGTGAAAAAGTATGTATTAATTGGCAGCAAAAACTCATGAGACCCCACAGATTGTATCTTGGAGGGAAGGGAGTTCCATAGGGAGGAAGAGGGGGGCTAAATTGAGGAGGAGAAAAGAATGGGAAAGGTCCCATACAGACAGGGCCTTAGCCTGTTTCCATGTCTCCATTGAAGGACAGCCCATTGCCTCCTATGAGACAGCCTGTTCTACTGTCCAACGGCTCTTACGGTTAGGAGGTTTCTCCTAATGTTAGAGAATATTCACTTCTCTGTAATTTCCACCAATTGGTTCTAGTCCCAGCTTTTGAAGCCACAACAACAAAAATATGTTACGTCTTCTGTGTGACAGCCCTTCTGATTTTTGAAGGCCACTACCATGTCTTCTGAAGACAGGAGTGCCTGGCGTGCTCTGGTCCATGGGGTCATGAAGAGTCGGACACGACTAAATGACTAAACAACAACAACCATGTCTTCCTATAGGGTGGTATTTAATCAAAGCAGACTCATTGAAATGAATGGACCCTGCTTAGTCATATTCATTAATTTCAATGGGTCAGCTCTGAGTAAAACTTAGTTGAATACCATCTTTAATCTTCTCTTCTCCAGGCTAAACACACCCAGGTAAATTAGGATTTGGGTCTAGGAAGCAATGGGGCAGGGTAAAGGAAACAGTAGTGTACATACACTATTCTTCTATATCATAAGGGATGAAAATCTGTATTGTACCTTCCCCATATGCTGCCCCTTGCTTTGCTTCTAATGCATTCATGAAGCCCAGGGAACGGCAGACCACGTGTGCATCCATAATATCCCAGTCATCGTCACATACTGTCCCCCACTCGCCATTATAGTAGATCTCCACACGGCCCTCAGTGAGAGAGTTTCCCTGAGCCAGCCGGACTGCTCCATCATATAGATCTGTAGTAAGTAGATGACACAAAAGTGAAAGGCTAACAGAAGCAGACTACAAGCTACAAGAAGAAGCTTGAGGTGCCAGAGAGCTAGTCATAGCATCCTTGAATTGAACTGAATGGATACCTCTCTACCCTGGCCTCCTCTACCTGTTCTGAAATTGTGGGACCTGATTCTATTTATGAGCACGGATGGAATTCTAGAGCTGCTACTGTGAATTACTGCAGTTATTTTTTTTTAAAAAAGGAAACAAAATTCGGAATCTAATACATTGCTCTAATTTCTTGGATCAGATTTGGATGACAGAACTTCCTCACATTTAAATGTCAAAATCAAACTTTACATCGCAATTCAGTGTATGTTTCTCCATGTCGTTCTAGAGGACATTTAACAACTGCTTAAGAATGAATAGGGTTAGTCAAAAATTTACCGAATGGTACTGCAAGTCAGCTGTTGTATACTGTCAAATGCTAGCTGCTCCTGTATGTCAGGCACTGTCCTGGATATGCATGCAGATACTGTATTTATTATCTGAATTCACAAAGAAAAACTGGAGGCTGGAATTAACATTCATCAGTTCTAACAACTCAAGACTATCTCAGTAAAAGTATTGGTAAAATTGTGTGAGCAGGAGGAGGGAAAGGTTAGCTTCGTCAGTTATTCTGGGAATAACCCAGGTCCATTAGATGTATGGAAACAATCTGGTAGATAAAAACTATTTCCAGATATGGATCTGCTTGGTAGGGCCAGGCTCAAGTCACATGGGGCCTCCTGAATACTTTGATCTACACACACACACCTTTTACGTATAGAGAGAAATAGTACAATATTTGTGCAATTCAAGGTAACTCTGTTTTGGCTTTCCTTGCCTTCCCCCTCTCTCTTTATATAAAATACATGGATAGCACATGTATAAAAATACATAAGCAAGCAGTGGTTTCGTGCTGAGTGTGCTAGAGATCATTGGACAGAAAACTTCCATACATTATTGCATTAATGTATTAATGCTGTACAGTATTTAATTATTGGGAAGGAGTTTCCTAGTTAATGGAATTCAAACAAATGTCAGCTTTCATGCCCCCTCTCCCACAAGCAATAGAAAAAGTGGAGGGGGACCTAAGTCAGGATGGATAACTTCTGGCCCCAAAGATATTTGTTGAACTATAACTCCCATCAGCCCTAGCCAGCATGGCCAAAAGTCAATCATGATCAGAGTTGTGGTCCAGCAACTTCAAGAGGACCACAGGCTCCACAACTCTGAAACAGGTTCCTATGCAGGTATGATCCATAGTTAATAGAGTCCTGCCACTGTGAGAAAGTCTGGATGGAACAGAACTGCCTGGCTTTTTCTTTGAAAGCAACACAAGCCAAGACATGCAGTCATACAGCCAAGAGTCAGGAACCCGTCTGTAGCTTTGTCCCATTCCCAACGGCCATGAAAGCTGCTGTTGCTTGAACAGAGAAGGATCAGAGAGCCTGAGGACACAGAGACACTTACTGAGTGAGTCGTTGAAGCCAGAGCATAGCAGACAGAGAATTAGCAGTCCAGATGTAGTCCTGTGCAGCCAACCTGAAGGAGAGAGATACAACATTACCTGCTTTGTAGGATCATAGTGTTTGACCAGAATCTAAAGTACATGGGAAGGTCCAGCTCAGCCCAAGGGGAGAAACCCAGACTGGAAGGCAGGCAGAACAAGGAAAGTGTGTGTAGATGCCAAGAATGCCCATTGTTACCAAGGAAAATTTTATTCCCCAGCTTAAAACATTTTCAAAGACATGCTTTACAATTTGGGCAAAATTCTCAGGTTTCTAATTACCGTAATTAATGCAGGCACATCCACACATATGGATGCATTCTCAGGACTTGCATTTGCAGCAAACAGCATGTACAACCCAGCAATGCGCCCTCTTTCATTTACCCTACTCATTCATAGTACTGCTGCATCAGAGTGCAGAAGGAGGAGGTTTTCATTTGATTTTTTTTTTAAATGATATTTATTGAGAATTTTAAGGTTACAAAGAAAAAAGAAGGAAAAAACAAGAGAAAGAGAAAAAGAAAGAAAAAAGTAGATAAAAGTAACAATTAAACAATACAAATCAATAAAAACCAAAATCAAAAAGAAAAAACAAAACACACAATGCAACACAATCAAAAAACAAAAATAAACAACAAATTTAAAAACAAATCCAGTATTCCCAAATCCTTAACTTTCATTAACTTATTTCATCGACCTCCTCACACCTCCCTTTTTTGTGTTCTAGTTGTTAATTATCTCAGCAAATCCTTTCCATCTTTCACAATATTCTGTCATTAAATTACCTTAATCTATTTTAACCTTATCTTACCATAAAAACCCTAAAACTTAAAACTTAAATCTTATTTATACCAAATTCTTTTAACCATAACATATTCTTACATAATTCTTTTTAACATTTCTGCTAAAGCCAAATAATTTCATTCCAACATTTTTCTAATACTCATTAATTTTACGATACTTTTCTAAATAAATTTTTAAAACTTTCTTCCAATCTTCATCCATCGTCTCTTCTCCTGGTCTCGGGTTTTGTCAGTCCTTTCTATCCCATCCATCTAGTCCATCAACCTGGTGACCTTATATCCGAGGCTCTTAAGTCTTTTCCATGTCCCTTCCGCAGGTCTTCTTCATGTTTATACCTGTACTTTACTTTGTCTTCTGCTCCTTTCACTCTGGGAGACTCCAACTTGACAATATTTTTGTCCCTTCTCGACAAGTCAGCCCCTTTTCCATAGTCAACACTGAAATCCATGTGGTATTTAAAGGCATGTTTCAAGGCCCCTCCAAAATTAGGGGGGCCCCACAACTCCGAGCTCCCCCCGGCCTAAAGCCAGACTTGAAAAGTCAAAACATCCCTGCATAGGGGGGTCCATCCAGCCCCCCATCTCCAAACCAAGCAGAACTCCATCTCTCCAAATCTGACTTTTTCCAGGTTCATTCATCAAATCCAACGACTCATGTTCCTGCTGGGCCACAGCTCCCTCCATCTCTGCCACCCGAGGTCCAGCAACAGCCTCCTCCCTCATCTCATCTGTCAAAGCACATTCCTGGATTAATTCCTGAGTGGGTTCTATATAGGTACCCACTGCCTGTCCAAAATTTCCTATCGCAACTGTCATCAAATCCATTTTCTCATGTAACTGTTCCAATAAAGCACTTGTCTTGCAAAAAGCAAGCACCAGAGCCTCTGAGCACATTCTTGTTCAAGGTCGAAGTCTGGTCCCACGATCTTTAATCTTTTACAGCTGCAAAACTCCCTAGTTTGACTTTAATAACAATTTCACAAGCTCCCTCTAGGGGAAACAATTTCTATTTGTATCCATCTTTTTTTCCTTTTTTTAAAAAGCAGATTTAGCAACAAAGTTTTCCTTTTTTGGATATTTTGTCGATATTTTGTTCCTTTTAAAAGCGAAAGGGGACAATGGAATCAATATGTTTCTGTTCTTTTAACTATCTGTCAAAAACGTTTGTCCATAGTCAATGAGCTTCTCCAAAACGTCTGTCTTGACACCCCGCTCCCAGGTTCAAGACGGTGGAAAATTACCTTTCTTTACTCTCTCTTCTGCAGGTTTAAACAGTCTAAAAAAGGTTCCCCCCCTCTTCTCCTGCTTCCAAGGGGGGTTCAGTAATTTTAAATGATGAAAATTTAGTCCTTTACAAACGACTTTCTGAACTCTAGCTTGCCGTGTCTTTGCTTCAATCTATCTACAAAAGCGGAAGGCGGACTTCCTGTTTAGACCTTCCCGCTTTCGGTGCCTAATTAAGAAATTTCATAGCCCAATTTTCCGTTCTACTCACGGGCAGTTGTTTGAAATCCAATTGGAGGAGGTTTTCATTTGAAGAGCTTCGCACATGGCAGGTGTGTAATAAGAAACTGTGGGCAGCCCTGTTTAGGGAGGTTTTTAATGTTTGATGTTTTATTGTGCTTTTAATTCTGTTGGGAGCTGCCCAGAGTGGCTGGGAAAACCCAGCCAGATGGGTGGGGTATGAAGAAGAAGAAGAAGAAGAAGAAGAAGAAGAAGAAGAAGAAGAAGTTGTTGTTGTTGTTGTTATAGATCCACACTGGCAAGAGGACCAGAATAGTGGCTGGCAGCACAACACAGCTTAAAAATAACTGTATGTACTTTCTATTTCTATTTACCTATATAGTTCAGCACTGTTCAGGAGAAAGATTTCACTTCGGAGAAATATGTTGAGTCCACCCCTAAAATATGGTAGTGAACGGAAGAAGATGAAAGAAGTATTTCCCCCCTCCATAGACTCAACACTTCCCTCTCATGCTGTTCCCCCAGGCTCCCTACACCAGGAACCACAAAACATACAGGAGTTCCAGCTCCTTTTCCAGTACACTAAAAGTTTCAGAAACTTGAGGTTTCAGTGAAAAGATTAAGTAAAATTATTCAAGCAGAGGTTGCAAATCTAAAACAGCGCACTCTTCTGCTCTACCAAGCAGGACAGTTATGACTTTAGTGACATGAATGGCTTATGCGGTGTTTTTACATGTCCCTGCTACCTGCTTTAGTGCTCCAACCAGAAAGATCAGGCATAAAGCGGAAACTGGTCCCCATTTGCCAGTTTGCAATTTTGAGTTCCCTATTTGAGTTCCCTATTTGAGTTCCCTATTTGATTCAAAGGCACAGGTGCGGTCTGAATAAGTAAACAGCATGTCAGCACCACTGCACTACAGAATAAGCTTTGGATCGCCCTAAATCATAAACTGACTTACAGACTGTGCCCAAACAAGATACCACCATACTTCATAAAACTCAAAATTCATGCTGAGTTTTATTCAGACTGCACCATGCATTTAAAGCACATTTAATGCACATGGATTTTTCCCAAAGACCCCTGGGAACTGTAGTTTGTTAAGGGTTGTGGGAATCGTAGCTCTTTGAGGGGAAACTGCAGGAATCTTGGGTGGGGTGGGGGGAGTCATGTGCACTCTATGTGAATCTGTCCTGTATCTTTGCATCACATTACAGAACTTGGATCTGCAAAAAAGCAATTGGGAAACAACATTATCCTTAAAGCACATACCTCTTTTTTCCTGGGGAGCACCACTGCAGGGAGCAAGCAATGCAGATTTCAGGAAGCACAAAAGTTAGCACATCCCACAGACAGATTAGGGGTTCTCAAATTCAGCCACCTGAACTGTTCCTAGATACTTCCCTCTGGAAGCACTGGTCCCAGAGTTAGCTGCTACTTGTAGGTCTCTTCTTAGCTGGGGGAGATCCAGGGATACTGAAAACAAGACCTGCAGAGTTATGGATGGGAAGAAGTCTTTGGCTTCAGATTGGCTCATAAACAACATTACTGTCTGCTTTCCACTGCAAGGGAAGGCAGATATTTTTCTCAGCCCAGACCTCTGAATTCTGAAATGAAGGGGAAGACATGTGGTTGCTATGGTGACTAGGCATTGGCCAAGCTGTGGCACAATGGACCATAGTGCGAAGAAGGTACAAAGTTGGTTTTTTGAAAATTGTGTCTGGGCCCAGTGTAGTCTGATAAAGCCTCAGGAGCACATCACTTGTTAAGTTCCTGCACATTAAAAAAAAGTGGTATGATTTCTGCCCCATCATGGCATTTATCAGTATAGAACCAATTTTTAGTTGTGAGTAAAGGACAAATTAAAGGAACCAATCAGCAAACAGGGAAAGATTTTTGGGATTTTGGGGGAGCTGAGAGATACGTCACATTATTCTTCACAGAACTCCGTCTTGGCTCCATCTCTATTTCACGCAAGCAGGTTTCGTCCCCTGATTCTGCTCTGGTTTAGGTTTTCTGTGCTGAATTTTCCACTTACCCAATGTTGACAGCACTGTTTAATCTTTGGAAAGATTGTTACTTCTCTACACAGCTGCGTTTTTCCTGAGCTACTGCCTATGGACAACTTTGCCTAGATTTTATTTTTATGGGTTACTTCTATAGGTTACTTATTTTTTTCCTGGGTGAGGTTTAGACTTCATTATTTTATTTTTGAACCTTTTCCTCCTCCTCCTCCTTCTACTTCTACTTTAACTAAATTTTTATTTGCATGTTTCTGGATCCTATACCCTGACACCAGACTGAGCTCACATTCAACTAAGACCACAGGAGCCTGTTTCCTGGAATTCCACTCAGGACTCCCTAAAACTAAAAGACCATGTAGTTAGGAGGTGGGGAATATAGGAAGCTATATATAGGTGCGCCAGTGTGTGATTTAGCAAGGGTTAATTGGAGTTAATTTTAATCTTGCACACTGTAATCCTGGCATGTAACAGCCATTTTACCTGATATTTTAATACAGTTTATTTCACACTTTATTATCCCATGTAACCATTGTACTTTATATTACCTGTATATACTTCTTATTTACCCTCCCCCAATATTAATTTATGTATATGGTCCTCTTGATTATCCTTTTATATTATTTGTGGATTGTGTTCACATAATTATGCATTAATAAATTGAAATGCATTTGCTGGTCTTTTGCTGCTGCATTTTAAATGGATTTTCCAAACTGATTTTATCCTCAGTTCACATCTGGTCACACACACCTTGCCCATCTGGGGCAATTTCTGGGCCCTTGCTATCTATGCCACCTAGCTTTCCTCGTCAAATTCTTGTACTTACCCTGGAAGATGCTGGCAATTTGGAAATGCATTGTTGGCCTTGAAGATCTTCTGAGAAAGAGGAGTGAGGGCAAGGATGCGAAAGAGTTCTGAAACTGCCCGTTAAGAAGGAGTAGAGGAGGAACAGAAAGTTTCTGTTTCCTATCCTTCAACTAATTTTCTATAATGCATTGCTGACAAATGCATAAACTGTTTCTGGAGAATTCCCTCTTTTGCATTCCCCAAAGGTTTGCAAAAAATACAAACATATTAGAGGCTTTGCTGAGGTCTTCAAGATTTGTTTCCATTAGTTACTGGCATTCAAATCGTAACACAGAAGCAGATTATTTAAACATGCTGCACCAGGAGGATACCGCAAATAAAGATTCTTTTTATTAGGGACAGCGTCTTTTGCAGGTGTGGGCATACATCCATGTTTCAAGTATGAAGGGTTTAGATAGTAAAGTTGTGATAAGAGAGGTCACTTTGCAGCTATTAATTTTGCAGATAGATTCAGGTCTGCACCCTTGATGAAAAATACAGTTTCTAATATGGCAGCCAGATAAATATGTAGCCCTTTGGTTGGTTGCTTTGCCGTTAAAAGCTTTTCTGTATCATATATGAGAATATAGGAGAATTGCAAGGGTGGGGTATTCCTCTGTGAGGAACGCACATCACACAACTGCAAGGGAGTACAGTGAAGACCTTAGATGGTACATCTCTTAATGCTCCATGAAAGGATTATTTCACAATTTTCGCAGATGATGGCAAAACTCTGATGAAGATAAGGCTATTGATAAGACAAATTTATGGAAGATAAGGCTATTGATGACCACTAGCCATGGTAGCTATGTACTTCTTCCAGTGTCAAAGGCAGCATGCTTCTGAATGCCCATTGCTGGGAATCCCAAGTAGGGCAAGGGCTGTTGAACTCATGTCCTGCTTGTGAGCTTCCCATAGGCATCTGGTTGACCACTGTGAAAACAGAATGCTGGACTCGATGGTCCTAGGGCATAATGCAGCAGAACATAATAAATGTTCTTATCTCTTCTTCTTCTTCTTCTTCTTCTTCTTCTTCTTCTTCTTCTTCAAAATTGTAAGTCAGCTAGAAAGACAGGAGCCCCAGGCTGACAAAGAGCGTCCTTTGCCAGTCTACTTCAAACTTCCAATTCATGTGAAAATCTGAAGGGGGCAAGAAAGGAAACTGTGGAGACATTACATCATTTTGGCTTGTGAATCTTACGGAAATGTTGTCTTCAGTTTGAGGGATAAAAACTTGTTTGCCCAACAAAGTTATATATCTTAACACTGCAGTTTATAACATCAACCACAACCCAAACAACACAACATCGTAAGGGTATTTCAAAAAGGTTAACCTATTTGTATTCCAGAAAAATAGTGTATTCTAGAATCAATTTATTGTTAATTATGTCATTTGACAGAATTTCACACTGGCGACAAAGTCAATTACCCCATGAGCTTCCTGACATACTTCAATAGCCAGATCAGCATTTATAAAACCCAAAGAATTGACTTTTCCTGAATGTTCAACAACAATAGCAGAAAAGGTGATGAAATGCCCAGATGGTCTCAAGGAAGAAGTTCAGAAGCATGGGTTTCTTCAGGATTTTTTTCAGGTTGTCGGGCAAAATAAAATACTGTAAGGGGAGTGGGGGGCAGGCTAGTTTCTCTCACAGAAAAACTAGAAGACAGGTGCCAGCACATTTTGCCTCATAACTCAGGTTCTGCAAATGCTAGAAACTTCCTTTTTAAAATGAAAACTGAGAATCTGGAAGTTCTAAAGATTTATTAAAATTTTCTGAAATAGTATTGTGGTCAGGTAGATCCTTGCCATGAGGTTAAAAAACCCTCTCTCTCTCACCTTTTGTGGGAAATTTTGAAGAGAAGGGGAAATAAATGTCTTTTTCTCTTTCTTTTTGTATCTGTGGAGAACCCCACCGCACCCCAAAACTCACAATATAACAAGAAAGAGCTCACGTTTAGAAAGCGCAAACAGTCTTGAACTCAAGGAATGTATAACAAAGTAGGGAAAGATTTCAATAGGAAACGGTGAGGGTGAATAGTCTTTTTTCTCTCTCCCCTCCCCTTGAAATCTCCCCCCTACACACACACACACACACACACACACACACACACTGAATAGCACCCTAATGTTCTTGTTTGAGGCTGGTTGGAGCCCAACATATATCGTAATGTAGCATGTCCCCATTAGTACAGTCAAAATAAAATGCAGTTTAAGAGATGCCATTTTTTAATGCACAAATGCAATTCTGTTGCACATTAGGAGTGGTTATTCTGGATTAATGAAGTACAGTACAATATTGTGATCTTGGGTCCATGGGTTCTCAGTTCCTCAGTCAAAACAAGGTCTCAGCCTGATGCTTCAGCAACAGAGGTCCACAGATTGTTTTGCAAATGTAACTGACACTGCTCAACTGCAAAAAACAACAACAGCTAGACATGTTCTATTTAAGTTTTCTGACAATGTTCTGTTTATAAAAATGCTATCAAATCTTGATTTTGTGTGCTAAACTCTTATTTTTATTTAGCATGCCTTGCACTTTTACATTGTCTTCTGAATGTTATATATCCTTAAAAGTAAATGCTAACGCACTGATCTGATGTGGCACATAACACTATTGAACCACCTCTATCCCCCACCAAAGACTGGTCCTTTCAGATAAGATTGAATGATCTCAAGACTTGGTTTTGCTACACGCAAGTGCTGCCATCTAGTGATTAGCCACTCATCCTTTGTCATACTATCATACTAGTTTATGATTATAAACCAAAAGTATTGTGGTGGGGTTATTTTGGAATCATCCAACTTGAAAAAGCCCCACTAGGATGTTATATTCCATGTGCCCGAATACATTTTTACACAGGGAAAGTGAGGCTGTATCTTTGTAGCAGAGCATGATTTGCACACAAGAAAAGCCTGCTGAGTTAGGCCAATGGCCCATCTAGTCCAGCATCCTGTTCCCCAGAGAGGCCCAACCAGATGCCTGTAGGAAACCCACAAGTAGGATTCAAACAAAAGAGCACTCTTCCCGCCTGCAGTTCCAGCAACTGGCATTCAGAAGCATTGCTGCCTCCATGTGTGGTGGCAGAGCCTCGCCATTATGGCTAGTAGCCTTCGACAGCCCTCTCCTCCATGAATTTGTCCAATCCTCTTCTCTGTTGGTGGCGGTCACTGCCTCCTGTGGGAGTGAGTTCCATAGTTTAACTATGCACAGAACATCCCAGGATCAGTCCCTGGCACGTCTAAGTAGGATTGGGAAATATCTCCATGGCTGATCTGGTGGTGTAAGATAGCCTTGCTATGTTATGGGTGATATTTTATTTATTCATCCTGTCAGGTCCTTCCTCACTTGCACCTTCCATCCTACCCATATCTGTTCTGAAGGGTTGGGGGAACCCCTAGAACTACTGAGGGGGCACAGGAGGGAGGAGCCTTGCTGCATTAGTGGTAATCCATGCGCTGATGGGACCCCGATTTAGCTCTACAATGGATAAAGCCACACACACAAAATGGCATAAGTCTCCAACTATATACATTATGACATAAACCAAAGGTCACTTGGGATTTATTTGGGGTACCTGAAGCCTCTAAGTTCATTCATAAGACTTGGTGTTTCTTGCATACACGTTCAAAAACCTATCTGTTAGAAAATAGGCACCTAATATGTGTAGTTTAGTGCCTTGTAGCGTTGTGGTCTACAGGAAAATCATGAGAACATTACTACAATCCATAAGGTGCTTTCAGGTATGCAAAACCATCACAAGCTCTTGGGACTAGAAAAGCTCTTGATAATTTATTGAGATACAGAACACGTTACTAGGGCTGATGTTAATGCTCAGGACCACATGCTCTGTCTTATCACATGTGGAGAACAAGGAATGCCAAATGGAGCAAAAATAAACTAGGACACTTTATTTCAGTTGTAGTACTCCAATAGGATGCTGGCTTCCTGACCTTGAACCCCACCCACCTTAAACCAAAAAAGGGAAAAGGGAAGATTCAAATGAGAACTTTCTAATAATGGCCTCAGCAGTGCAGGATTACTGTGTGCAATGGACAAATCTAAGTCCATTTATTCCAGTGGGGCTACTCTGGGAATGACTTGGATACAACAAACTGCTGAAAAGAAAACACCTGGGGCTAAATGGGTCGGCAGTCTGAGTATGGCTTATAATCTACCCTTTTTGGTTCACACCTATATGGAGTCTGGGGTATCTCAAGATTAGGAACTACACGGAGCAGCTAACGGAAGCGGTCCCTTTGCTGCAGCCACAAGGGGGCTGACCGCAGATCACCTTTTTGCTCCAAACAGATTCCCCAGCTCTCTCACTCCCTCTACTGTTATCTGACATACTCTAGACCAGAGGTCCAGGTCTCATCAGCAATGTCTCATCATAAAGAAGTACCCATCTAGCCAAGGTCCAAGGCTACTGTGGGGTGGAGTGGGATGGGCCAAGGAAGACCCTTGAAGTGACTGAATAATAATCCTGCTGGACAGCCAAGTGCCAAGATTTCCCTTTCCTAACAAAGGCACATGTGAATTGTAGAAAATAAAATAAAGTGAAGGGATAGGATAGGATAGGATCAAGCCAATTCCTCACGTATGTCTCGCCAGATCACCAGGCTAGGTGAGTAAAGCAGGAAGGAGTTGGACTGAAACCAAAGGAGTTTCTTGCAGGGTGCAATGAAGCCAAGAAACGAAAAACTGCAAAGGCGCTGCCCACCCTGCACCACTAGGGGTCCGCACAGAAACAGGCCCACACTTGCAATAAACCAAGTTGCTTTTATAGAGGTGAAAGCTATGCCATGAAAGAGCACTTCAGAGTCCCACCATGCTTTGCAGCCGAGCCAGAATTAGAGGGGAAATCCTGGGGCACATCCTCCTGCCCCAGCCCCACACCCAGCTCATCCGCCTTGTCTCCAAAGTACCCATTCAATCCATTAGATGAACTCAATGCCTTCATATTTGACAGAACCGATACGAGTTTCAGGCAGAAGGCAACGCCCATCCAGCATGAAGGCGGTGATGTATGTTGCCACCTGCCCAGCGTCCTCCTCAGATTTCAGTGCCACAATGATCTGGTCATCCGTGTCAGGGACAAACTTGAAGGAGGAGAAGCCGTGGGTGGGGATGACGTCGCCAACGCGGCTCACAGTGATGTCGGCAAAGTCCGGTGCGGAACTAAGCAGCAGGTTGGTGCCACAGTGCTCGTCCTCCTGCTCGTTGTAGCGCCCGTGGCTGGCGCGGCGCGGCAAAAAGAACCAGCGCTGGAGTGTCTCGCTCCAAGAGGCAGACTCGTGGATCAGGTAACCTGGGAGGGGCGGAGCAAAAGTGAATGTCAAGCAGGGATGGGGCCAGGGGCAAATACAATGAAGAAGAGTTTGGATTTGATATCCCGCCTTTCACTCCCTTTTAAGGAGTCTCAAAGCGGCTAACATTCTCCTTTCCCTTCCTCCCCCACAACACTCTGTGAGGTGAGTGAGGCTGAGAGACTTCAGAGAAGTGTGACTAGCCCAAGCTCACCCAGCAGCTGCATGTGGAGGAGAAGAGACGCGAACCCTGTTCACCAGATTACGAGTCTACCGCTCTTAACCACTACACCACACTGGCTCTGAAGCCACAGCAGGCAAAGGGGAAAAGAATGGGCAGTATTATTATTATTATTACTATTATTATTATTTACAGTTGTATACTGCCCTTCATCTGTAGATTTCAGGGCGGTTCGTAACATAAAAACACAAGCTAAAAACACAGAAGACATAATAAACAAAACTTTTCACTACATTATGGGCTGCATAGCCCATAATGCTTGTGGCAGCAATACTGCATGAGTGCATTCCTATCATCAGTGATGTGAGTACCCCAAACACACTGGAAGATGGAGGGAATGAAGAACTGAGTTTGAAGTCGGCATATGAACCAGCGGTACAGAGCACATCCGTAAGTTCACAGATGCAATTTCCATCATCTCCAGTTAAGCCACCCCTGGCAAGGGAGACCTGGGAAAGATCTCTGCCCCAGACTCTGGAGTTACTACCAACATTGACAGTGAGTAGGGCCAGCTGGACCAACAATCTGTCTCCATATAAAGAGATATGCTTCTGGATCTATTCACAGGAGATGAGTGAATAGCCACATCAGGCAGCAACCTGCTATAGGCGCTTGATCACAGCGTTCATGAACATGAAAATGAAGCCCTTATTGCTTTTCTCTTCCTCTCTAGGCAGACCCATATCCTGCCCCCCCCCCCCAAATTCCATACCCCCTCTGACTCCCCCTCTGTCATTCACCAATCCCATCTATACGAAAAACAAACCAAAACCCAGAGTGCTCAGAAAATCCAGAAGTAGAATGACACAGGTGCCAGCATGTTTCTTTTGAAACAGTTCTTCCAATCCAAGAACCTGCCCACTGCTCACCTGGGGGCTTGATCCCCGCTGCAGTCCTCAGTGCGTTGTAATTGGCCACCCAGTTCTCGTGAGCCACGTCACCTTTGTAGCCAATGACTTTCACCCACTCGGGGTTCTCGTTCAGCACCTCCCCAGTGGTGGTCGTCCACTCCTTGCCCAGGCCTCCTACGTACAGATGCTCGTCCTTCACTGCTAGCCACTCAGCCTTAAACCCTGGGGAAAACAGAAAAGAGTTCAGGGTTTAAGGCATGGTGTTAACTGCCCAGGGAGCTGACGGTTCCAGTCAAGGATACACACCCCAGATACCTGGACCCAAGCTTCCACAGCTCCCTTGTAAGGAGCAGAGAGATGTGCGTCTATTGTAGGGAGGCAAATTCACTTCTCAGAGCTCCATTCAAAATATGGTTGAAGAGTTGGAAGGGACCCTGATGATCATCTAGCCCAGGGGTCAGCAAGGTTTACCTCGCCTGGGCCGGTTCATTCCTGCGGAGATCGCTCTGTGGGCCGGATCGCGTCTGCGCATGTGCAGATGCGATTTCCGGTGCCGTGGAAGCAAGTCCCCGCTCCGCTGGTTTAGTGCAGTGGGCGGGGACTCGCCGAACGGACAGCTCGGTTCCGAGACAGCTCAGGGGCCGTTTAAACGACCCCCGTGGGCCGCTTGTGGCTCATGGCCCGCAGGTTGCTGACCCCTGATCTAGCTCAACCTCCTGCAATGCAGGACTATGCATCTGTCCCATACAGGGATCGAACTTTCAACCTTGGCATTATCAGCACCCTGATCTAACCAAATGTGCTAATAAATGAACAACTTTTGCCTCTTAATTAAAAATGGGTCCCACAGCCCAACGGTAATAAAAAGAATGCATGCAGCCGAGCCTGGAAAGCAGGACATTGTGAGGAACTGTCGACCACTGGGAGAACAGGATGCTGGACTTTATAGTCCACTGGCCTCATCCAGCAGCCTCTTCTTATGTTCTAATTGTGAGCCGGCCATATTTGTGACCGAAGGCATGGGAATTCTGGGAATTCCCACTTCTACTGTGGCCTCTGTTATATTTCGGACATTGAGAAACGGGAATGACAGTGTCATTGGGGTATCCAACACAAAACCTGAGCTCACCCTTGCCAACTGTGCCATCCCCATCAGACAAGATCACCCAAGGTACCACCTTGGTGCCATCGATCTGGTAGACCACACCAGTGCGATCATCCACAGCATACAGCTTGCCGTTGAAGACTACCAATTCGGAGAGCTCCATGCCACGCCCCTTCTCAGCCAGGTGAGACTCCAGCGTATGGTCCTGGGTGTCCCACTCGACAGAGACATGGTCCCCACTGGCCGACAGGGTCAGGTAACCTTTCTTCAAGTAGCTGAACCAGGTGTGCTCGCCGGGGCCCTTGGAGTTCGTGTCGAGGTCGGCAATGAGTCCAATGCGGTAGCGCACGCCCTCCGGGATCCGCTGGGGTGGCGACAAGGGGTAGGTGTCATTGTACCGCCCACTGGGCAGTGCCCCGAGGCGCCAGTTGTGAGCGGTGAGAGGCACCGGCCTGCTTGCCGAAGGCGAACGCTGGAAGCAGAGGAGCAGCAGGACAAGGATCAGGGCCAGGGAGGTTGCCACAATGGCCTTCCAACGCAGGCGGAAGCGGGGGTCAGCCGCTTTGGTCATGGACGCCAGCACTGGGAGTCCGCCCACACTAATCCGCAAGGGATTCAGAGAATCGTCCCATTGCAGGCGTGGGCGGGATGGGACGGGCATGAGCCTGAGGTTCCCGGGAACCTGGAAGGGAAGAAGAGGGTCAGCAGGGGGTGCAAAAGGGATGCAGCAGGGGTGGACATGCAATCTGCCCTACCTTGTGGGGGGGTGGAGGACGGGGAGGCAGTGAGGCAGCAGCACCAAGCATACTGATTCCTATCCATGCAAGAAGGAAAAGCAAAAGGAAACAAGAAAAGGCAGAAGGTGAAGCAACATCGGGGGGAAAGCCAGGCAACTGGGCCAGGAATTCTGCAACGGAACAGGCATGGAAGCAGCACCAGCAGTGGCACTTCCAAACTGTGCACTACGAGGATTCCTGCTGGAGCAGAATTACACCAGAGACATGAGCACACTAAAAGTTGGACTGTCAACTGATTAACCTTTTTTCCAGTTTATTAAACATAACACTTTAAAATGATTAATTACTTATTTACTCACATTATCCAAACTCCAATAAAGGTGCCTTTTTGAGTTACTGGAGGAAATGTAAAATAGCTTGCAATCTATTATTATGGGGATTTTTGTCCTGTTCTTCTGCCAAAAATCGGATTGCAGAGCAGCTTATGAATATCAATGAGAAGACAGCCCCCACCCTCAGAATCACCATCTAAAAGACACATCGTAATAGGAAATGGGACACAAAATGAGGAGGGAATAAAGCAAGCTCAGGCACTCATTCTCAGTTTTATCTTGCTTTTCCTTCAAGGAGCTCAAGATAGACTGTGTGTTCCCCTTGCCCTTTCATTGTCAAAACAACCATGAGACAGGGTGACTGGCCCAAGGTCAGCCAATAAGCTCTGCAGCTGAACAGGGATTTGAACCCAGATCTCCCCAGTCGAAGCCTGACACTCAGGCCATTGCTAGCTCTTAATACACAAAAAACTCTGGCTCCTTGTTAGAAGGTGGTAGAAGATGAGGTACCAGAAACAAAAAAGGCCTTGAAAGTAAACAAACAAGTGCATTCCTAAGTCGCAGAAATTGTCCTCAACAATTAAAATTGGCCTGCACCAATAGGTCAACTAAAGCTTTGCTAATTACCCAATTAAACTATGTAAAGTTTGTAATCCAAACAAGAAAGCACAGTGAAGCAGACAGGGTGTTAGGGAAAGACGGAAGAAGGAAGGGAGGGTGTGTAGGGGTCACTGCCCCTTCCGAATCTAGAAAGACAAGCCACTGAGTCATGGGACAAACCAGCCCTGCCCATACTCCAAACCCCGCTCCCTTTTGACGAGGAGACTCCAAGGCTGCGATCAAGCCCTTCAGTCATCAGGCTGCTAACCGCTGGCTCTTTCACCTACCAACAACGATTCTCCCACCCCAGAAGTTTGGATCTTTACATCATTTTGAGTAGCAATTATGCCAGAGCCCTTGTGGTTTCCAGACCTTTCTGACAGTTCCCAATTCATATCTTGCTGGGAGTTCTGGGGACCAGCCGCACCTATAGCATGCGACAGGTGGCAGAGCTCAGCTCCTCCCCAAATAGGATCCAGGAAACGTTACCAGGAAATGTCACCAGGTCATCGATTGCTGACTTGCCCAACCAGTTCTGTTTAAAGACCTAACAGACTTTCCTTCCTGTTCTGCTCGTATAGCATGTCTTGGATTCTACAAACTCTTTCCCCCCTAAGCGTTATAGTGATTGCTTCCCAGCACTACTCCCAATATGAAAGGGTCTGCGTACAAGGGTAGTAAAACATGCACTAGGTACAACAGCTTCATAGCTCAAAAAAAGAGGGGGGGCAGAGCTATTTGTTGCAAAATGTCCAGCACATACATGGATGACCTCATATTCATAGCCCAGCATGGCTAGTACGACCCAGTGGTAGGGAAATTATGCCAAAATTTCTACCAAGAGTTAGTTCCACAGTCTCTGCACCCACGTCTGCCAGCCTTAGTTAACGGGCCCATCTGCTTGCAAACAGCAGAAAACATTTGTACACTGATGAGCTCAGTTGGAGCGGTTGAGGTGCTGGACCAAAAGGCTTCCTAAGCAGCACCCACCACAGTAAACCCAACCAGGGAGAACTGGGCAGGTGAAATGGTACAAATGGAGTTTGACAGGAGCAGAAATAAAAGTCCTTGGGGACTGGATCCCTGGGGCAAGATGTTGCACAGAAGTAGCAGCCGCAACCCTTCTGCAAAGTCTTTCTACAAGGGTAGCAACTGCTCCATCGTTTCACAGTTTTTACACAATACCCAGGAGAATGTCACAACACCGCAAAGGTCCAGGAAAGCTATACTGTACTGCCAACGGATCTGCAAGGACGGGGTGGAGTACGTGGGGGGGGGCGTATTCTAGCCACTTTGAGGAGGGGCGAGTGTGTGGCACATTCAGATGCACTAACGTACATTTAAAAGAGATCGCAGTTTGTGCAACTTAGCCCCCCACCCACCCCACCTTCTTCTCCCGCCTGAAGGGCGTGGGGCGCAATCTAAGGGCGAACTAGGAGGTCCCTTGAGCTGCATCCCTGCATCGCCTTTGGGCCTGCAGAGAAAGAGAAAAGAGGTCGCTGCCGCCCATGAAGCAAAGGGATCTGCCGGCAACGCAGTTGCATCCCTAGGGATCTGGCACCCTGGAGGGATTCGCCGCAGCCCGCCCGGGGCAACTCACAAGGCGCCCAGGATGCAACCGCGATCGCTCCGTCGCCTGGCAATGCCCCGCCTAGACCAAGCTAAGCGGGAGGTGGGCCACTGGGGCAGCAAGCAAAAAAAGGGACGCGCCGGTAAATGGCAGCACCCCGCTGCTTACTCGACCACCTCCCCCCCCCCCTCCCGCAGGAACCCAGGTGTCCGGCAAAAGATAACCCCCCCAGCCTCCGCCCCCGCCCAACCACTCACCGATCAGGCTCCTCCCCGCGCCGGGAACGACCGGAGGGAGGGAAGGCCTTCTCGCAGCACTCCCTCCCTCCTTTCCCAACTACACGTCCCAGCGTGCATCGCGCTCGGGAAACTACTATTGGTTCCGACATCCCTTGCGATCGAGTGGGAGGGGAAGGGGAAAGGCGCCTTCTGCTACGGGCCCAACGCTGACGCGAGAGAGACTACATCTCCCAGCAACCACTGCGCGGGATATTCGAGGCCGGGGTTGGTTCAGGCTGCCATCTTCCCAAGGCTGCAAGGGAGCGTTTCGGGGCGAGGAGGCACCGGTTTGCTGGGAGTTCTCTCCCCCCCCCCCCGAGCGAGAAAAGTGACCTTTGGCAACGGCAGCGCCGCAAATCAGCTCGTACAGATAGTTAATTGGGTTCAGCGTCCTCACAGCCATGGGGAGATGGCCACACAAATATGCTCGGAGTGATGGGGCATGGAAACAACACATATTTCCCATAAACTTTCCTTGACACTAAGCGTTGTGTCCTTTTGGGCACCCGCTTCCCTCCTGAGTTTTTTTTTCGTGCTGCCCAAAGAAGATGGCCACCCTTAATCCTGTTGGCCACTGATAAAGATTCCTAGCTTTGAACCCAACTCAGCTTCCATAGTTTGTGGCGCTGTGGGTTAAACCACAGAGCCTAGGACTTGCCAATCAGAAGGTCGGCGGTTCGATAAATAGGTGGGAAGGTAAATGGCGATAAATACCGGTGGGAAGGTAAATGGCGTTTCCATGCACTTCTCTGGTTTGCCAGAAGCGGCTTAGTCATGCTCGCCACATGATCCAGAAGCTGTACGCCGGCTCCCTCAGCCAATAAAGCAAAATGAGCGCCGCAACCCCAGAGTCGGTCACGACTGGACCTAATGGTCAGGGGTCCCTTTACCTTTACCTTTACAGCTTCCATAGTTTAACGCCAGCTTGATCTGCACATAGTAGCAGCTGTTGAAGCTTCCATCTGTGCTCTGACTTCTGCAGAGTGTTGTTTAGAAAGGGATGGGAGCAAGCCAGGATTTTTCTTTCCCCCTGGTCCATTAGTAACCCTAGACACAATTCCAAAGGTCCTAGTATTCACAGTTGGGCTTGTATTACTTAACTCGCACCACCAACCATCGCCATGTGGTTCAGCCTTTCCATTCACATGCACAAGTAGAATCAAGGTGAGCAGATGTGATCTGGTGAGACTCCTACTCTTTCCATAATTATGGGAAAGGGGGAATTGCAACAGGCGCAGTATGCCGTGTCGTACTGTAGTAGTGATGAGAAAAGCTGCACTTGCTGATATTCCCTCTTCTACACATATTAAAGGCACCACATTCAGGCGTTCATAACTTGCTGTTATTTGAACCACATTGAGTGGGAAAGTGCTTGTAAGAGGGTACAAGAATAGAATTTTAGAGTTCAAAGGGACCGCAAGGGCTCATCCAGTCCAACCCCCTGTAAGACTGGAATCTTTGCCCAACATGGGGCTTGAACCCAGGACCCTGAGATTAAGAGTCTTGTACTCCTCATGGGGAAATGTGGCGTGATCTCTTAAGAGTACAGTAATCAAATGAAACTTTTAACACATGGCACGATAAAAGTCTGTAATTTTATCAGAACAAGTTACTTCCAGTTTACTGTTGTAACAATTGTTTTCTCAATTGTTCTCTTCTGTACCATGAAAATAAATAAAAGGGTTTTTTTTTAAAAAAAAAGTTTTGTGCTCTTCATATGCAACAGTGATGAGGATCTTGTTTGACTACAATAATCATCATTCCTTGAGAATATGAATACACACACACACACACACACACACACACACACACCGTATTTTTTGCTCTATAAGACTCACTTTTTCTTTCCTAAAAAGTAAGGGGAAATGTGTGTGCGTCTTATGGAGCGAATGCAGGCTGTGCAGCTATCCCAGAAGCCAGAACAGCAAGAGGGATTGCTGCTTTCACTGCGCAGCGATCCCTCTTGCTGTTCTGGCTTCTGAGATTCAGAATATTTTTTTTCTTGTTTTCCTCCTCCAAAAACTAGGTGTGTCTTGTGGTCTGGTGCGTCTTATAGAGCGAAAAATACGGTATATACCCACTTACTCCACATCATGTGTAATTTTACATACACCTATTGTTTTCCCTTGCTCATCTTTATTCTGCAATAAAAGGCCCAACTGTTGTAACTTTTTTTCACAGGGGAGTTGCTCTAACTCCACAATCATTTGGGTTCCCCTTTTCTGAACCACTTCTCCAACCTAAAATATCTTTTTTTGGGATGAGGCAACCAGAACTGTACCCAGTCTTCTGAGCATGGTCACACCATACATTTGTATAGTGGCATTATGACATATTGACAGTTTTTATGTTCAGTCCCTTTCCTAAGTTGCCCTGGCTAGGAGTGAGCTGCAACCAACCACAAGATGTGCAATTATGCTGATGCTGCAACCTTTTCCTAGAAAGCGTTGCCCTTTGACAATACCTGGGTGCCACTTCATAACTGTTCTGTGGCAAAAGTATCCCTCCCTTCCTTCTTATTCTGAATGTAAAAATACAGTTCCCTTTTCTGTACCCTTTGTTTCTAGTAAATTCTTGAATTGGAACACTTGCCTAGAAGTCCTAGCCCTAGAGCAGTAGGTCTCCATGATTGGAATTGGAACACTTGCCTAGAAGTCCTAGCCCTAGAGCAGTAGGTCTCCACTGAAATCTGCAGTGGCTCAGAATAAAAGGACAAAGATCCCATGTTCTAAGTGACTAGAGATAACAAATCTACCCATCAACAGAGCCACCCACGACCTCACATACTGAGAGTGTAGCTACTAGAAAGGGGCTTTTCTTCAGTTGGGTGGCCAGGATATTCAAGGCAAGAGGAGAAAAAGGAATCAGCAAAAGAAATAAGGGGGTTAGTGGTGGGTGTTTGAAGGGATAGAGGAAAACATTGAAGTACAGTCAGATAACTGAAGTTTTCCTGCATAAGATTAAAAGTGAGAGAGATTAGAATGAAAACAAATAAGGACCCTTTTTAGTTTATGAATGAACTTCACCAGTGTAAAATCTTTCATAGAAACTCTGGCTGTTTGCTAGCTCTTATTAAAATTATATATTCAATATCAAACAATCTCAGTTGCACATATATATGCCTTATAGTGTGGTTAAGTTGTTTGGGGGAGTAGAGAAAGAGTTCCACTTGTACAAAAATAACTCCCAAAAGGCACCCCTGTGTCCTACTCCAGTTTGCAATGGAGGGAACAAAGCAGCATTTAGTATAGGCAACTCCCAAATTATGCACGGGTTACATTACATTAAGTGAAAACACGCATATTTGAAACACTATTGAAAAAGCCCGCAAACTTTTCGTTCCTCCACCTTCTGCCCATTTTTGTGACGCTTTCAGGTCATTTCTGGGTTCGGTGCAATGTGTATGTGTGGAGTCACACACGTATCAGATGTGCGTAAAACGGTCACTGCCTGTACTAGCAGTCAATCCCTATTCCCTTAGCTTACCTGTATCGCTTCAAACTTATAATAAGAACATAAGCGCCATTGTGGTGTAGTGGTGGGAACCAGGACTTGGGAGACCAAGGTTCAAATCCCTACTTGGCCATGAAGCATACTGGTGACCTTGGGCCTGTTACTGTCTCTCAGCCTAACCTGCCTCACAGGGTTGTTGTGGGGATTAAGTGAGGAGGAGGCCCACCTTGAGCTCCTGGGGGGAGGGGAAGGTGGGATATAAATGCAATAAATAAATGAAGTCCTGCTGAATCAGAAATGTCTTGCTCTGGGAAACCCACAAGCAGCAGCTGGTTTTACAGGGCACTCTGCCTCTGATCTTACGATTTTTTCCCCTAGTTCTAATCCCCCTTTAAATACATCTAAGCTAGTGGCCGACCACAACATCTTGTGGGTGCAAATTCCATAAATGACTCAGGTTGTGTGTGAAGATTAAGTAGTATATTTTATCTGCTCTGAATCTCCTGCTAATCCGTTTCCACTAGGTTCCTCAGCATAACAAGAGGCAGAAAAATAACTGATCCAGACAGAAAACTGTTATCACATATAGTGGTACCTCGGGTTAAGTACTTAATTAGTTCCGGAGGTCAGTTCTTAACCTGAAACTGTTCTTAACCTGAAGCATCACTTTAGCTAATGGGGCCTCCTGCTGCCGCCATGCAGCCGGAGCACAATTTCTGTTCTCATCCTGAAGCAAAGTTCTTAACCCGGGGTACTATTTTTGGGTTAGCGGAGTCTGTAACCTGAAACGTATGTAACCTGAAGCGTATGTAACCCGAGGTACCACTGTAGTATAAAATTGTATCAGGGTGCAAGATGGGGAAAAACACACATAATGGGATGACAAGTGGCTCTCTTAGTTCATAAACCACACAAGTTATACATTCCTCAATTTGGAGTGGGGGTTGTGCCTCAAGATTTGTGGCAGCCTAGCTATACTTGGAGATCACTGATTTTGTATGTGCCTTAGCTTTGCAGATTTTACTGTGGGAAAAGCAGCCGCCCCCTTATGCAATGATTTCCTTCAGGGAATTACTAGTGGAACAGTTTCATGCTGGTCTATAGATTGGTTCTGCTCAGTGATTCATACACAGTTCTGCTTTTTCTCAGCCGCTCATTATGCCTGGCTTTTCCTAACAGCCATGACCTACATATGTGAGAGGACTGGACGTTCGTTAGGCAAGGAGGTGTGCTTTTTGTATGCGTGGGTAGCAACAGCATTGGAAGATTCCTATTTGGGCAGAGCTGTGCATCACTGGGTTGGTACCACAGTGAGCGAAAGCAGCCAGATTGTGCTTGCCCAAATACCGGTAATAGGGAAATTGCTCAAATTTTCTCCCCTATAAATCTTAGTGTAGAATAGAAGTAGAGGCTGCGGGGTGGGGATGGGGAAATCATAGTATATGTTCAATAGTAGAGCATCTAGAAGGTCTCTGGTTCAATCCCTGACACCCCCTGTGCAAAGGATCGGGTAGACCGGGGGGTGGGGTGGTGGTAGAATAAGAGACATTGAACATATGTGTTTATTAAGCACTTAAATGACAGGAAATGTCATCATATGCACACATTGTATAAAGGTAAAATGCTATACTTAAAACATACTGTCCAAACCATATGAACCACTGTCTTCTTTTTCTCCAGAACCTCCTCTTCTTCACCTTCATCTTTGGGCAGGTGACGCTTTGTCATACCCTTAAAGAGAAACTACCATTAAAGTACAGTGGTACCTCGGGTTAAGAACTTAATTCGTTCTGGATGTCTGTTTTTAACCTGAAACTGTTCTTAACCTAAGGTACCACTTTAGCTAATGGGGCCTCCCACTGCCGCCGCGCCGCCGCTGCACGATTTCTGTTCTCATCCTGAAGCAAACTTCTTAACCTGAGGTAATATTTCTGGGTTAGAGGAATCTGTAACCTGAAGCGTATGTAACCTGAAGCATATGTAACCCGAGGTACCACTGTACTTCTTTTTTGTGCCTCCTAGCTACTGAACAGTGGCAGATTCATAAATGAATTGTTTCTGTACAGTGGAAAAAGGACCACGGATACAGAGTAAAAACATAAGCAAGAAGCAAAACACACTTCATCTGGTTTTCTTTTCCAGGTATCTCGAGAGAAGAGGCAAGAGACTGACAACGTGGCAGGTAAGAGCTAAGGTTTGGCCTTCCTAAATCATATTGTAGAGAGTTTTTAACTTAACCACTAGACTGCACCTGCTCACCATTCTATGGATATCCTCCACACATTAACTGCTTGATATCTGTATTGTGACACCCAGAAGAAGCAAGGTTTTCTGAAACAGAAAGAGGGAGCTGTGAATTGACAGCCCAAAGCACCCCAGGGTGGGAGAAGAGCTCCTCTCTCTGGGGATGTGATATTGAGGGCAGCAGATCCGCTACTTGGCAAGAGCATGTTTTGCTGGCCTCTGCTTATGCTCAACTTATAAATAAACCAAATCCTACAGAAATGCATGCCACAAGTCTCCAGCGCTCTCTCTTCCAAAGGAAGCCAAACCCAAGTAGCACAGTGGAACTGCTCACCACTTGTGAAAGCAGGGAGCACACAACAATAGAAAGGAAATAGAAAACGGACTCCCAAGGTATTGCCTGCTGTACTTTTCTGCATTTCCTCTGACCTCACTGTTTTGGAACGCATACAATGGGTGGAGGGGTGTGTGTGTGTGTGTGTGTGTGTGTGTGTGTGTGTCTGATGAAATGGACTGTAATCCATACCTTCAGAATTTTTTGCAATGTTCATATCCCACCTTTTCCTCCAAGATGGTGTACGCAGCTCTCACCTCCCCAGTTTTCTTCTCACGGCAGCCCTGTGAGGTTGCTACGGCTGAGAGACGGTGACTGTCCCCAGGTTATCCAGTGAGTGCTGTGGCTTAGCGGGGCTTTGAACCCTGGTCTCCCACCTCCTAGTCCGACAATCAAACTACTACATCATACACCGCACAGATGCTTCTGCCATAATAAATCTTCTTGTTTTTGCTTCATGAGACAAGCGTGGCTCATGTTTGCTACAACAGAAAGAGATGCCGTTGAAGGAGTCAGAGGTGAGAATCAGTGCCAGGCTTGCATACTGCCTCCTCTTGCCAATCTGATCTCCATTGCCATGGGCAGCAGCTGCGAATTTCCCCTGCTCTCCCTCCTTCCTTCCTTGGCTCCGGACCCCAACATCTGGAGACACTTTCTGGCGGAGGAAACCTGCCTTCTCTGTCCCAGCTGTGGGTGCTGGGCACACATATGGTTAACGGCAGCTGTGCTCCCATCTGAGGGAGGAGGGCTGGCGGCGTACAGCGTCTGCCCCTTTCTTTCCCTCTTTCTCTCTCTCTCTCGGTTTTCCACAGAGCGTCTTGCTGCCGGGAGCCTGAGATCTGAAGGCTAGACACAGGGCTGCCAGGCTCTCCTCCTTTCTGCCCCACTAGCAAGGGGTGGCGGAAGCATTTACTTGGAGGGGGATGCTGTAGAAGACCAGAGGCAAAGGCAAGCAGTGGCTCTGGCAGCAGCCAGTCATCCTGCCCCAAAGGTAGGTAGGTGCCCATCAGCTGGGCAGCCCTCCAGGGCCAGGTACTTCGAAATGTGTGTGCAACAGAGCTCAGATCTACCTGTGCAGGCTTGGCTAGGGCGAGTGGCTGGGCTTCCTGGGATCTTGCACAAGGGCCTTTTCCTTCTGAAGGCCTCAGGCTGCTGATACCTCCGTTGCTTTTTGGGTATGCGCCTGTGAGTGTGTGCAGCAGAATCTGCCCCGTGTTGGTCCCTCCCATTACAGTAGATGGGACATAGTTTTTGGCCCCTTACCCTGTGGCTACCCAGCCCAGCTTGGCACTGCTCTAGGCAACATCCTGCACACCTCTAGATGTTAAATGGACAGAGCCCATTGGCGCTGCAGGCAAGCCTCTGCCTCCCTGGGCAAGTGTTGCCTTGGGACAAGCAGCACCGGGGAGCTCTGTGATGCATCCTCACCCTGGTCTAAGGAAGGGGAAGGCTGATTCTTGCATCGGCTGCTGTGCCTCCTGGCACACTTGCCAACTTGCAGCTTTTGAGTAACTCAGGATTACAAGGCTTGGCTGCGGATGGTCACGGGCCACTTTGTGGGCCCCTTCCAGGAGCGCCTCTCTATTTCCAAGAGGGTTATGGTTTGGGACCTCTGAGGGGAGCCCAGATGTTTTGGGGTCCCCCTCTGCTCTCCACGCACACCCTGCTACCCTCTTTGTGTTTGCCTGACTGGAATGGGACTCTTGAGGGTTTGGTGGTCTCTTTAATGCTGACGGAGATTTTTCCAGGACGTGACGGCTTTGCATTCCCAAGTGTTACCGGCTGCTGTATCAGGCCCTTGAGAGATGGAGAGTGGCCAGAGCGAACCGGAAAAAACAAACGCACTGCCGGAGCACACATCCCTGTATGCGCCTCTGCTCCTGTCTTCCTCCTTGCAAGCCTGTGTTTGTGCAACAATGTGTGTGCCCTGCCGCTGTCTCTGGCTTATAACGCTTGTCCTCGAAGAGATATGAACCTCTTGCGGGCATACTATCTAGCTCCCTTTGTTGTGGGTTTCGCCTTGCGGGGCTAGAGACAGTTAGACTAAACATTCAGTTTTTAAGCCACCAGGAAGGATCCTGTTGTTACATAATGTCTGCCAACTCTTCAGGCTTTACACATAACAAACAGGTGAGGATGACCTATTTTACCTAAGGCTCCTGGTTCTCCACATCCCAATAGCACGTTGCTTTTAAAAACAACAATTCAAATGGGATCAAAACCTCACTAAATATTAAATCTGGACATGTTAGAAATATCCCATACCAGCTGAAGTCTAATCATCCACAGACTACCCGCTCAAGGTTATGCAACAGCACTTCCCCAAATGGTTGCGTTCAGACTTCACTGAGGCTGTGCAGAGATTAGGGGCTTGAAACACAGCAAGGTTGTTTCAAGTCACATTCTTACATTGCTGTACAGACCAGAGAGGGGGCAGAGATGTCTTCACCTGATGCCCATTACCTGGAATTGTTTCATCATCTCAAACCCCAATTTGCTTAAGCTGCTGTCTGCGCATGTGCAGTGGCTGCCTGAAATGTCACCACAGCTTCCCTTTTTCTAATTGGATGGCAGCTGGCTTGAGGGAAAATGCATCAAACAGAAGTATTTCTCAAGAAACTACAGCATACCTATGGAAACTGTCATGCCAAGTTTGGTGACAGTATCTCGAGAGGCGGCCAAACCTATACCGAAAAAATGGGCAAAGTCATGCCAAGGTGATGGCATGCCATCTTGGACTGCCATCTTGATTAAAAATGGTGTCCGGCATCAAAACACTGATGAAGACTGCTGCTCCACCTTGGGAACCCCCATGCCAGGTTTGGCGACGGTATCTCAAAAGGCATCCAGATGCATAGAGAACAAACAAATGGACAAACCATTTTCTAAACTATATAATAGATTCATGATCATTCATACTCATGATGATACTCCATGTTTAAGGATGCATGTGAACTCAGTGTAGTTGAAATTGTCCTTTTTGTCAATTGGTGCCTCTCTGAAGAGCTCATCTACTTCTTCATCTGTAAACCTGTCTCCCGTTGTCAGCAATTCTCTCAGGTCATCTTCTTGAATGAAACCTGTTGCTTCTTCATCATCAAAGCAAGCAAAGGCATTCCTAATTGCATCTTCTGGATCAGTGCCATTTAATGTCTCTCAAAACATTGTGAAGTTTATTGGTCCCGGAGCCTCATTCTTCATAGCATCTAGGTATTCATCAGCTGGATTCTTCCCAAGTGAAACGAGCATATCATGCGGTCTTCTTTTTCAGTGAAACCATCTCTGTTTTGATCAATCAGGTTGAATGCCTCTTTGAATTCTTGAATCTGTGACTGATCAAACATAGCAAACACATTGGAAGTGGCATGCTGAGGGCGCTTCTTTGTGGCCTTATTCTTTGCCCTTTTGATTGACATGTTGGCTGTTGGATTCTGAGTGGCGATGGAAGCGGTTATGGGAGAAACTCCACAAGAGTCAGTTTTGAAGCCTAAAACTTAAACTAGCATGGCTTCTCTCTGCAAGGAATCTGAGAATGATAGTTCTGTGCAGGCACTAGGTTTTCAGCATCTTCAGAAAACTACAATTCCCAGAAATCCCTGGAGGAAGACAAGTGTCTCAAATTAGCATTTATCTCTAATGCAGATGCACTTCTGAATGCAGCATAAAGTTAACTACAAGTGTGTTCCTTTCCTTGCACAGTCTGGGAATGCCTGCACATCCATTTACATTATGGTTGCAGTTCAGCTGGAATACATGTGAGCTTTGGGTGTGTAATGTGGCCTGCATGACCCCTACCTGCACATGGGCTGTGTAACTGTTTCCTTTGGTCCATGTGCTCTCTTGTTCTGCCCTGCAAAAGACACACAGCTGCTTTCGTGAGAATCTTCTGGTTCTGAATTTGGGCCTGGCTGTGTAGCTCATCCTTGGATAATATTCCCAGAGGATCTTTGACCGCGGATCTTAGGAGACTTGCCCAGTTTTGCTTGGCACTGCACTGCCTTGCCTTATTAGAGGACCAGGGTGGGGCAGGCTTCCAAACTATGCACAAGCACATGTGTTTGTATACTCAGTTGCACTCTGCCATGGGATCACAGACTTGTCCCAGGAAGGAAACATTGGCCATTGATTATTGTTCTTGTTGTTGTTTTTAAAATACAACTTTTGGGCCCAAAGGCTGCCAAAGCGATTAACAGCTTGTTAGAACAACAAAACATACAAACCTATGTACCGTATTTTGGTGAAAATGTGCATGCTTGTTAAAGACCCAGTTTGGCAGCCCCCCATGCACATTTGTGTACACCCATACCCACCCACCCACTGGCTTGGGACCTCAATGGCTCTCCTCTGGAGGCTTCACCTGGGGCAAGAAACCCAGCTAGCTCCCCCTCCCGGTAGTTATGGTACTGACATGTCCACTTGGTGTGGACCAAGGAGAATTTACTGCCAATCAATGGGCTCCACTTAGGTGATAAAATAGATCTTGTGCCATTATACAAATAATTTCCTGCACAGGAAGGTCACTGTATGTGAAATGGGTGTAGGTAGTCAGGGTGTGTCTGAAGAAAGCAGTAAACTTGAAGAAGACTGGTACGTATCTACAATTCCATGATATCTCTCCTTTTTGTTTGGAGACAATTTAGTTGAACTTAGATCCCATTGACACAAATGACAAATCAATGGGAAATATGTGCAACTATGCAAAGTCCTCTTCGTGCGCACGAGCACACGATGGGGCTTTTGAACACAAATGGGCTAACTCAGCTCTATATGCTAAAGCACACAATGACCAAACCCTAAGTCCTTTGGGGTGTACATGCATAGATAGTGTTCTTTCCATGGGGACATGAACCCTGGCCAAATAGAATTTATGCCCTTATACAGGGAGCGCAATGCGTGTGCACCCATAGATGCATAGAACTCCTTTCAGACTGATGGCGCTGGCTGTGGTAGTGCCACATGTCAACCATGCATGCCATTATCTAGAGCAGCCTTTCTCAACCTGTGGGTCCCCAGATGTTGTTGAAATACAACTCCCATCACTCCTAGCTAGCAAGGTCAGAGCTCAGGGATGATGGGAATTGTAGTCCAACAACATCTTGGGGACCCACAGGTTGAGAACTGCTAATCTAGAGGGTGGGGTTAGTCCATTTATGCATGAATCCCTTTGCATGCTTATAATACTGTGACTTCTGGAATACCTGCTCCCTGCCTTGCAGGCTTTTTCCACCTGGCCTGGGAGGGTGGGACCAGGACTGACTCCAGCTACAAAAGCTGAGGCTGCTGAACAAGCTCTTAGGCTGGGGTGTTGTTTGCATTTTTTGTTGAGATGGTTGCTGATGTTGGGGGGGTTTGTACCTTTATTTTAGATATTGTGATTTATGTGGAAAATTTTCCGTTTGGTTGTGTATTTTTGATGTCTTATGTACTGTTTATGACCACTTTTGTTATGTTGCTGTTATGCTTTTTTCATGTTGTAAGTCACCTTGAGCCTTGTTTGAACTGTGGAAAGGCAGCATACAATAAAATTATGGATGTATGTATGTACAACAGTGCAGTAGAGCCGATTTACCACATTTTGAAGTAAGCAATGTAATACACATTGCCATCTAAACTGGGTCTTCCCATAAGACCTTGTGAAGCAAGGGAAAGAACATGTATTACCACCCAAAGCACACCCAACAAGTCCAGGGTTCAAAATGACCAAAATACCCTGCTGCTGCGATCTCTGCCCGCCACACCCCCACTTTCACTTGTCTGACTCTCTCTTCTCCCACAGGGCCAAAAGCAATGAAGATAACACTGACACCAAGTGCCCTTTTGCTCATCTGCCTGATAATCCAGGCATATTGCAATGAGAAGGATGCGGAGCAGAGGCCTGGAGCAGCAACACAGCCTCCGCCACCCCAGCATCACACTTCCAGGTAGGTTGGGGCTTGCCAACATGGTGCCTATGTGCACATGTGTGCCCACAAAGGACTTCTCTAATGCCCACAGGGAGTCCTTCTTCCTTCCACTGAAATTAGTCTTGAAATCTGTATTCGGTTGCAGCCAACAGAATAGGTTGTAATGTGTGTCGTCTTCTTCTTCTTCTTCTTTGGCGATCATTTGTAGCCAAGTAAGATTGTCTTCCATGGACACGGTTTTAACAGTGAGTCTGTAAGTGACTGTGGAGGCCAATTCTAGATCCACACGTCCTTCCACAGTGGTGACATAGGTTTCCGACAATGTGTAGGATCATGACAATGAAAATAGTAAATAAGGTTGGGGTGATAACACACTCCTGTTTATCTGATCCCACTGTGAATGGTTCACTTTGAGAGCCACTGTTATTGGCGACTGTTGCTGCCATATTATCATGGAGGAGCCGAAGGATGTTCACAAATTTATCTGGGCAGCTGATTTTCAGAAGGAATGTGTGTATGGTGTAGGGTGGCCATGACAGTTTCTCCAGTTCACAAATGTGCCCATGGGCCCTAAAAGTTTGCAACCCTTAAGGAGGGTCATGACAGTGAAACTAGCAAGCAGCAGGTATCAGGGAAAGCAACAGCTTTGCCCTTGAGCTATGGAAGATGATCCCTGCTGAGGCTCTCTCACAGGGGTTCTGATGAGAGAGATACAGTCTAGCTGGACAGTTGCTGAAAATAGTTATGGTTTCCGTTTAGAACTGCTGAGTGTTAAAGAAATAACTTCATGGTGTGTGTACTTCAATGCCCAATTAACTCCATTAATGTGCATCTCCAGTACGCAGTTAATACACAATTAAGTCTATCACTCTGCCCCACTTTGAATGAAGCCAGAGGCTGCTGGGTGATAAGGGCTCTGGAGGAGGTGTAAATGACTGCAAAAGGGGCCTTAATTGCTGTGTTGTGGCATAAAATTTAGATTCTTTTAACCACTGAACATTCCACCATGATTCTTTGTACTATAAAGGGCCATGTTTTCTAGGTCTCCTACAAATTAGCACTGTTCCAAGGCTTCAACCAACCTTAATCTGGCTTAGTCATGGCTGGAAAGTATAGAAGTGTTGTGAGCATCCCTATTTTTCTTTTTTGATAGGGATGGGGAGCGCTCCACACAGTGAGTTTTTGCTCCCTCTTCCAGTGAGTGGAAATCCCATCCATCCTTCTCAGGTCTCCTGTGAACAGTAATATGCATTCTTACCTGCCCTGCCACTGGATAGACAGTTGAAGATGCATAGAGGCTGGGTGAGCCAGTGGTCCATGGTTCCAAACTGGGTGGGAGAGCGCGTGTTGAGATTCCTCTGTTGCAGGGGGTTGGACTAGATGACCCTTGAGGTGCCTTCCAACACCACAATTTGACAAGTCTACGAACCTCACCAGCTCTGAAACACTGGCTTTATTCTGAAAGTATAATGTACTGTTGTTTTTAAATTTGTGGTCCCCCTCCCCCCCATTTGTTTGTTAAATACATGGTTTAAAATAAATAAATAAAATAAATCCTGGCTTAAAAGCCTGTGAGCAATGTTTGCATACTCACGCCCTGTTTCCCTCCCTCCCACTCCCCTGCTGAGACTGCAAATCATCTCTCACCGTTTAGGATTTCAGACAGAAGCCTCCTTAGGAATTATGGGGCCCCTTTTTAGAAGACAAGGGGGAAAGCACCACCGTGAAAGAGCTCTCCCAACCTAAACCCCTCTTCCCTCATTGGTGCAGTGTAGTCACTGAGGCTAGAAAACTGTGTCAGCAGCAGCTAGTTCCCTGCAGCAAAAGCGGGGCTTTTGTCCAGTCTCTTGGCAGATCTAGATGCTGTTCCTGAAAGAAGCAAAATTCCCGTAACGATAAAAATTTGGCACAAGCCAGGAACTATGCCGCACATCGTGAGAAAGTAAGGTACCGTACTGATTTAATGTGTGCAGTTGGACGGCATGTTTGGCACATGCATAACTGAATTGACTGGCATCACCCCAGTGCTGATGTGTGCAGGCTGAGTTCAAGTGACAGAGCACCTGCCACAAATTTCCCATGATTTCTTAACCACTTTATCTTAAAGGGTTAAGCTGCTCTTGAGCTCTCTTTCCTCAGTCTGGCCAGCCTATTCTGTTTCCAAGTTTCCACCGCACCTCTACTGCAGGCTCCTGCTCATCCACATTTGACGCAGCTGGGGTGTGAACTGGGAGAAACTCATCCGCAAGATGGTGGATTCTGTTCTGAAATGAGGGTGGTGGTGGAATGATCCAGCTTTAAGGCCTGTATTTGCCTTTTGAGGAGATCTGGGTAATGCTTTTAAAAAACGTGTCACTCTGGACATGTGTGGAGTAAATTTATTCAGGTTTCCTTCCCATTCCTTCAGAGACTCTTGATCTCTAAAGGAGCTGAGTGGATGTGTGTGTGTTTGGCTAAACCTACTGCATATGAACGTAGACCACCCCTTCCATCTCCATATAACTGCCTATCCAGATAGCCAACATTTGCTGAATATATTTGGGTTGCAACTACTTTCACACAGTGGTTTTTTGTTTTTGTTTTTTAATGTAAGGAAAGGGACCCCTGACCATTAGGTCCAGTTGTGACCGACTCTGGGGTTGTGGCACTCATCTCGCTTTATTGGCTGAGGGAGTCGGCGTACAGCTTCCGGGTCATGTGGCCAGCATGACTAAGCCGCTTCTGGTGAACCAGAGCAGCGCACATAAACGCCGTTTACCATCCCACCGCAGCAGTACCTATTTATCTACTTGCACTTTGACGTACTTTTGAACTGCTAGGTTGGCAGAAGCAGGGACCGAGCAACGGGAGCTCACCCCGTCGCGGGGATTCAAACCGCTGACGTTCTGATTGGCAAGTCCTAGGCTCTGTGGTTTAACCCACAGCTCCACCCGCGTCCCAATGGAAGGAAGCTTATGGTCAATTTACAATACACACCCTGCTTCTGAAGTCAGTGCCGGATACAACGTGGCATGAGAAGAAGCGTGTTTCAAGCACCCCAGTTTTCTCCCATGAAATGTTTTGAGCGTATGCTGTTGCTTCTTTCCCTTTCTGTGTTCCCAGATCTGGACTCCTCAATCAGGCACCATTGCTAACTCCGTTACAGGGGCAAACCCAGCCTAGTTGGCCATTGTTGTTAGGCAACCATATGGCATCCTTGCCCAGATTATCCTGGAAACGGTTAGCGTTGGAAGAGTGTGTCAGCACTACAAGCCAATTCCTTCCTGGGGCAAAAGGAGAGGCCACCCAGGGTAGAGCTGGAATTGAGATTGAGGTAGTGGCAGACAGTGGGAAAAGGAAAGCATGGTGGCTTTCAGCTCCTATTGCAAATTTGGGACATATGTCCCCGTCAACCCGAGTGAAAAACCTAGTCCTGAACAAGGAGCCTGGGAGAGTGGAGCAACTGAGGAGAAACTAGTTTATTTAGGGGCTGCAATAAACATGTCCCATCTCAGTGACCCGGCTCTCAGTAATTCACATCAGCAACATTTACTCTTTCTTCCATGTATTTTTAGTGATGCTATGACATTAAGGGAAAAGATAGTGCTGCGGTCACAAAACAAGGGCCTTTTCCTGAGATCTCTCCCAAGGGAATTACCATGTTCCCTTTCCCCCTTTTCCCTGGCCTTGTGACTTAGCTTGCCTGTGCTGTTTCTGCCTCCCAGGCCCGAGAATCACCATGAGAAATACAGCAAGCGGCCCAGAGGGGCAGAGTGTGTGCGATGCTGCGATCCTCCAGAGCGCGTTTCAGCATACCCCATGTACCAGCCCATGCCTCAGATCAACGTTACCATCCTGAAAGGTAAGGGACACCAACTCTACCCCAGGATGCTGTATTCAGATGCCAAGCCTTTGCTCGGTAGCATCCCACGCATTAGGAGACAGTCAATGGTCCTCTTCGGGCGTTCAGAAATCACAAGGCACAAACTGGGGATCTGGTCTGAAGAGGCTTCTAAGTAAACTTGTCTGAATGTGCTTTGAAGCCCCAGAGCTTCCAATCAAGGGGAGCTTTCTAAGCGCATCTGGCCAAATGCACTTAGATGTTTCCTCCAGACCTTCCAGCTCAGGGTAGGAATGGGCACACCCCATAAGCCCAAGGACAGATGTTCCCATCCTCTTCCTCAGTTTGGGTCTTGGTGTGTCCGAACATAGCCATAGTGTCTCCTGCCAGTTCCTTCCTGGGTCCCATTCCTATTACTGCAGATGCGGGAGACAGCCGGGAGAGGAACAGGCAGAGGAAGCTGCAGCTGCCATGTTGCCTGATGCAACACAGAACTTCAAGGCACATGGTGGATCTACAGCCTGTGCCCTGGCAACCATCTGTTCCACGTAGGGGCAGGATCACAGCATTCTCCATTGGCCTCTTATCTGGCCTGTTCTCAGAAATGCCCTCTGGCCTAAGCAAAACTGTATGCATGGAGCAGGCAGTTTAGAGCTGCCGTGGAGTGGAGTTCCAAAAGCTGCAGCGAGTTTGATTTTTCAGTGTCCTCAGACTCTGGATATAAGGGGTGGGGCAGTTGCCTTTGGATGAAATGCTGAGTTCTTCAGATTCCAGAGGGGCTGGTTGGGAAGAAACTCTATAAGCTAAATAAATTTCCTGGTCTGGAGGAGCTGTTATCATAATTTTATCCAAGCTCTTTTCTTACAGAGGCCAAGTGAAACCACCAAATTAGTCTTGAGTCAAGCCCAGGACTCCAGAGGTTGCGTTAGGACATGGCCTGATTTCCCGGGAAGAATGTGAAAGATGGAGAAATTGTGTCATCAGAGGCGGCCTCTCTGTTGCTGAACCTCTACCCTCCCAATACATTGTAGACATGGCTGTAGCTGAGTGCGTGTGTATGTAACATGCATATTTGACAATATTTAAGACCCAGAGGAGGTAGATTTATGTTTTTACCCACAGCTAAGGTTCCGATTCCTTAATTAACTTAATTTTTTAAAAAAAAAATTATTGATTCATAATTAAATCAATAGAATTAATTAAGACATTTCAATATTTCATTTCACTCCAATTACATTCTTGTCTCATACTTTTTGCAAAGGAGAAACCTCCGATTTTGCCTGCAGATATGCTTCTGGTAAAATTAAAATCCATTTAATACAGAAGAACATTTGCCAAGCGATAAGTTTTCGAGATGGGCAGACACCAATCTAGTGCCTACCCTGGCAGCAAGGAGACTTTTACCACACATTTGGACCCACTCTGAAAACTGGGGAACTGAGGGCATCATTTGTGGTAATATTCTTACCACAAGGGTGGACATGATATACTACTGCATAAACACAATCCATTTAGAGCATTTAGACTAGATGACCCTTGGGTCTTTTCCAACTTTACATTTCTATGATTCTATGCTCTCCCCCTCAAAGAATCATGGAAACCATAGTTTGTTACAGGTGTTGGGAATTGTAGCTCTTTGAGGAGAACTACAGTTCCCTGGCTTCTTGGGTGGAGAGAGTGTAATGGGCTTTAAATGTGCGATGATGATGTGTACGCAGCCAACAAGTGATCTGTTTTGACTGGACCATTCCCCTTCTGGATTTCTCTCCCAAGCATGGGTGGAATGATCATTCTATTTACCGTATTTTTACATTATATAAAAATGCATAAGTTGCTCCCTGGCCTGCCCATTGGATTGAATGTGGAGGCTAAGGTTGCCTAAGTTGAAATGATGCTCATCTATGATCTCTTCACTACTCAGGTGAGAAAGGGGACCGTGGTGAACGTGGCCCCCAAGGGAAGCTGGGCAAGGCTGGTTCTACGGGAAGCAGGGGCCAGGCAGGCCTCAAGGGGCAGAAGGGGAACATAGGGGCCCCAGGGGAGCGGGCCAAGACCAACTATGCTGCCTTTTCAGTGGGCCGAAGAAAACCCTTGCACAGCAACGACTACTACCAGACTCTTGTCTTTGACACCGAGTACGTGAACCTCTATGGACACTTCAACATGTTCATGGGCAAGTTCTACTGCTATGTGCCCGGCATCTACTTCTTCAGTCTCAATGTGCACACCTGGAACCAGAAGGAAACCTACCTGCACATAATGCACAATGGGGCTGAGGCGGCCATCTTGTACGCCCAGGCCAGCGATCGAAGCATCATGCAGAGCCAGAGCCTCATGCTGGAGCTGCAGGACCAGGATGAAATCTGGGTGAGGCTCTTCAAGGGTGAGCGCGACAATGCCGTCTTCAGCGATGAATACGATACATACGTTATTTTCAGCGGGTACTTAATCAAACCCAACTCTGATCCTTGAATCTGCTGACAGATGGACAAAATACAGCCAATAACGTCACCTGGCTCTAACCTTGTAGTGTTTCCCTACTTGCTGATTTCTAACCCTACTTATCTGCCATAACCCAGCCTTGACCTCAGATATGACCTTTATCCTCATCAAACAATCACCCCACTTTCCTTGGACAAGGTTTTTCCCCTGCTTCAACCCTCTGGTCCTTCTCTCTTCCCTCTGCCCCCAAGTCTTAAGCCTTAAGTTGGCGTCAATTTTCCCAGTCAGATTGTCACACTAATCTAACTTCTGCTCTTATGGGACTGACTACCCATGTACAATCATTCCCTCTGCTCTAAGACTGGGACTCACACCCTCCTAAATAACAATGACACTTCTTCTATACAAGTGTCCTTAGACTGATTTTCTTATTTTATTCTTGCTTTGCCATTCTCAGAATTCACATGTCCTGCTAGAATCCTCCCTTGCCCCTCCACGAAATATTTAAATCATGATTGCACAATTTCTGTTCACGCTGACCTCAAGGCTTGGTCCTTTCTGTACTGTGTTCATTATCAAGAGGAATTAAAATTTTAAAAAGAAAGAAGGGGAAACAAACAGCAGTAATATGCAGATAATACGAATAATACCAGTAGAACACAGTTCCCATTTGTAGATACAGTGACTATCAGAAGAGGAATGTTAAACATATAAGATGCCAGAAGCCTTCCAGATGCCCAAGGAGGTATCCACATTGAATTGGTGCTTATATGAAATAACCAGGGCAGTGAAGACCTCAGACCACTGTGCAATAGACAGCATGTATTTATCCTTCCGGACTTGAAACGAAACCCACTTTTGTTGTCTGGTTCAGTCATTCTTAGGAAGATAGGAATCTCTCTTATGTGAAGAAGTGGACACGGAGCAATGGATCCAAACTACAAGAAAGAAGATTTCACCTAAACATTAGGAAGAACTTCCTGACAGTAAGAGCTGTTCGACAGTGGAATTTGCTGCCAAGGAGTGTGGTAGAGTCTCCTTCTTTGGAGGTCTTTAAGCAGAGGCTTGACAACCATATGTCAGGAGTGCTCTGATGGTGTTTCCTGCTTGGCAGGGGGTTGAACTCGATGGCCCTTGTAGTCTCTTCCAACTCTATGATTCTATGATTCTATGAAGTCAGACAACTGGTCCGTCTAGTTCATTGCTACCTACACTGACTGGAAGCAGCTCTCCAGGGTTTCAGGAAGATGTCTCTCCACGACCTTCCCAGAGATGCTTGAGACTGAACCTGGGATCTGCAACCAAAGCAGCTGCTCCACCACCACCACTGGATCTCACTACTAGATCCCAGCTGGGCAAGGACCTTATCCATTGTCCATTGTTTATGCCCGTTGTGGGGAAACCTCTGGTCTGTGGGCCCAGAATTTCAGAACTGTAGAGTTGGGACCATGAGGAACATCTAGTCCAACCCCACGCAATGCAGGAATCTTCTCAAACCCATGGCCCTGAGATTAAGTGTCTCAAGCTCTGCCAACTGAGCTATCCCCAATGAGTTGTTCCTAATGGCCCACAAGGCTGTTTATTGACAAACAATTTTTAAAAATTATTTTTGATGTCACCTGTTAATCAGGCCCCTTTTATTTGCTGTTGACCTCTGACTTTTAGGCTGTCAGTTTCATTTCAGATTTTAAGTCTCAAGAGTTTTCAGCAGTGCAACTGTGCCTCCTTCCATGCTTCTTCTTCCTGGACCTTATCAATATCCTTAATCTGCTCTCTCCTTCCACCTCCTCCCTTGTTATCTGTAAATAACTCCTTTTCTAACATTGGCAAATATTCTTCTCATTACTCAGTGTGACACACATTAGTGCCTGAACGCCCAGCCCTATTCACTGAGCCAGTTTGGAATACATGGTCTGGTTTTCTGCAAAGGGCACTCGCCCTTTTCTTCCTGGAAATATGGTAGCAGGAGGTGCCAATCCATTCAGATGCTTCCTGTCTATACATTTGCCCATTTCTGGACTGCATTCTGCAAATAGCTTAGCACCAAGGCAGCAGTATTTCACCAAGTTCTATCTTCCATACCCCAAGCTGCCGTCCCAGTTCCTTGGCCTGAGGTTAGCCATACACCATGAGTGAAGTGAGCAGAGTTCAATGGTTTGCTGAACAAGTCTCTGTTGGTATCCAAGCCTCCTTGCTGGACAGGGAAGGCCTGCAATGTCCGGCCTGCCTCTACTGCCAGCATCCTTGTTCCAGGCAGGCACAGTAAAATAAGAAACCTGTCCCCGTAGCACAAAACAGGGAGAAAGCTATACAATTATTTAGCATTGAGCACCATGGGGTCCTGTTAGCCATGCCTTTAGTTTTGAGGAGTCCTTCCAAGCTGAACAAATCCTCCTGTTCCTGCTGCATTGTATTGGCACCAAATGCTCCTGTGAGCAGTTGGGCTTGAGCACATCTTTCATAGAGATGTGAAGGTCCGTGTGGGGGGGGGGGGATAGGACTGCAACAGCAAACAGGTTTCCGACCAATTCTCTATATATGTACACACACCTGTCCACATCAGGACCTGGAGAGGGCATTAGAGGGCTTTACCCCTTTACCCACTGCAGCAAACCCAATCCAGATCAGGGTCCCTGTTGCTATTTGCATTGGAAGGGAAACTTCTATGGATTCAAAATGGTGAAAACAATTGCAGTTTCCATTTCTGGCAGCCCCCATCATTTTTGCTGGGCCTGACAGGAAGCTGCTATACCCTGCAGGCATCCAGACCCAGAGTCTCTTGGCTAGCTCTGCTGATTAGGCCTTCGACTTGGGGGATGTGTGTTTTATGCCATGTTTTACATTTTTGCGCCATGGAATTCACTAATACTGCTTTTGCATTAAACCTACAGAAGCAATTAGAACAACTAAGCAATACCCTGGCAAACCTTCCCTTTCAACTCTGCTCTTTCTCATGCACAGGAATTAAGCTTCCATTTTTACACAAGCACTCCACAACTCCTGGAAGGGCTGGTACCTTGTACCACAAGGGTATGGTTTTGCATATGAGGAAAGAGACCCCAAGGGTTTTAGATTGTTTCCCTAGTGAGCCTGTGACTCATAAATTTAATGCACATACCCCCCTCAAGCAATCATGGGAACTTAGTTTTCCCCTCAGTGCTATAATTCCCAGCACCAAACTACAATTCCCAGAATTCTTTCGTTGAGGAAATGTGCTTTAAATGTATGGTGTGTACACAGGCCTGCTGAGAACCACAGTTCCAAATGAATAAAAATCGCAAGGTTTCTGTTGTGAAATTCTCACACTAATGTCTTTTTCCTTTTGGTGCTCTTAAAACATGTGCAAGGAAGGTGTCCTCAGAACCTTGTCAACATTGAATGCTTATCTTTGTAATTTGGTAGCGTTAACTTTAGTATTTCTCTGGCACAAGTTGGACCTCCCAACTCACCCGTCTCCTCCATGCCTCGGCCTAGCCCTTGTTGAAACCAAACACACAGTCCAGAACACCCCTGCTGAACATGTGTGTGGTGAGGTCACATTCTTAGGGAATGGGAGTGGGGAGGCGAGGAGAGAAAGATGGGGGAGAGGTGGAGAAGAAACTGGCCACCAAGCGGATGTGCTAATACTATTATTGGCAGAAGTGCTGTGGAACCAGGAAAGGATGAAGTCACTTGCTTGGTGGCCAAGGGAAACATTCTGAGGGACAGGCCTTCATGGTCAGCTTCTGAGTCCTACGCCCAGAGTGACACCTGTTAACAAAGTACAGAGCTCACCCAGAATACCATGCTATTTCTGAGGGACAGCCTGGCTTTGCCATCATGGGCAGACAGCTTTGCTGACGAGTCTAGTGACACTATAACACACAGTTATTTCACGCACAGCGTGCCTTTTCTCAATAGCTTCTCTGCTGAACAAAACAGGCTTAGAGAATGCTTATTTTGAGCCAGAACTCACCTAGGAACAGGATATTTTCATATCTCTCATTAGTTGGGATTCATTTTTCTCTGCAACCGTAGATAACCTGAAGGGAATAACTCTGAGCAGGCTCAGAGTGCATGCTCCTCTTAAGTCACCACAGCCAGCCTCCATAATTTTGGAAACCTGTGAAGTGCTTAGACTTTGTCAATCGGAGCTATGTCCCTGAGTGCCACTTTCCGCAAATTAAGCGTGGTAGCCTTCCCCCCCCCTCCGCCTTCTCCTCTGACAGCCGGTTGCTTGTATGTTGTGACAGCTTAGGCTGTGGCTTTATGTTTTTCATGCTATCCCCTAACTCTGCTACCAGACTGCACCCTGGACACCATACAGACAACTTCAATAGCATTATGGCAGGGATAAGCACTGCTTTGACTTCCCAGCTGTTTGTGCTGCATCCTCAGCTAGGAATGCCTTTGTAATCTTGTTCTGCCTGCCTTCAAAATAGCTCCCACCTAAGACCTAAATGTTAATGATCCCATTGGTAGCCATCAATTTAATCAAAGACCAATGGTTAACAATATGTATACACGCCTCCCAGAGAAGCCATGGATCCAAAATAAAAAAGGAACAAGCAAACAAGTAGACGCTGTATATATTTTGCCCTTTTCTTCCTCTATTGTGATAAATGGTTGAACAATAAACATATCTATCTGACTGTCTATCTGTCTTACATCCAGCTCCGGGTGGAGGAAAGAGCAGTTTTATAGCACATATGTAGAGGCTGCATTTCAAGGCTACTTGGAGCATTTCAATGACCTGCTGCCCTTGCTGCTATTTTTTAAATACTGCTCTGCTATGGTGTGAGAGTCCTGCATGGTGTGAGAGTCCTCTCAGATCTACAAATGAGCACAAGTTCCATTGTCCCCAGAAGACGCCATGTCTTGTTTCATGTTTTGCCTGCTAGCAGATGGTGGCTTCAGAAAACGTGCAAGTTACATGAAAGTAGTTATCTGCTTCCACAAGGTGCTTTGCCTACCCAGGTGCACGCAGGCATAGGGGAGAGGGGAAAGCATGATGATGTCCATAACGTTGAGTACATGTTGAGAACTTACTGCAAATCATAGCTTCTAGGCACGTCTACACGGCATAAAACAGATCTCCATGCAGGTTTTATGTACGACAGTGTGCTCTGGGCTTACATCTTTTTGTATACCAATATAGGGAACGTGTGGGACGCGGGTGGCGCTGTGGGTTAAACCACAGAGCCTAGGATTTGCCGATCAGAAGGTCGGTGGTTTGAATCCCCGTGACAGGGTGAGCTCCCGTTGCTCAGCCCCTGTTCCTACCAACCTAGCAGTTTGAAAGCACGTCAAAGTGCAAGTAGATAAATAGGTACCGCTCTGGCGGGAAGGTAAACAGTGTTTCTGTGCGCTGCTCTGGTTCGCCAGAAGCGGCTTAGTCATGCTGGCCACATGACCTGGAAGCTGTACGCTGGCTCCCTCGGTCAATAAAGCGAGATAAGCGCCACAACCCCAGAGTCAGTCACGACTGGACCTAATGGTCAGGGGCCCCTTTACCTTTATAGGGAACGTGACATGTGAGAAAAAGCACGAACGTCTGATGCAACAGCTATGTGATCAGCACTTCTAATTAAAGCAGCTTGTTAGCCATTGAGGACTCCTTCAGGGATCACTCTTGGCACTTCTTCAGTCTTATGTAGTATTTTACAGGTCAGTAACCCCAGAAAAAGGAAGCTCTCTTTACTGTAAACATGTAATACCTATCCAAAAAAAGCAACAGGCCATAATTTTCATTATTTAAATGTAATGCAGCCAAGTTTTTAAAAAGTATTTTCAAAAGGGAAATCTGCTAATTAACAAGGTACAAGCAGCATGCAGATTAGCTAGGGCTTGAATTTGAAGGGGCTGCAGAGGATGTTGTTATCTCCTAAGGCAACCAACCACAAGTGTAATGCAACCCAAGCTGTTAGGACACACACAGAGTTATGGTATTTGCCTCCAGGTCATATTTGACCGTGTTTAGTTTTCCTATAAAGACCCTCTTTCAACTTCCTCCACCCTGAAAGGAAGTCTCCATGGAGACTAATAAAAAATAAATAAGCTTCCCTCTGGGAACCATTGTTTGCATTTAAAGAGACCACGCCAACTCACATCAAGGCCTCCTCTTGAAAATAGAAAATATTTGTGAATCCAAAAGGATGGGGGGTGGGGAATGGTGCTTTGAAAACCCCAATCCAAACAGCAGGGGGCTTCCAGCAGGAGACACAAGCACTTGAATATTCCAAGGCCTGGGGCCAAACTGCAGGAAACTATAGCATGTGAAGGGGCAGCTTGAATGCATATCCCACATTATTATTATTATTATTATTATTATTATTACTAATTGGGTTTATATACTGCCCTATACCCAGAGGTCTCAGGGTGTTCACAGAAAAGATCAGGGCGGTTCACAGAACTGGTATGCATGGCTTTATAAAGTGACACCACTTATGAGCTGGATCAAAACATATATATGAAGTTGCAATCTGTATGATTTAATGTGTGGGATGGGTATTGTGAAAGTACTTTTGTAATGCCGGGAAATATAATGCTATGACGCACAGTTCAAAGGAACTCTGTAAGCTCAAATCTTACTGTATTGTTACCGGAAAAATCCGAGGGCTCCCTTGGACAAAAAGTAAAGACACCAACCAGAGTAAATTGGAGCGAATCAGCAGCCTGTAGGCTTGGCCTTTATTGAACTGTTGCAACAGGGTGTTCCCCTCACTTGCAGGAGAGAGGAAAAGACACAGAAAATGGTGTGCAAGACCTTATAAAAACTTTTGAAATTCCCATCCTCTAGGTCAAGCCCACCCCCAGAAACATCATGCATACATTACAGAAAGGAGGGGTTGAGGGAGGAGTTGTGGTGGTAACCTGGGTGTCCTGTCACCTGGCTGGTTCCCTTCTACCCCTCCCCATGAGTCATTTTCTGAAGTCGCAGTTTCCTGCCCCCTGAGGGAAGATCTGATCATTGTCCTTTGTTCCAGTCCATGCAGAATCCACTCCCATATGCAAGTTCTTTGTGATCTTGATTGTCTTCTGTCTGGGATCATCAGGGTTGGCATAGCAACTGGGCAGGGCTCCTGTGGATGTGCTGGTATGGTGAAGGGATTATGGTGCCCTGTATCAAACCTTCCCCATTTTGTAGTCTTTCCTTCATGGAGTAAAATAAAAGTGGAACAGTGCAAATCCGATGTATGGTTGATTTTCTATGAATTTATAACAGAAGTGTAGCGTATGTAGTGTGTGAGTGTGAGTGTGAGTGTGTGTGAAGTTTGTACAAACTGAATGATGGGGGGGGCGGCGGTTTCCTGCTACAGTATTAAGAGGTCACATTATGATTTTATTTTATTTTTAAGAAGAACTAGGATGAGGGCATATCCTGTATATTTTAAAGAACTACAGAGGAATATTTAAAATCAAGCATCCACACATTCAATATACTGGGTGAGGGGGTAACAGAGAGCTATCTACTTGGTTTGAACTAGCTAAAAATGGTGGATCATGTTAATTTCCTGTGATAATAGTGTGAGAGATGATGTAATAGCTCAGATCTTTAGCTTTGTGGATAAACAGAATTCGGTTAAGGATCTGGAATAAAGTAAAACAGCATCTCATTTGTCCATAGACTGGCCTTGCCATGTCTGGCAAGGTCTGCCATCTCTGGGAGCAAGTCTGCCATCTCTGGGAGCAAGTGACAGGCGGGTGAGCTGCCAGACAAGATTAAAAGATTATTTTGTTCACAAATTGCCCAATGTTAGAAGTTCAGACCCTCCAAGTGTTCCTATTTTCCAGGGACAGCCCTGGATTTACAGAAGCCGAAATTGATCCTGGAGTGCCCTGCTTTTCCTTAGGATGCCTCTATTTTCATCAGAGACATTTTGGAGGTTATGGAGTTGTGCAACAACCGAGCCAAGGAAAGAAGTAACTATATACAACCTTTAGAAGGCAGCCCTTTATAGGTTTTTTTTAAAAAAACAACAACAACCCTGTTTAATCTTTTATTATGTTTTCATATATGTTGGAAGCCGCCCAGAGTGGCTGAGGCAACCACGTCAGATGGGTGGGATATAAATAATGAAATTATGATGGTGATGATTGAATAGGACGTCCCTATTTTCATCGGAGAAATGTTGAAGGGCATCGGGTGCAAAATGGGAGATAGAAAGATGTAATAATAATAATTTTATTATTTATATGCTACCCATCTAACCTACATGGCATGAAGAAAGATAATGTATCTCGCAGAAGCCCAAATCTAAAGAGCAGGAGCAATAACAAGATGGGTGGAGGGCTTCCCAACTGGAATTTCTCCCTCAGCCATCAGAGTTGTCTTGGACTGGCCCTTCCCAATAGCTCTGTGGCTTGTTACTGGTCCTGGCAGGCATAGGTGCCAACTCTCTGGGGCCCTGGGTGCCCAGGCACCCACAAAATTCCCCATGAAGGGACCAGACACCCACAAATTTTGGTGCCAGGGCCATGCACACTACATGGCACCCACAGCCCCGGGCACCCGTGGTTGCAGGGCCAAGCTGGCATTCCTGCTGGCAGGTCAATGAATTTCCCTCTATCAGCCCCCTTCCCCTTGCACCATGGGGCAATCAGCAGCCCATGTAGTTAGTTCCTAGGTAGGGAGTGGCATAGCCGAAGCTGGCGTTTCAGGGTGACATGAGTAAGAGCTGCTGGTAAAACGGCTGTGACAACTCAGACATTTTTATGGGAACTTCTGGGGTGGCGCCATCGGTAATGGCGGACTCCCTCTGATCTGGAGGGACCAGCTCCATGGGAAACGGGTCTTTTCCGCTATGGCAAAGCGGGGACCCTTTCAAAAATCACAGGCGGATGAAGCCTGTGACCATGGGACTCGGCGGGCACCTTAGCGCCCCCCCAACCCGCAAAGGAACCCACTAACGGGCTCCGGAGCGAAGAGGGGGGAAGTGGCACGGTGCTGAGAGTCAACTGCTTCTTCCGTGGAGCGAAGCCGCACAGCCGTTGCCGGAGAGCGCTGCCTTTTTCCTGGGACAATTTGGCTTTTAAAACAATCACCCGTGAGTACTTAAATTTCGGACAATTGGACTTTAAATAAGGACTTGCGAGTAGAAAGGAAAATTGGACTTAAAAGTTTACTTCAATTTGGCACTGAAACGGGAAGGTCTAAACAGGAAGTCAGCCTTCCATTTCTTTGTAGATAGATTAAAGCAAAGACATGGCAAACTAGAGCTCAGAAAATCGCTTGTAAAGGATTAACTTTCATCATTTAAAATTGTTGAACCCCCTTCGGAAGCAGGAGAAGAGGGGGGATTTTTTCCGGACTGTTTAAACCTGCAGAAGAGAGTGTAAAGCAAAGTAACTTTCCACCGTCTTGATCCTGGAGCGGGGTGTCAGGACTGACGTTTTTTTGAAGCTCATTGACCAGAGACAAACGTTTTTGACAGATAGCCAAAAGAAGAGAAACATAGTGATTCCATTGTTCCCCTTCGCATTTTAAAGGAACAAATATTGACAAAATATCTGAAAAAGGAAACTTTGTTGTTAGATCTGTCTTTAAAAGAAAAGAACAAACAGAAGTTTTTCCCCTAGAGGGAGCCTGTGAAACTGTAACCAATTCTGAATAGGGGAGCTTACAGCTGTTACAGATTACGATCGTGGGAATAGACTTCTGACCTTGCAGGACAATGTATTCAGAAGCTCTGCTGTGTGCTCTCTGTAAAACAAGTGCCCTACTGGAACAGCTACATGAGAAGACAGACTTGATGACTGATGCGATCAGAAATTTTGAACAGGCAGTGGGAAATTATATGGAGCCCACCCAGGAATTAAATCAGGAGTGCGCCCTGACAGAACAGATGAGGGAAGAGGATGTTACTGAATCTTGGGCGCCAGAGATGGAGGGAGCTGTGGCCCAGCAGGAACATGAGCTCTTGGATTTGACAAATGAACTTGGAAAAAGCCAGATTTGGAAAGATAAAGTTTGGTTTGGTTTGGAAATGGGGGTTGGATAGACCCCCCTATGCAGGGATGTTTGGACTTTTCAAGTCTGGCAATGGGCCGTGAGATGTTTGGGGTTGTGGGGGCTCTTAATTTTGGAGGGACTTTGAAACATGTTCTTAAATACCACATGGAGTTTAGTGTGGACTATGGAAAAGGGGCTGATTTGTCGAGAAGGGTCAAAAATATTGTTAAGCTGGAGTTCCCACGACTGAAAGGAGCAGGAAACAAAGGAAAATACAGCTATAAATATGAAGAAGAGCCGCAGAAGGGACATGGAAGGGACATGGAAGGGACTTAAGGGCCTCGGATATAAGATTACCAGGTTAATGCGCAAGATTGATGGGATAAAAAGGACTGACAAAACCCGGGACCAGGAGGAAGAGACGCTGGATGAAGATTGGATTGTTTTTTATTTTTTTATTAGGACTGTTTTATAAAATTGATGAATGTTAGAAAAATGTTGGAACGAAATTATTTGGCTTTAGCAAAAATGTTTAAAGAATTATGTAAGAATATTATGGTTATGAGAAATTGGTAAAAATAAGATTTAAGTTTTAAGCTGTAAGGTTTTTATAGTAAGATAAGATTAAAATAGATTAAGGTAATGTAATGACAGAATATTATGAAATATGGAAAGGATTTGCTGCGACAATTAACAACTAGGATACAAAAAAAGGAGGAGGAGGAGGTCAAAGAAAGAAGGTAATGACAGTTAAGGATTTGAGAATATTGGATTTGTTTTTAAATGTTTGTGGTATATTTTTGTCTTTTGATCGTGTTGTGTTATTTTTTGATTTTGATTTTTATTAATTTGTATTGTTTGATGTGGTCCGTTTTTTCTTTGTTTTTTCTTTCTCTTTTTCTACTTTGTTTTTTTTTTGTAATTCTAAAAAATTTTCAATAAATATCATTTAAAAAAAAAAACCTCAGACATTTTTATGGCCTTTGCTGTCTTTCTTTTGTTCCTCCGATACAGCCAATATCTGTTTCTCACATGTAGAGAGTTTTTTCCTCCAACATCTCTCCTCTCCCCTTCCGTGACAGAAAGGCAATGAGGTTCTGCTTTTCTCTTAATTAAATTGGCTGCTGCTATCAGCGGGGTTTGTTAAGGCTGCAATGCTGGTTGATATAGGTTTCTATTTTTTTTTAATTTAAAAAAATACATAAAATCGCTTGCCAAAACACACCTTTCCCATCGCTTGCTTAATTTCATTTTCCTCCCCACAGGACGTTTCACAGAAGCAACAACAGCCCCAAACCCTAATAGCCTGGGCTGTCTTGTTCTCAAACCCTTCCAGCTGGAATGTACTTTCTGTATCTTCCAAAAAAGAAATGAAGAGTAAAAACAAAAAAACAAATGAAAACCTCACCGTTCTAATGAAATGTCCAAAGATATATGAGAAATTAAGCAAGCAGTTATGGGAAAGGTACACTGGTTTTATAATATATTTTACAGTTTGTATTAGTGTTGCAAAAAGAAAAGGGGTGAAAAGGACAAATGAGGGTAAAATCGGCAAGCAGAAATTTTTATGTATAAGCACACATTTGAAATAATTACTATAACTTAAGGAGAACTACAGGACATCTCACCATAGTGGGGAAGACCCCCAGCTGGCTTGTGCCATACTGCTGACCAGGAACTGAGATCTGTTGATGGGCAACTTCAGGGCTCCTGCTCTTCCTTCTTAAAGGTAAAGGTAAATTAGGTTCAGTCGTGGCTGACTCTGGGGTTACGGCGCTCATCTCGCTTTATTGGCTGAGGGAGCCGGCGTACAGCTTCTGGGTCATGTGGCCAGGATGACTAAGCGGCTTCTGGTGAACAAGAGCAGCGCACGGAAGCACCATTTACCTTCCTGCCGGAGCGGTACCTATTTATCTACTTGCACTTTGACGTGCTTTCAAACTGCTGGGTTGGCAGGAGCAGGGACCGAGCAACGGGAGCTCACCCTGTCACGGGGATTCGAACTGCCAACCTTCTGATCGGCAAGCCCTAGGCTCTGTGGTTTAACCCACAGCGCCACCCGCGTCTTCCTTCTTACAGTTCTTTAAATCAGACTCAGTTTGGCTGGCCCTCTGGTAGAGGACTGTCCTCTGTCAATCCTTCAAAAGAGAGAACTATCCTATGTAAAACAGGACACCTGACCACCCCGATTCATACTTACCTTGTTTTTTCCAGAAGAAACGCCCGAAGTGG